CTTCAGGTTAAGAACAGTTTCAGGTTAAGAAGAGACCTCTGGAACGAATTAAGTACTTAACCCGAGGTACCACTGTATCTGTATGCTTGCCTGAGACTCGCAGGCACCTACTGAACAGCGCCTGTTACATCACTCGTGGTGAATGACATCACTTTCCCCTCTGTGTCTGCACCTTTTGTGATGCTGTTACAGGAAATGTATTTTAACAAGTTCGTTAGACGTTAACTGTTTCCTTGGTGTACCTGCCAGCTGCAAAACTGTTCTTGAAAAAAACGCTTTCTAAATACATTTAGGCTACAACCATAAACCCTAAAACATGGGAGTAAACCCCAATGAATTTAATCAGCTTACTTCTGTGTACTGAGTCTCCTTTGGCTTCCCCTATAAAGTGAAGCATGGTCAAAAGGATTTCAAGTAATGCTATAGCTCATTACCCAGACTGAAGAAATTGGGGGGGGGGGGGGAGAGAATAAAATTCAGACCTGCACAAATAGGCAGTAACAAATTAATTGCTTTGAATCACTGACTTTATAGATAAAAGGCAAAATTATTAGTTGAAGATACTCTTAATTGATTAAGTGTACACTGGGGGGTGATTAGCGATTACATTTCTCTGTGAATTACTATTTGTTAGCCACCTTGAGTCTCTTCGGAGGTAGAGGTGGGATTTATCAAATAAATAAATGCAAGCAGCAAAGAAATAAACATCAAATAAGCCCTTTTCTTTTGCAGCAATAAGCAGCCATTTCGTGAAGGGGGGAAGTAAACCTTTTTATGAAGGCTGTGCAGCTTTTTGATATTTGTTTTAAAGTTACAAACAGGAGTACAGTTAATGCATTTGGCAGGCAGCGGTGTTCGTTGTCTAGAAAGCCCCCAAATAGAAGCCTCTATCATTGCCACATATCTCTTGAAAGGAAGGAGACCCTTGTATTCTACCCAGACTGTGTTAAGTGATGAGCCAAATGTGCCGTCCTTACATATTTTATATGTTGATTGTGTAACACACCATTTCCTAAAGAACAGCTAGAGACTGCCTGGCAGTGGCTTTCGCCTTCTGCATTATCTGGTGTCATTAATGACTTTACTTTGTCCTCTGAATCTCCATTTAACAGAGACATGTGGTGCTGGGAATTAATTGTCCTTCTTATTTAATGCATCATGGAGATGACTAATTCTGGCTGCAGCAGTACACAGGGATAATTAAAGCAGGAGCTGAATAAGGCTGAAGTTGACCTGTGGATATAATGATTGATGATAGTCCATCATCAGGGACTTGAAAATCCTCCTGTTTCTGCTGTTTGTCTCGATTGCAAAAACAGGGAAATTATCAAACACCTGGCAATCCGACATGAACTGCTCTCAGCTCAGTGCTTCGCAAAATACAGAGGGGGGGGTCAATTCCAGATGACCTGTTTATTGAGCATTCGCCCCAATTCGTTGGCACTAAGTTTGAAGGGTTAGACCATGCCAGCTGTTGTTTTTTACTGAGCATTTGTTCAGATGTGTTTGCAAGGAGGTTGCGTGATGCTACATCAAGTCACCGCCATCCCACACCTTCCTGTACGTTTTCTTCATCGCTTTCCTTGCTGCAAAACATCCAATTTGGAGAAGTGAGTTTCTTGCCCAAAAGCACCAAATTGCCTTTAATTGTGGAACCTGAATTTGGTGGTACAGTGGTACCTCGGGTTACATACGCTTCAGGTTACAGACTCTGCTAACCCAGAAATAGTACCTCGGGTTAAGAACTTTGCTTCAGGATGAGAACAGAAATTGTCCTCCGGCAGCGCAGCAGCAGCAGGAGGCCACATTAACTAAAGTGGTGCTTCAGGTTAAGAACAGTTTCAGGTTAAGAACGGACCTCTGGAACGAATTAAGTACTTAAGCCAAGGTACCACTGTATCTGACTGAATCTCACCTCAAAATAGCAGCAGTCTGGAAGTGCTCAGTGACCGGAATTGTATGAGTTTCATCTGTGAGCTGACGAGTGTGTAAAAACTCATTATTTGCCTCTGGGTATCCTTTCCAACTGCTATGATTCGGGAAGGCTTTTGCCATCTAAATTACTGGGCTACAAACTACTGTCTCATCATGGGTGAGTATGCCTGACCAGCAACCAATGCACATTATTGCACAACAAATGGGCTTTCTATATTGGGACGCCGGTGGCGCTGTGGGTTAAACCACAGAGCCTAGGACTTGCCGATCCGAAGGTCGGCGGTTCGAATCCCCGCAACGGGGTGAGCTCCCGTTGTTCGGTCCCAGCTCCTGCCCACCTAGCAGTTCAAAAGCACGTCAAAGTGCAAGTAGATAAATAGGTACCACTCCGGCGGGAAGGTAAACGGCGTTTCCGTGTGCTGCTCTGGTTCGCCAGAAGCGGCTTAGTCATGCTGGCCACATGACCTGGAAGCTGTACGCCGGCTCCCTCAGCCAGTAAAGCGAGATGAGCGCTGCAACCCCAGAGTCGGTCACGACTGGACCTAATGGTCAGGGGTCCCTTTACCCTTTACCTTTTTATATATAAGGAAGTTGTTGCTGGCTTGCTGTTTTGTTTTTTAAAGCTCTTTGACAAGGCATACTCTTGGTCTCCAGGAATACTGGAGGTTTGTTCTCTACCATCACACATCTGCAGAGTTAACAGTGTGTATTTTTTGAAGCTGGGAGCAAATGGCACTGCTGTAGGCAGTTACCAGCCTAATATGCCCTTTGCGTTTGCTCTCTGTTTGCCTGCATTATCAGTGTGGCATAAGAAACACCCATGAAGAAGTAGCAGCCAAACTGCTAAAGCAGGGCTGGAGAACCTGTGGCCTTCCCAGATGTTGCTGAATTGCAACCCCCCCATCCCTAACCATTGGCTCTACTGCCTTGGACTTATAGGAGGTCAGCTACATCTGGAAGGCCACCCTGGTCTATGTAATAATTTGCAACATATGAAAAGCCAGGCTCCTGCCTTGACGGACTAGCCAACTGGAAATCAGCACAAAAACTACATTTCTAGAATAGCATTAGTTTCCAATCCACCCAGTGATAGGATTCAGATGCACAGTGGTCGACGGAGGAAGAGGGAGATAAATGGGGAACAGCAGAAAAGGAGAGAAGAATGTGTGGTTATTTCAATTCTGCTTCCCTCAACCTCATTGCACTCTGAGGTTATGCCAAAGGCTTCACAGGAAACCATTAGCCACCAAATGCACACACATGCAACAACAAATTAACCAGCCCTAAATTCTTCTGCTCCAGGGCTAAAGAGGATTTCTCACAAGCAGTGAGCCCTTCTGTTCTATAGCTGCTTCTTACTACAAAGATGCTGGCGTATGGTCCAGAACAGTAACTTTGTCCCAACCCATGACAAACGATACTAACCAAAGTTAGTGTGGCGTTTGCCTCCTAGCATGGGTCATAAGGAAAGGGTTAAAATAGGTGTGATGTGATTGGCCAGTGAGAATGCAAGGGGGGAATAAAAGTTAGAGTGGGAGGTTTTGAAAGTCAGTTGAGTTGAGGTTTGAGAGTTGAGGTTTGGGAGTTGTAGAAGGAATAGGGAGGTTTAGGTGTGGGTTGGTAGAGTTGTATTGTGAGAGAGTGAGAGGAATTGTTAGGTGGAGTCAGATAGATAGTTGGAATAATCAGTTTGGAGTTGTTAGGAACTAAGAATAAGAAACTGGCAAGAGAAAAATTAACTGAAACCATAAGCTTGTTCCTGCATTTAAAAATAAACTTGATTATTTGTTTATGTTAACAACTGACTGGACTCTGTGTGTCCCCGTGAGATACAGGGTGGTGGCAGCGGAAAAAGCAAACGCAGTGGTGGCACAGGGTCAATAGACCATCAAAAGTCCGGGGCCCTGTGTGTGATCGCCACAGTTAGTACAAACCAATTCAGGAAAAGGCAGGGAGTTAAGAAACACTGAAGCGAAATGCAACCCAAAAGGCAGGGTACTAGGGCAAGGCCGGAAGCAAAGTTTGAGCAACAGGGCGAGCGGAGCTTGAACAAGGGACAATTTCCAAGTGTTGACAGATTGATGGATGGGTGTATGAATTATATTTCTACGACGCTTTTCATTCAAATTGAATCCCTAAGCAGCTTACAGACAATAAATAATAATAATAACATGACAGAGCATAATGGAAGATCAGAAATGCCGCATAAATCATATAGAATAATTAGCAATCCGTGAAACAATGACAATCTATAAAGCACTGAGTATCAAAATTAAAGCAAAAGCCATAAACTCTCCACAGCCCCATGACTCATAATAGAAACTACCATATAGTTATTGCGAGAGGTCCTTTGTCTCTCGGCTGCTGGGACGTGGCAAATCTGTCAGAAAGAAAGAAGTCGTGCCACAGACAGTGAGAGACAAAGTGGCTGGTGGTCCACACACTATCATTCCAGCATTAGTCTGCCCATGTCTAAACCACAATCCTAGGAAGTGGTCTTCTGCCAAAGTCAGACCCCTGGGGTCCATTTCTCCCTGTACTATCTACACCAGTACAGTCATACCTTGGGTTGAATGTGCTTCGGGATGAGTGCATTCGGGTGCGCATGCGCAGAAGTGGCGAACAGCGACGTGCCCAGACGTGCCGTCGCTGGTTACGTTTGCTTCTAGATGCGAACGGGGTTCCGGAACGGATCCTGTTCGCATCTAGAGGTACCACTGTAGTTCTCAAACATTTTTCTCTGGGCCACACTTTCAGACTAAAAAATTGCTCACACCACACCATTTTTTAATTGATTAGTTATTTATTTAATATTGTATAACGCCCGATACCCGTAGATCTCGGCAGTTCGCAAACATAAACATTAACCACACAGGAAAACAAAAAGAAACAACTCCTAGCAGGGTGCTTGATTTAGAACATAGAACAGCACTTTATAATATGACCCACAAAGCATAAAGCAATGCAGCTACATAAAATCATCAATCATTCCCAAAATATAATTATATTGTTATAATATCAATCATTATTATAATATCAGTCATTCCCAAAATATAATTATAAATGAGCCTCTTACATATGCAGCTTAAAATACATATACAAAACTGTGGCAATGCTTCTATTCTTCTACTTAGTGTATGTGTGGGATTTTGTGTCAGTGTCACTTGTGTGGGTTCTCTTACTATTCACTTGTTGTATTTCCTTGGTGGGGAGAGGTTGGGGGTGGCCTAGGGTGAGGTTGGTTGTCTTTGGCTGGCTGTTGTGAGATTTGTTTTTGTGTGTGAGTGGGATACGTGTGTTGATCAGGTTTGCCAGTTTGATTCGTATGCCGTCAGCCGATTCTTGCCATAGTCTTGTTGGGCTGTGTATGTGATAAAGGGGAACCATACCAGGGTGAAGGCGTCTTCTTCTATTTGTACCTGTGTCAGTTTCAGTTTATTGGTTAGTTTTTCTAATAAGGCTGTTTCCCATGCTATTTGATACCATTGGTCCCTGGTCTCTCCAGTGTCTGGCTATGATGCTTCTGGGCTGCTGAGAGTAGGTGGGTTATGAGCTCTTTGTGATGTGAATGGGCATTGGAGAAATATTGGAAGCTACACATTCAGCTACAAACAGACTGGCAGTGCCTAACCCAAGATTTTAGACGGGGATCCCAACCTTGCCGCTCCAGGATCCAGAACCCGGCACCTTCTGCTTGCGAGGCAGGCGCTCTGCTACTGCGCCACGGTCCTTCCGTGGGCGCGTCTCACCGCAGAGCGGTTAAAAGTTCCAGCCTCAGGCGGCTGACAGAGCCGCCCTCCGAACGGCAGGGGGAGCCCGACAGGCGCTCCGCCTCACCTCCACCCTCCGCCCCTCTGGCCGGCTGCGGGCTCTATGGCCAATCCGGCGACGCTCTGCCTCCGGCGGACGGCGCCTCTGTGGTAGCGAGCCCGAGTAAAACCATCCTAACCCCACATCCGCCTCCCTCCCTCCCTCCCCTCCCTGCGCCCCGCCGCTTTGTACTGCTGAGGGAGGGAAGATGGCGGCGCGGGCGGGCTTCCAGGCGGTGGCTCCGAGCGGCGGCGGCGGCGGGGCCGGCCCCGGGGCGGGAGCGCTGGGCCCAGGGGCTGCCGGGCCTCCTGTGCGGATGGGCCCGGCCCCGGGGCAAGGAATGTACCGCTCTCCCCTGCCCGGCGCTGCATACCCGGTACCCGGCCCGGCCCGGCTGAGGGGAAGGCGAAGGGGGCGGGGCCTGGGGGCGGGGCGTCCGCGAGAGGCGAGGGAGGGAGGGAGGCGGCGGCGGCGGCGGCGACGCTGCAGTGGGCGGGGCTTTCTGGTGGGCGGGGCTGGGAGAGGCTTTCTCTGGGAAGATGGAGGAGAGGAGCAAACGGGAAAAGAGCTGCTGGAAGAGGGCAGGATCCGGGGCATAAGATTTATTGGACCCAAAGGAGAAAGGAGAAATAAAAGCGGGGGGAGAATATGGGGGTGAGGCTTCAATGGCTGGGAGGAAAGGAGGCGGGAAACGGGGGGGCTGCGGGTTTAAGGATCAAGGGTTTAGGGCCGAGGGGGAGGGGAAAGGGGTGGTATTTAGGGCGATGTGGGGAGGGGAGGAAGATCCGGGTTCTCTGGCCTTAAATGGGGGATTTGCAGCCGGTACGTGGAAATGCATTTAAGGGAATCTTCTTGGGGAGGTTTGATTATGGTATTTTCATTTGTTTAATTTATAAGGTTTTGCATATTTTGGGGTTTTTATTGCATAAAAGTGATGCATAAGGAAACGGAGAATTAGAAGTGCACCTGTTTTGAAAGCATAGAGAGAGTTAAAGCCGACAGAAATCCGGCTAGCCGATGTAAAGGTGTTTGGTTTTGGTTTTTTCAAATGAATAAATGAAAAATTCCAAAGGGGGAGGTGGGGTGTTCCAGAGATAGCGAGGCTAAAGGCGGGTTTGTGCAAGGAGCAGCAGGTACAAGCGATAAAGCTTTGCTTGGCTTGTACCGTTTCAGGGGGCAGGGAAGGGTTGCTTGTTTGAATGCTTCTCTGACCAGGAGAGAAACTTACCCCCGCCCCATGTCTACACACACATTTAAGCTTAATGCAATAATAGGGAAATGTCTGGATTCTTCTATGTGAAGTGCTAGATGCACTGCACACAAAATAACATATTTTTTGCTCTATAAGACTCACTTTTTCTCTCCTAAAAAGTAAGGGGAAATGTGTGTGCATCTTATGGAGCGAATGCAGGCTGCGCAGCTATCCCAGAAGCCAGAAACAGCAAGAGGGATCGCTGCTTTCACTGTGCAGTGATTCCTCCTGCTGTTCTGGCTTCTGAGATTCAGAATATTTTTTTTCTTATTTTCCTCCAAAAACTATGTGCTTCTTATGGTCTGGTGCGTCTTATAGAGCGAAAAATACGGTAATTCGTATGTTGGAGGCATAGCGAAACTTGCAAGTCTCCAGCTGCAGGCTGAAATGGCACAATCGAAGAAAAGCTGTACCACTTGATTCTGTTGGGACCAACCGTGACAGATGAGATTAAGAAATACCTTTGATGGAACTGAAGGGAAATGTCTTAGGGTGTTTCGCTAAAGGGAAGCGGTGATGTCCTGAGGCTCTTCCAAAGTCATGTTCCTCTGTGTTCTTTATTTTCCCAGCGCCCTGGCATGCTGCCTGGCAGCCGCATGAACCCTCAGGGACCTGCCATGGGACCTCCAGGGTATGGCGGGAGCCCTTCAGTCCGACCAGGGATGGCTCAGTCGGGAATGGACCAGTCTCGCAAAAGGCCAGCCCCTCAGCAGATCCAGCAAGTTCAGCAACAGTCAGTTCAGAACCGTAACCATAAGTAAGAGAACCCGCTTCTTTCACAAGCCTCGTGGCAATGAAGAGCATAAATGCCATGCTCTTCAGCATCTTTGGGGTGATATTGGCTGTTATTTTAAGTTCCAAAAATGGTTTACTTGGAAAAATAGAGAGAGGGAGAGGAGAAGCCTCAGGAAGACAATTTAAACTCTGAAATCACTATTGATATAACTAGGAGGAAAGGAGATGTAACTGCAGACTCGCTGACAGCCATGTATTTATGGGAGCTTCCTGCACTGAACATTCCTTTCCTGTATCCTCAATCTGTGATTCCCACATAAGTCATGTGGTCAGATATTAGCATGGGATACTGTGTGGGTGCATTGTGGTTTGTGCAGGTCAGGTGCACTGTCTTGAGTTTCGAAAGAACCCAGAGCGAAAAAGCCAAGTGGTGTTCTCTGATACTTGCATATACTGGTGCTCTCAATATGACAAGCTTCTTTAGGTTGCAGATGTGAAATAATTTTACCTATATTAAGATCCCCACTGCAGATTGCAGCCGTGTGCATACTTACTAAGGAGCATGTTCCTCTGAACTCAGTGGAACTTACTTCTGAGTAAATATGCCTAGGATCATGCTGTGATTCCTAGACACTGGCATTCAACTTCATTTAGAAAGTTTCTTTTAAAATATATATATATTGATTTTTCACTGAAAAATCTTTACAAATTTTAACATAAACGGTAAATTACTTTATCCATTGACCTTTTAGAATTTTTCATTATTAAAAAACCCCCAGATGACTTTTATTTCCTTGGCGCCTAACAAAGCTCTGTCATAGTAGGAAGTATCCTTTATGTATTTTGTTTGCATTTTTATTTTTATTTAAAATGGATCAAATAGTAGATATGATTCAGTAACATATCCAATCTACAAGGTACTGCTTAGCCAGGGGTTCGGACTTACCACCCTAACAATTTTGTTTTTACATAGTGCCAAGAAAAAGAAGATGGCGGATAAGATTCTACCTCAGCGGGTGAGTGAGGCTTGAAGCGCTTTGAGGTCTGTTACGGTTTCAGGGAGCCAGGCCAGTCCTGACTGATAATACTTGTGCTCTGTTCTAGATCCGGGAGCTAGTGCCAGAGTCTCAGGCGTACATGGATTTGTTGGCGTTTGAGAGGAAGCTGGACCAGACCATCATGAGGAAGCGGTTGGATATCCAGGAGGCCTTGAAGCGGCCCATTAAGGTAACAAGAGGAGAGTCCCCATAAGAAACGCCGATCTTTCCTACAGCAATAGAAAATAAAGTCAACATGCCCAGTACAGACATAGCAATTATGTTGCTGTCTGGGGCACAGTTACAGGCTCCGGGCTTCTCTAAATAGGAATTCTCAAGTGTGCATTTGCGATTAGAAACGTACAGTGGTACCTCGGTTTTCGAACATCTTGGAAGTCAAACTTTTCTGTTTTCGAATGCCAAAAACCCAGAAGTAAATGCTTCCATTTTCAAACGTGCCTCGGAAGTCAAATGGCTTCCACTGAGTTTTTTAAAAATTTATTTTCTCCATTAAATTTGCCTTTGTGCCTCGATTTTTGAACGTTTCGGAACTGTCTTCCGGAACAGATTACGTTCAAAAACCCAGGTACAGTCATATCTCATGTTATGTTTGCTTCATGTTACATTTTTTCAGGTTGCGTCCCACAGTGACCCGGAAGTACCGGAAAGGGTTACTTCCGGGTTTCGCTGCTCGCGCATGCGCACAAGCGCTAAATTGTGCTATGCGCACAAGCACCAAGTCGCGCCGCACACCTGCACAGATATGGCGCTTCAGGTTGCGGGCTTTACATGTTGCGAACGGGCCTCTGGAACGGATCCCATTCGCAACCAGAGGTACCACTGTATTCGCTTCCTGTCTATCGCAAACCATACCTGCTAAGATGGTTAGAGTTGCTTTCAAACCAAAGTCCCATCTACACTTCAAGTGCTGAAATGAATTAAGCCAGGAGACCCTGCAAAGCAAATGGAAGAAGGCCGTGGTTAGTCGCTTCTCCTGTAGTAGCTTAATCAAAGGTTATGAACTGAGACCTGACTTCTTCTGCAGGTGCTGACTGATACAGAAGAAATCACACTGTTCCCTGATGACACAGTTTAAGTTAGCTGCTGCTTCCTTGCTCAATCTGCAGCTATCAGATACAGAGATGAGCATTAGCAGCTGTGCAGACCCCTTTTCTTTTTGGGGTGTCCAGTTGGTTCCTTGGGTTGAGGAAGTGTTAAATATTACGGTTATCGGTTCTCACTTTCACAACTAATGCGCACTGGGTGCTGCTCCTTTTCAGCAAAAGCGGAAGCTGCGCATCTTTATCTCTAACACCTTCAACCCAGCCAAGTCTGATGCAGAGGATGGAGAAGGCACCGTGGCCTCCTGGGAGCTCCGAGTGGAAGGACGTCTGCTAGAAGATGTGAGTGAGGGCTACAATCGCCATCTCCACTTAGGGCTGCAGAGAGTTTGCAAATGTATCATTGCTGAGTTCCTAATGCCTGGGGTTCTTTAAACTAGACAAGGTGGAGAGCAGCTAAACCTTGCCTGTAGCCAGTCCTGAAAGTTGGCTTCTACCGATGCTTGAAATAAGTGTTATGTCACAACCAAAATGCTGGGTTTGCAAGAAGTGGCATGTGACTCATCTCCAGCCTGGAATCACACAATTTCTCATACTTTACATAGCTGCACTGTGAGATAATTCTTTGGTTTGTATTCAGGAACGAACATCGAGTGCTTCTGCTGATTGCAAGCAGCAAAACAGATTGGTTGAACAGATTCAGATTGTATACTATTTGGTTCAACAGTGGAGATCTCTAATTGGCACCTGAGATTTCATTCAGGCCATATTCATAATCTGCCTTAATCTTACAGTTCTTAAGGTCTATCTTTTCGATGGTCAGGCGTATCAATTTCACATCTTTAAAAACTTAAGAGAACTTCCAGGGTTTTTTAGGGGGTGGGGAGGCCATGAAGCTGACATAAGCCTAACGCTTGCAAGTGACATACACTTCAATAAGCCCCAAAGAAGACCTTAGATAAAGGATACTACACTGAGGAGGGGTGGATGCAATACAGTGCTAGAGAGGACATTGCTCTTGGCTCTGTGGAAGGCATTTGACAGGTCACAGAGAGCAACCTTTCATATCTTTACTTGAGAGATGATTCACGGTTCCTGTTAGTTTCTCAGGCTTGATTGACTGCTCTGTGTAATTGGTTGCTGTGATCCGGGATCTGCTGGTCTCATTCTCCCTTTTCCCTCCTCCCCTTTCATCAGTCTGCTCTCTCAAAGTATGATGCTACCAAACAGAAGAGGAAGTTCTCATCCTTCTTTAAGTCTCTGGTGATTGAGCTGGACAAGGACCTCTATGGCCCTGATAATCACCTGGTGGAGGTAAGATGCTTCTCATGGGGGTGTGTGGGTGTTTCAGGACACGGGTGGCGCTGTGGTCTAAACCACTGAGCCTCTTGGGCTTGCTGATCGGAAGGCCGGCAGTTCGAATCCCCACAACAGGGTGAGCTCCCGTTGTGCTGTCCCAGCTCCTGCCAACCTAGCAGTTTGAAAGCACGCCAGTGCAAGCAGATAAATAGGCACCGCTGTGGCGGGAAGGTAAACAGCTTTTCCATGAGTTCTGGTTTCCATCACAGTGTCTCATTGCGCTGGAAGCGGTTTAGTCATGCTGGCCAGAAGACCTGGAAAGCTGTCTGTAGACAAACACCAGCTCCCTCATCCTGAAAGGGAGATGAGCGCCGCACCCCATAGTTGCCTTTGACTGGACTTAACCGTCCAGGCGTCCTTTACCTTTAACCTATGTTTGTTATATCGCATAACCCCAATAGCTTCCTAAACCAATATATGTTCTCAACCCGATTATGGCATGTAAGGAATATGGAAGCCACAGTAACAGAGAATCAAGTGCAAAGGTCTGGAACGGCTTCCAGTACAGCATACTGCTCTTTATGCAGTGGCATTTCACTTTGTCTCTGAATGCCTGTCTCTTTCTTTCCCTGCCACCTCACCTGTCCTGTTTTTCCCCTCTCTCCTCACCTTTAGTGGCATAGGACTGCTACCACCCAGGAAACTGACGGTTTCCAGGTGAAAAGACCTGGCGATGTGAATGTGCGTTGTACTGTCCTCTTGATGCTGGATTACCAGGTAGGCTAAAGCTCCTTCATGATAGAGCCAGCTGAGATGGGGCCTGAGGGGAGAGGAAATGCCAGGTAGTAGGGGAGGGAAGCTGAGAAAAAGTTCACCAATGGCAACCAAGACATCCCTTTGGTTTTATATAGCATATGAGTAGACGAATCTAAAAAGCCCGGGACCCAAATTCTCACAGCTCTCTAATAATAATAATAATAATAATAAATTTTATTTATACCCCAGCCAGAGCTGGGCTCAGGGCAGCTAACACCAGTAAAATTACAGTAAAAACATAATGGGAGGGGCAATTTAAAATACAGGTTAAAATGCAATTTAAAATGCAGCCTCGTTTTAAAAGTAGCCCATAGATCAAAACCATAAGGAGAGGGAAACATAAGGGTCAGACTGAGTCCAAACCAAAAGACAGGCAGAACAGCTCTGTCTTGCAGGCCCTGCGGAAAAATGTCAAGTCCCACAGGGCCCTAGTCTCTTGTGACAGAGCGTTCCGCCAAGTCGGGGCCAGTACTGAAAAGGCCCTGGCCCTAGTTGAGCAGCTATGGTGGCTCATTTACCAGACGTAATGTATTTAACGGTAACTCCAGATGTGTATACTGGGTTCTGACCAAACCAAGCTTCCTAGACCCATGTACAATCTGAAACCAAAGGGGTGCATTGGTTGCTAGATGTGAAATACATTGGCATTATTTTCAGCTCTTCAGCCCCACTAAGAACGTTTGTGTTTATCAGCCAACAACTGCTCTGTCAACAGTCACTAATGATTTCTACATTTGATCTTTAATGCAATTATCAGAATCAGGTACAGTGGTGCCCCGCAAGACGAATGCGTCGCAAGACGAATGCCTCGCAAGACGAAAGGGTTTTGCGTTTTTTGAGTCGTTCCGCAAGAAGAATTTCCCTATGGGCTTGCTTCGCAAGACGAAACGTCTTGCGAGTTCTTGCGAGTATTTCCTTTTTCTTAAAGCCGCTAAGCCGTTAATAGCCGCTAAGCCGCTAATAGCCGTGCTTCGCAAGACGAAAAAACCGCAAGACGAAGAGACTCGCGGAACGGATTAATTTCGTCTTGCGAGGCACCACTGTATTTCTTGTGTTTCATTTTCCTCTGACTTCACCTCTAGCTACCCATGTGTATAGATGTACCTGATAACTTCTAAACTGCTCAGAGGCTTTACTACAGCCCAGGGGTATATAAATGTTGTTGAATAAATAAGATAGCATCCCATCCTTCTGATGAATTGGCTTCTGGGCCATGAAAGCTTCTGTTATAATTTTGTGAGTCTATAAGGTTGCCACAGTTTTCTTAGGCTTTGTTGTTGTTGTTGTTGTTATTTGCTACGACTGACTAGCACAGCTGCCCCTCTGGAAATATGAGGGATATCAGCAACTGTGGTAAAATTGTAACTAGACCGTCTTTTGGACCTGTCCGTGTTCCCACAGACACTTTTTTATCACAAAATTGCTTCAATTCTCTTTCCTGACGTGAGTTTGTGTAGTAAAAGTGGTGATTAAAATAATAAGTGGTTTCGAATGTACTCACGGGGTGGTTGCAATATCACCAAGTGAATGATTTGTTAAAAGATGATAAAAAGAAACTGGGATTTGAAGATAAAAAATCTAAATTTAATGTGGAAGTCATAGAAGGTAAAAATAAAACATTATCTAGGATGTATGACATCTTACTGGACTGGTATACAAAAGACGAAGAGGTGAAGGAGGTTATGATAAAATGGGCCGTAGATATCAGTCATAATATTGACTTTGTAAAGTGGCAAGAACTGTGGAATGTAAATATGAAATTCACGGCGTGAACCTTTGGAAGATGATTTATAGGTGGTATCTCACGCCAGTGAAATTGGCTAAGATCTATAAACTGAAGACTAAGAAATGTTGGAAATGTGGAGAGGGGGATGGTGAGTTCTACCACATGTGGTGGACATGCAGTAAAGTAAAAGGCTTTTGGGAACTGATTTACAACGAACTTAAAAAAAAATTTAAATATACTTTTCCCAAAAAGCCTGAAGCTTTCCTGCTAGGAATAGTAGGCAAGGAAATTAAAAAAGAGGATAAAAATCTGTTTCTATATGCCACAACGGCCGCTAGAACTATGTTAGCCCAAAGTTGGAAAATGGAGTTAATACCTACTATAAATGACTGGCAGATCAAGATGTTAAACTATGCTGAACTAGCTAGAATATCAGGAAGATTAAGAGACCAGGATGACCAGAAGTTTCATGACAATTGGAACAAATATCTAACGTATATTAAAGATAAGTATAGAACTTTGATGACTCTGGCAGGGTTGGAATAACTCTAACAGTGTTTGGCAAATATGCAAAAGAGATAAAACACGTGACTTTAGAATCTATCTGATACTTACCAACGAAGTGAAGGGAAGTCCGGGGCTCGGCGGAGCCTAAAATAACTGTGTAATGTATATATGACTTTTGTAACAGCTATGTTATATGTAACTTATGTAATCTAGACTGCATATATGTATAACCAATGAAAAACTAATAAAAATTTATATGGGGTAAGATGGGGGGGGGGGGAATGAGTGTTTTCTCTCCACCACCCCGCCAAAATGGTCACAGGGAATTTTTTTTCTCCCCCTCAGAAGTTGAGGGGTGGTGGTTGTTGTTTTTTACGATTTTTAGGCAAGGCAAATAAGAGAGCTGTGTTCTTGCCCTTTTGAGACTTTGCTTTTCCTTTGCAGCCTCCTCAGTTCAAACTGGACCCCCGTTTGGCTCGCCTCTTGGGCATCCACACCCAGACCCGCCCAGTGATTATCCAGGCCCTGTGGCAATACATCAAGACGCACAAGCTGCAGGACCCTCACGAACGGGAATACGTCATTTGTGACAAGTACCTCCAGCAGGTAAAAGCTATGAGGCCAGGCAGCGGCTCTTTCTGGGGTATCGTAAGAGCTGGGCCCTTCTGAGCTGCTTGGCCTTCCCTTTCGACCTGCAGATATTTGAATCTCAGCGAATGAAGTTCTCGGAGATTCCTCAGCGGTTGCATGCTTTGCTTATGCCTCCAGAACCGATCATCATCAACCATGTCATCAGGTAAGGCGCAAGCGGGGCTTGGCGTGGGAATCTTAGCCAGGCAGGCCGCAGGACTGTCGTGGGGGGGAGGGTGACATAAGCGAAAATATTTACAATGACAAAAAAACAACCACGCTAGAACAAACTTTCAGTAGTGATTCTTGCTTCAAGTTGTACTGAGGGGGGTCTGTTTTAAGGTGCATATCATTTTCACATTTCCCAAACATTCATGCTTTAAAGTAGAAGCAGAAATCAATCTATGGAAAATTGGAAGTTCTGGGCAGACTGGATTTGGAGGATGGATGGCGGCGAACAGATTGAGCTTGAATCCTGACAAGACAGAAGTACTGTTTTTGGGGGACAGAAGGCGGGCAGGTGTGGAGGATTCCCTGGTCCTGAATGGGGTAACTGTGCCCCTGAAGGACCAGGTGCGCAGCCTGGGAGTCATTTTGGACTCACAGCTGTCCATGGAGGCACAGTCAAATCTGTGTCCAGGGCAGCTGTTTACCAGCTCCATCTGGTACATAGGCTGAGACCCTACCTGCCCGCGGACTGTCTCGCCAGAGTGGTGCATGCTCTAGTTATCTCCCACTTGGACTACTGCAATATGCTCTATGTGGGACTACCTTTGAAGGTGACTTGGAAACTACAACTAATCCAGAATGCGGCAGCTGGACTGGTGACTGGGGGCGGCCGCCAAGACCATATAACACCAGTCTTGAAAGACCTACATTGGCTCCCAGTACGTTTCCGAGCACAATTCAAAGTGTTGGTGTTGACCTTTAAAGCCCTAAACGGCCTCGGTCCAGTATACTTGAAGGAGCATCTCCACCCCCATCGTTATGCCCGGACGCTGAGGTCCAGCGCTGAGGGCCTTCTGGCGGTTCCCTCATTGCGAGAATCAAAGCTACAGGGAACCAGGCAGAGGGCCTTCTTGGTAGTGGCGCCCGCCCTGTGGAACGCCCTTCCAGCAGATGTCAAAGCGATAAACAACTACCTGACATTCAGAAGACATCTTAAGGCAGCCCTGTTCAAGGAAGTTTTTAACGTGTGATATTTTACTGTATTTTTGGTTTCTATGGAAGCCGCTCAGAGTGGCTGGGGAGGCCCAGCCAGATGGGCGGGGTATAAATAATAAATTATTATTATTATTATTATTATTATTATTATTATTATTATTTATTTTGGAAGCAGAGAAATGCTACCTAAAAATGTTCTTTGCCTAAGGTGGTTAAGGTAGGGGTGACGTAAGCTGTGGACCTTCAGATGGTTGTTGTTATTATTATTAAATTATCAATCAATCGGTATTTATTACGGTCCAGAGACCCAACAAATTGTTACAAAGCAATGCACAATTCAGACAGCCTACCTCCAACTTAAACAAGCATTTTGTTCAGACTTAAGGATAGGGATCATGCAACCACCAATAAAAACTTTGCCACTGCTAATGTTCTAGCGTTTGTCCAGTCTTCCAATAGGAACCTGACATAGTGAGCCTCTGATTTTCCCGGGAAAGATACCAGCAAGGGTAATATCAGTTCAGCCCTGGCTTGCTCATATTTTGCACAGTGCAGCAAAATGGAATCGATGTCTTGAGCACATGAGCAAAGTCTGTCCTGGTAGGGAACTCCTCTCAACCTGCCATCCAACACTGCAGAAGGAAAGACGTTTAGTCTGGCTTTGGTGAAAAGCCTTCAATAGTTTGGTACTGTCAGGTTTTTAATGTAAGATGTTAACTTAAAGACATTTATTAAATTATTATTTCCTGATATTTAATTTTACTGTTTGCTATTATATTCTAATGGATTGTGAAATGTTGCTTTATTTGATATAAGTTGTTTATTTTAAAGTTATTGTGACTTCTTTCTGTGGGGTCAGATTGCTATTATTAATGTTTGATGTTTTATTATGTTTTAAAGGTGTTGGAAGCTGCCCAGAGTGGCTGGGCCAACTCAGCCAGATGGGCGGGTATAAATAATAAAATTGTGTGTGTCCCCCCCACCCCCCCATCTGACTGGGTTGCCCCAACCACTCTGAGCGGCTTGCAACAAATATAAAAGCGTAATAAAACATCTAACACTGAAAAACTTACCTATTCAGGGCTGCCTTCAGATGTCTTCTAAACGTTGTGTAGTTCTTTAGCCCCTTGACAACTGATGGGAGGGCATTCCACAGGGCTGGGGCCACTAACATGAAGTCCTCTGCCTGGTTCCCTGTAACTTCTTGCAGTGAGGTTACTGAATTACAACTTCCATCATCCTGGACATGCAGGCTGAGGTTGATGGGAGTTGTAGTTCGACAGTTCCTGAACAAGGCTACTGATTGTCCGTCCCAGCTTGATGATTCATTTCCCCAGTTATCTCTGTCGGTGATTTGGTAGAGTTCTGCTGAACCCACACACCTCTCTCTCTCTCTCTCTCTCTCTCTCTCTCTCTCATCTTGCTTCTCCAGCGTCGATCCAAATGATCAGAAGAAAACTGCTTGCTATGACATTGATGTGGAAGTGGATGACACTTTGAAAACCCAAATGAATTCTTTCCTGCTCTCCACAGCCAGTCAGCAGGAGATAGCTGCACTGGATAACAAGGTGGGAGCGAGTCTCTGAAAAGTGGCCTTTGCACTTTGCAAAGACTCTTGCTTTGATCTCTGTGATGTCTGAGAAGGTACAGCTCTTCCTGCGTCGTGTCCAGTTGTGAGCTTTTAAAGTTGTTCTGCAGCCATGTAGATTAAAACTTTGGGGTCATAAAAATCCATTGAAACAGCAAGCATTACGCAACTCTGTTGGGGTGGTGAAATAGGGCAAAAAGAAGAAAAATACTTTATAATGCTTGGTGATTTAGAGAAGGCACCAGCAGTTGGCAGTCCTGGTTTCTTCCATGACTGTATGTTGATGTCATGCATTGGATTGCAGCATTGAGGTTCGAACAGACAGCTTCTCCCCATTGCCTTTAGAGTAAGCCCAGATTTAAGTTGTGCACATTCAGCTTACGCCTTACGCGCTTGGCAAACCAAAACAAAAAATTTAGAAAGGGGGCGGATGTCCACTGACCATTGCACCCAATGCCGTTTTGGCTTTAGGCGTGATCCCTGCAATGTAACCCCTGCGTAAGTTGAGGGCTTTGTGTATTTCTGAATACTTTGGTTATGTAGGGTAGGGGTGGTAGACCCAGTGTGGTGTGTGGGAACCCAGCCGCCACCCTCCTGCAGATTTTAAGCATGAGAACAGCCTCCTAAGGGAGCTAGTAGGCTTTTTCCAATTGCAGTGTAGGAATGATTTGGGGGAGCTCTAACCCTGCAGGTGCACACACGTACACTGAAAACGGTCCCTCTGCACCACAACAAGGTTTGAAAGCAGTCTTCTGTTGAAAGGCTGTTTTTAAGCCTAATTGCGGTGTATAATTTTTGTGGCAAGAAGGCTTCTCCAGCTGCAAGCGCCTCAAATAACACAGGCACCGTTCTGGCAGCTTGGCCTGAAAACTGCCAAAATGATTGCTGGCGGGGGATGAACAAGTGCATGAGAGAGTATGATTTGACCAGGCCAATTTTGCCTGCACCCACTGTTTGTTTTTTGGTCCTCGCCACCATTGGCTAATGCAGCCTCCAGAGAGAATTGTGGCCTATGGACCCATAAAAGTTCTCCAACGTGAGAGCCAGTGTGGTGTAGTGGTTAAGAGCGGTGGACTTGTAATCTGGTGAACCGGGTTCACTTCCTCGCTCCTCTACATGCAGCTGCTGGGTGACCTTGGGCCAGTCACACTTCTCTGAAGTCTCTCAGCCTCACTCAACTCACAGACTGTTGTGGGGGAGGAAGGGAGAGGAGAATGTGAGCCACTTTGAGACTCCTTAAAGGGAGTGAAAGGCGGGATATCAAGTGCAAACTCTTCTTCCTCCCTATCCCTGCTCTAAGGCCTGTAAATGTGAGCTGCACATTGCACTGGCTCACGTGACTCCCCAATGGTCTTTTCTGACCAAAAGGGAGCACAGAATACTCTGGCCCAGGCCCGCTTCCCGTGTGTATTTTCACTGTATCTCTACAAGAATACATGCCACCTACTCTCATGCAGGTGTGTGGTATCTCAGTGGCAAAACTACCTGTTTTGTCTTGCAAACGGACAGCTTCTTGATGAACATATGGCCATTCAGCAGCTCAGCATCTTGCAAAAAGGGTTCAAGGGCAACTGCTGTCTGAGAGTTTTCCACAGTCTCTCAGGTCATCTGTAGCAGCCTTTAAGTCTAACCTGGGTTTTCTCAGCTTCCTGGCCTGCAGTCAGCCTTTCAGAGCCTCTGGGACAGCTGCCCAGTCACTGTCATTAAAGGATGAAACAAAACAGATTCCTGCCTGGTAGGATTCAGGCTCTGGGGCAACTGCTGAAGGATCTACTACTTTTAACCAGGACAGGGGGTGGGACTTGTAGGGATGGTGCATGTGGAGAGAGCCTTGACACAATTGGGTCAGCTATAAAATATCCCAGCCTACTGCATACTTGCAAGCATATTTACTCAGAATAAGCCCCATTGAGTTTTTAACGGGACTTACTCCCTCCTTGGGATCCCAGTCCTGATGCCATTTCAGTTCTGCCTTTTGACGTTCTGGAGTTTTTCATACAGATTTTAGCTTTCCCTGCTTGGAATTGATGGCTGGGATTTTTTTTTTTATTTGCTTAATTAATACAGCTGCTACTAGATCCGTATGAACCCCTTCATAAATTTGATCCCATTTGCTGAATTGAGAGAGAAGGGGGACCCTAAGTTGGGTTTACAGTTGCCTTGTTCTGAAACCATGCAACAAACCAAATGAGTGCACGGATAAAATGGCACAAATTTACAGGAAGGAAGAGGAAAAACTTGCCACAGCAGAGTAGAGGACTCAGTCGGTGGCCAAGAAGAGAGGTATAATGTGTGTTCTTGCTTCTGAATATGTTCTGCGTTAAAAAAACAACGAGGAGTGAAAATGTGCCCCAGGATACATTGGAAGCTGCAGACCTTCTTCATGTGCGTTCTGGTAGCAGGTGGCATTTCAGCACGGTGCTGTTGCATCCCTTTTGCCAACGTTTCCGTGCGTCGTTTTCTCCCATCTCAGATCCACGAGACCATAGAAACAATCAACCAGCTGAAGACCCAGCGGGAATTCATGCTGAGCTTTGCCAGAGACCCCCAGGGCTTCATCAACGACTGGCTGCAGTCCCAGTGCCGGGACCTGAAGGTGAGAAGCCTCGAAGGAGAATTCAAGCACAGATCACCACCTGGCTTTGTTTGGGCCAGCTACACTGCATTTCCAGTTGAAAGGCTAGCCTAGGGGGTTAAAATTTAGAATCCTTGTTGGGCCTTTCAAGCGAGGGCTTCCGGCTTAGCTCATGCATGAATGGATGCATTAAAAGGGTCTCCCTCTCCCTTTCCCTATGCTCCTTCCAGGCTATGACTGATGTTGTCGGGAACCCAGAAGAGGAGCGCCGAGCTGAGTTTTACTTCCAGCCATGGGCTCAGGAGGCCGTGTGCAGATACTTCTACTCTAAGGTAAACAGGCTCATCCTCTGTGATCCCTTCCAAACAGTGAGCTGGACAGTCTCCCATATCATGGAGAGTCACCTACTCAGTTTGGGCAGGATACAGTGGTGCCTCGCAAGACGAAATTAATCCGTTCCGCAAGAGTCTTCGTCTAGCGGTTTTTTCGTCTTGCGAAGCAAGCCCATTGACGGATTAGCGCTATTAGCGCTATCAGCTGTTTAGCGGCTATTAAAGGCTTAAAGGCTTAGGGGATTAGCTGCTAAAAGGCTATTAAAGGCTATTAAAGGCTTAGCAGATTAGATAAAGGGGGGGGAAAGCGAAAAAAAAAATCTCAAGACTCGCAAGACATTTTCGTCTTGCGAAGCAAGCCCATAGGGGAATTCGTCCTGCGAAGCAACTCCAAAACGGAAAACCCTTTCGTCTAGCGGTTTTTCCGTCTTGCGAGGCATTCGTCTTGCGGGGCACCACTGTACTTTAGTCCTGGTTGCCCAGTTGCCTTTCAAGGCCCTGCCAGCCATGAGCATATTTAACTTGGAGCCAAACATATTTAAGAGCAACACACAGCAAACGAATAAAGGATAATTTTCCATACTCCTTCAGGTTTATATTTTGTCTTGTGCAGTTCAGAGCCTAACCCAGTCTGTGTATGGAATAATCACCAAAACGCCCAAAAAAGATTTAAAAATTGGAGGTGCGGGCATGGCGCACAAAAGAACTTAAGAGTTCACATTTTTGTGAAGGGAAGAGCACTGTATACAAACCTGTGGTCCTTGGTTGAAGGGTTGTATGTAAATTTAATAAGTTAAAGAAAGAAGGAGTACCTCTTGAGCCAGGACTATAGCAGGGGTAGCCAACATGGTGACCTCCAGATGGTTTGGACTACAATTCCCATCAGCCCCAGCTAGTGGGCTGCAAGGGCAGGTCTGCTGAGAGGCGTCGTCAAATGACATTTGGTCCCCCATCCCTGCTATAAAATGTTGCTGGTGTGGCATCTGCTGCTAGCTCCTCCTTTTTGGAAACATCAGAAACTGGACAACACCCGCTCTTTCTGCATGTGTGCTAAAACTCTGGTTTTGGCTTCTCTCACAGGTTCAGCAGAGACGGCAGGAGCTGGAGCAGGCCCTGGGAATCCGCAACACATAGGCAGGCCTGCCTCTCCCAAGCCAGCAGGTCTTAACGGCTAACCAAACACTGCAGGGATTCACTGCTCAGGCCTATACAATTCCCACTTCAGCACAGAACCTACCGTTCCTCTCCCGACATCTCTTTCCGCTGCTCCGGTCCCCTCCCTCGGGGGGAGGAGGGGATGGTGTCAGGCCAAAGGTCTTGTATTTCAGCTTGGCCTCCTTCCTCGATTGTTGCCTTTGGAGCCCCAGGGCTCTCCTGTCCTGGCTCTAGCTGAAGCTCTTCCACGCTTGGAACAGCTTCAGTTCAGAGCCTTGCAAGCTCAGGACCTCCTTGCCAGTCCCTAGGAACTCCCCCCCCCCCCAATTCCACCCCCAAAGCTGTGTCTGCACATCAGCTTTGTACCTGAGCAGATGGGTACAGGCCTGGGCCCGTTCAGCTTCTTGTAGGGCGAGAGGAGAGGAGCAGGAGGGTGTCACTGCAGCAAATTCCATATGCCTTTCAGGGGCTGAGGGATGTTGTGCAAATTCATCTATTCTGAAACAGCCGGAGCTCCCTCTGGCTTTTTCCCTGGGAGCTGCGACGCAGCAAAGTTGGCAAGGAGTCTGCAGGGTCACTACACTTGTATCTGTCTTAACTTCATGCTGGTGTTTTGCTTTTTGTTTTCGAATGGGGTAGCTGGCGGAGATGCCCAGATACAGTCTTGGGCCTGGGCCTGTTCCACAGTGGTCATCCCAATCGTTGCCCCCCTCCCCAGCGGGGGAGGAGGGGCATCTCCATCTCGCCCCTACCTCCATCCGAATTCCTAAACGCTGCTTCTTCCCCCCACCCCACCCCGCAACTCTCTAGATCCACAGAACTTGGGGGAAGGGCACCTTCCCAGTCAGGGTTGCTTTCCTAATGCCTTCCTCACCTAATATGGCACAGAGCAGGTTTCTGGAGCGAATTAACAGGGTGCGGAACTGACGGAGCGGGGAGAGATGGCAGGCAGGTGTTCATGACCTGGGAGGAATTTTTGGCAAAAGCAGCCACTCACTTCTGACATGTGGTTGTTTGGGGCTGGAAGGTTGGTCCCAAGCACCTGCTGTAGGGTTTTTTTTTGGGGGGGGGGAAATGGAGCTGCATCTTTCTGCAGACTGGTTTTTGGGACTGTAATGCAGCTGGACAGGTCCCGGCTGCTTGTACTCTTATGACACTAGCTGCAAAAAAAAAATCAAGTTACTGACAAGCCCCACTTCCTCATCCACCTCCTGGAATGAGGCCAGGGGCCGCTTTGAATTCAGGAGTCCGGGTGGCCCTATTCCCTTGTGTATGCGTCCACGTTCAGAGAGTGAGAGGCTCTATCCTTCTTGTCTCGTCTTTGCCATATGAAAGACCACCTCGCCCTTTTTACCTACCTCCCCGTCCACCACCAAACCCCGCTTTGTGGTACCAGGGATTAGAACCCCGGTGCCTTAACGTAGCTGCCGCAGGCTCTCAGGGCAAGTATAGATGAAGGAAGCTCAGAGACTGACTGGCTCGGCAAAGTGTAGCTGCTTTTAACTGCTCCCTATTATGCTTTTGTGTTTCGTGGCTCTCTTTCTTCTCTCCCTTCTCCCTCCCCGTGGACCAAATCTTTTTTCTTTTTCTTTTTTTGTACTGTATCCTTTTAGATGTCACCTTCTTCTAATAAAAACTGCCTCTAAACGATGGAGCTCTGCATCCTTTTTGTGCTGCACTGCCGACTTTCTTTGTATGCCAGGTGGAGTTTCCGTTTTCCTCCCCGTTTCAGAAAAATCCTAAAGTGTTTGCTGTGGTTGTTTGGAACACTTAACGGCTCGAACGAGGTAACCCCCCTTTTTATTGGTTGCCTTGGAGAAGAAAAATTGCCTGGCAACGTAGGAAAAACCTTCAGGCTGCTGAGTGCATGCTTCAGCTTTCATAAAAACACTGGATGTGTGTGTGTGTTACGTACACACACATGGAGAAAGCAGCCTTGGGAGAGGAATAGGGAACCTTCAGTCGTTTTGGGACTACAATTCCCATTCTCCCTGGCCATTCACTTCTGTGGCTGGTGAGAATTGGAGCCAGGCAATTCGTTTGCACTTAGTTGTGCAGTGCTTACATCTTTTCTCAAAGCACTTAACCATTTCGAGTTAAATCTCATGAGAACTTTTCCATTATGTACAGGCTGGGTCGGATGATCTCATGCAATTTCAGAATAACGATATTATGTATTGCACCATTAATGTCTGCTGCTTTTTACTGAGTAAGCTAAAGCTTGACAAAAGAAGGCAACGGACAGAAGGCACGATTCAGATGAGGGTAAGTGGGAAGATAAAAGTCAGTTCACCAAGCAGATCAGTCATTTTGTAGTAAGTCCTCAAGACGGCAACAAAAATATTTCTTTCTGATTGAGAAAGGTCTCTAGATCAACATATCCAACCAAAATTAAAGGCCTGCCATTTGGGGATGCAGTGGTTGATTTCAAGTGCTATGAACTTAGAAGAATGCATATGATTGGACTGCCATACATCTGAAAACATCACATTTTTGTTGCCATTTTATTGTGAGTTATTTATAACATAGCATTCGACCTTGCCTTTTACTGGGTGGAACACAAAATTTCATCAAAAATACAATGCAGCAAGTAAAATATTAAAACCACAATAGAGATGTTTGAAGGTAGGGGAAAGTAGTTTGTGCTGTATCAAGCAGACGTAGTTCGTTAAATTAATCATTACATCTTTATAATGAAATTAGATACTGTACTTCTATGTTCTTAAAAGTAAGCCTACGTCTTTAACAGCTGTGCATAGGTAACGGAAGCAGGTGTAGAGTGGCCTTTACTAGTTTAGGTTTTCCTAAGTGAGGAAATTTCATTTTGGGATGTTCCCTGTGTTTAAAAAAAAGATCCTGCAGAAAGAAAATGAGTACCTCAAGCACAAAGCGGAATTCAGATGTTTTGTGGCGTGCTATTTTTTCTGGATATAGGAAACACTCTCTGAAGCATCAGAGCATTAAAAAAATGTTAGCCCCTACTTATATAGCCTGAAGCGGTATAGTTCATTCTTCCATCTCCTGTTGCATGTGAAGGCCCAGCCTAGATTCTTCACAGGGAGGAGGAGGAATCGAGGGGTGGAATGAGCAAGTCGTGCCATGCCAAAGCCTGAAGGAAGAGAAATACAAACCTGGCAGTGGTTGAAACACAAGACATCAGTGTGTTGCCTAGAAAGTCTCAACAGTCAACTGTTGCTGATTTAAGGACAATCTAGGGAAAGTATTGGGTTTACAACAGAAGCTCCTAATTTATTTATTTTTGGGGGGTCCCTCTGCCAGAGCAGAATCCGCCTCCTCTCAGCTGTGATAGGCCGCTTGCTAAGTTTGTAAAATGCCCCTTATCCCATTTTTAGACACTAAGCAGGCTTATCAGGTTTATATTTTATTTAACAAATTTTGTCTGTTGCTCTACGCCGCTTGTACGCAGCTCACAAATAGATATTAAAATTACCAATAAAAGCAGTTAATCAAAACATTTAAAGATAATTAAAGTTAAGAAAAGATTAAAACACACCAGCATCTACGTGTCTGGATAGACTTGCTTCAACACAAATGTTTTAAGCGGGTTCCAAAAATAATCCATTGAAGGTGCCCGTCTGATGTTGATGGGAAGGAAGTTCCAAAGCATAATTGCCACATTAAATTATCAGTTTCTTGACAACGGCAGAATGCGTGCTAGGTGGCACCTGTAATAGCGACAGTTCCACAGAGCAAAGTGGGCATATACGAAGGCAACCCTGCAGGTAAACTGGTACCAAGTCGTTAAGGGCTCTGTATACCAGTAGTAACACCTTGTTTTTGGCCTGGTAACAGATCAGCAACCAGGGCAGATCTCCGAGCAGGGATGTTCTATGCTGACAGGGTCTCACTCTTGCCAGCAGCTGTGCTCTAGCGTTCTGTACTAGCCAGTTTCTGGGCCAATGCAAGGAAAACCCCACATAGGTGCATTGCAGTAATCCAATCTTTTAAGTCACCAGTGCCTGAGCTCCTCTGATCGAGTTCTCCCAGTCCAAGTTAGGTTAGGCTGAAGGTTAAGAGACTGGCTCAAGGTTGCCAAAAGATAGGCTACCTATCCAGGTTATTGCCAAAGGAGACTCACACGGACTTCAGGAAGCTATGAATGGAGCAGCAATGACCCTAGGGCAGCAAACACCAATGATGTTTAGCGTACACGTCTTCCAAAAGTGCATATATTTCAAATGTGTTCTAATGTTTTGGCTTGCAGTCGCTGGTTTACTTGGAACTCCACAATGAGTTTTTACGACTAGTGATATTTCCTTGCAAGATGTCCTCCTGTGATTTATTTTCAACCTGCATTTTCATTAAGCAGATTGAGATCTCTAACATCTCCCATAAAGCACCAGAGAGTTCCCGCTGCTTCCGCCCACGTGTGTTCTCTGTTCTTCTAAAGCCTGGGCATCACTCACTTTCCTTTTGGCGGAGTAGATTGCTTGTTTATGACTCTCATCAGTACCGCATACAGATTTGGTGGCTTTTAAAATGTGGCTTGCTTGCTTTCTTCGTCAGAAAGAACTCCATAGGCAATGTCTGGTGTGATATATTGCAGTTGGCAAGCAGCTACAACCATAGGGTTGAAGGACCTTGGGGTCAAAGCACATTTTGAGTGTGCATCGTGTGGTCTTGAGCATGACACAGTATCAAGTTCGGTTCCCCATCTGTAAGAGGGAAATCACATTACTGACCTACCTTAAATGATGGTTAGGAAGCTGAATTGCTTGATACGCAAAGCCTCAATTCATTGACAAACATCCATTTCTTCTATGCAATTCGCCTAAGCCAAATAACATTCTTTTTAATCCTCCCTCTCTGACCTTCGATTGTGGAGAACTGAGGGCATAGCATTTCAATAACATCCCAATCTCGAGATGTTTGCATCCTTGCCTTATACCCAAATTGCCCGAAGCCCTTATTTAAAGAGGGGATTCACGAACTGAAGTTTGCTATGGTATATCAGTCTTCTCCAGCCTGAAATTGAACTACAATTTCCATCTTCCCTGTCCATTGGCCACGCTGGGTCAAAGCTAATGCAAGTTGGAAATCGGGAATGCATACAAGTCAATAGCTGGAGATGGCAACTTTAGATCGTGTTGCTGCTTTAGGAGCAATTTATCATGCATGGAAAGCAATTTGAAAGTACCAGCCCCTTCCCTGATGAAGCCAGTAAAATGAGAAGTCAAGGTTTTAATCTGCTTTAACAGTTATGCCCGATGATACTGTAGCCCTTTCCCAGTTACGCAGAATATTACTCCTCAAAAATAAATCTTTGTGCAATCCTGCGTATTGAGAACAGAAGATCTGGACCCGAGCCTTGGCTCAGATTAAGACCTGATCTTCAGTACATGCTGGCTAAAATGTGGACAGCAGTGCCCTTTCTCAGTTACCCTACTGCTTGGAGCTGGAATGATCTGGCCGAGGTCATATGGATTTCATTGGATGGTTTCCGGAACTGTAAAATAAGCCCGTGTCTTGAATCTGCAAGTGCAAAAGATCAGCAATGGAAGCTAATGTGGTTTGGTTCCTGCACACCATAACTTCCAAGGTACAAAAGAGAGTGTCTTATGTTTTCTTGCTTTGGCAGAGTGGTTTTTTCCCCTTCACACAACTCTTTATCTCTGTGCTCCAAATGACAACTTCTTAGCATAAGCTCTTGCTTGCTAATCACACCACAGGCTCCCATGAGTAAGAGGGACATGCCCTGTGCCCCACTAACTTTTCTATCGAGGGAGATCAAGCAAAGCCCTTTGCTCTTGTCTTACCACCCTGAACTTTGCTATTTGAGCCCGTGATAGGCTTTGTCAGCAACTGATTGCAGCAATAACGCTGAGGATTTGCACAAGAGCATCTAGCAGTCGGGACAGTTGCTCTGTGTTCAGACTCTGCCAGTTACATGGAATAAGGGGGGGGGCAGTTATTATGGGGAAACGCTTAAATCCTGCAATCTGCAAATTGAATACTTAAGCAAGCACTATCTGTAGCTCAGTTTGTTGAATTAGATTCAATGGGACTTCCAGGTCACTGTGCAAAGGATCGCAGCCTGGTGGCAAAATCCTATATATGTTCACTTAAGAGAACAAGTAACTCCCACTGTTTTCAGTGGAATATATATACTAGACGCACAGCTTAGAGACAGCTGTGATCAAGCGGCAGACAAGTTATAGAAATAAATACCGTATTTTTCCATGTATAAGACTAGGGTTTTCTCCTTTAACAATAATGTCAAAAATTAGGGGGCGTCTTATACTCTGGGCTATCTCCCCCCATTTTCTTAAATCTGAGTCCCCATAAATAGGGAGTGTCTTATACATGGGGGCGTCTTATAGATGGAAAAATACAGTAATTCCTCAGCAAGGCTAGAATCCTAACAACCACTTATCTCTGAGTAAGTCCCACTGGATTCGGTGGGCTTACTTCTGAGTAGACATGGTTAGGGTGGCACTGCGTGTTTGGAATGGCATTTTTTACCATGCAATCCTACACTTGTACTCGGAAGCAAGCTCAGGACCGCAGAGATCCTAAACCTGTGTGACTTTCTTCAAGCCTTGGCTTTGTTCCTTTCCTACGCTTGTCTAATGAAGCCGTCCGCTTATTGATTCAACCCCCTAATTTCCAAGGTCGTTCATTCACACGAGCAGCACGGGGAGAAAGCTACCCGTCCAAAACTGCCTGGCGGATTTCAAGGCAGAAACGCGCACCTGCGGAGCCAGCTCAGGTGCGCAGAGAGTGTCCGGGTCAGGCAGGGCCTCTCGTCCCTCGCCCCCCCCCCCGGAGCCGCCATAGGGCCTGGCCTCCTCCGTCTCTTCCCCGCCACCCCGTCGAGGGCCCTCCCTGCTCGGAGCCGCTCCGGAGAGGAAAGGGTGCGCCCGGGACGCGAGGCGGGGCCGCGCGGCGGAGTTTATAATGCCTCTCCGACGGGGCGGCAGCGAGTGGGAGCGAGCGCGCAGCCTGCTGACAGTCCGCAGCGATGGGAGGCAAGAAAGTTTGCATCGTGGGCTCCGGCAACTGGTGCGTGGGCGGAGGGGGGGCGCGTGGGGGGGGGGGAGGCAGCGCTGTTGCAGCTGCGGGGGAGGCGCTGCAAGTTAGGACACTCGCGGCTCAGGTTAGGACCCTCAAGTTAAGACACTCGCGGCTCAGGTTAGGACCCTCAAGTTAGGACACTCGCGGCTCGCGCGCACCGAGCCTCCTTTGCACGACGGCAGCGCGTCTTCGCTTGACCCTCTTGCATGCCAGCCCAGCCGAGCGGGGTCGTTTCTTTGCTTTTTTTCGGGGGACGCGACTGAAAGCTGACTCCTGTTGCTCATTGTGATGTGTGGGGCTCTCGACTTCTGCCCCCGCCCCGCCCTGTCCAGTGCCCGCCAGGACTGAAGGTGGTAGTGAGAGGGGTGGAGGCTATTGCTTTGCCCGGTTTAGGGAAGTTTTTAATATTTAAGGTTGTATTGTTTTTAACACTTGATTGGAAGCCGCCCAGAGTGGCTGGGGAAACTCAGCCGAATGGGTGGGGTATAAAGAATAAATTATTATTATTATTTTTATTATTATTAGTTTTTAAAAAACAAGCCGCTTAAAGCGAGCGCTGCCCTCGATCGCTCAGCAACTTGAACCATAGGAGCCAACACCTGGGGGCCGAAGTCCCTTCAGGCCCCGCAATAAAATATTTGAGGGGACGCGCAACCCCCCCCCCCCAGTTGATGAGCATTGCCATTCAAATAGTGTGTCGTGCTATGTGATCGATTGCCATTCAAATAGTGTGTCGTGTTATGCGATTGATGATGTGGGATGGGGCTTACCTGGTCTCTCCACCCCAATATTTTATTCAAGTTGGCACCCCCAACGTGGGGCTCACAACCCCGAGATGAAGCGTCTCCTGCTGTGCCGTCTGAGCTATCCTAAGTTCGTTGCGTCCTTAACCTTCGGGTTAATAAATGGCGGGGGTAGGAACAGGTGCCAGTCAGATTCGCTTTCCCTCTGGTGAGACTTTCTGCCATTTCGTGGTTTGCTTGCCAGGGGTGCAGAGGGAGAGGGAAGGAGCCCCCTAGCGCTCGAGGAGAGAGCGCCCCTCACTTGAGTCTATTTCTGGAGCCTCTTGTTAGTATCACTCTCTCGAAAAGAAGCTCTGTGCGCTGGGAGGCAATGCCTTCGTGGCTCTGCTTGTCCTGCCGCTGCTCTTATTATTATTATTATTACTACCCTCCAGGATACTGTATGTCAGAGACTAGTCCCGGAACTGGCTTTCAGTGCTAAAGCTTGACTGTGCAACATAGGAATACTTGCATGTATCTTTTGGAGCATATGCAGAGCGCATATTTGGACATGCGCTGGAGGGTTACGACGCAGTGACCTCAGTGCATTTCCTCGACACATCAGGAGCAAGGTGGGAAAGCTTCCAGCTTGAAGAGTTGGAACTCTATAAGCCAAGAGCAAGTCTCTCCATGGGCACCTATGTTTGCATATGTACGGGTTCTAGTTATAATAAGCAATCTTGTTTAAATTCTTCTCTCTCCTAAGCACAAGTGAAAGCCTATAATGCTAATGTGAGAGATTTCTACCTGTTTGTGCATTTGGAGATGCATGTTTGTAGGTCAGACTTTGCCAACGCAGTGTTCTTCCTAGGTTTTGGACTACAAATCCCATCATCCACAGCTTGATGGCTATGGCTGATGGGATTTGTAGTCCAAAACATCTGAATGGTCCTAGGTTGGCAAAGGTTGGTCTAGACTCTTGGTTTCTTACTATTATAATTTAGCTGACTGGCGTCTTTAGATATATAAATGGCTACATTACATGAACGGTGTGATAGTACACTGAAGAATTGCACACCTCCTTGGAAAGAGGGGGAGGAACCAAGCTTCTCTAAAGAGGCCTTTAAGCGTGTAATGCACATAGATTCAGGAAAGTACTAGTTCACATAACACACACCTAAGTTGCTGCAACAGGGTGTGGTGATAGCCAGAAGCTCAAAGGGGGATTAGAGAAATCCATGGGGGAGCTATCCATGCCTATTAGTCATTAGGCAATATACCAGAAACTGGTGTGTTCGAGCAGTAAAGAGTTATTGCATTCACGACAAATTTAAAACACTTAATTGATGCTACAAAAAAACCCCAGCATAAAATACGGTATAAAGCGTAAATAACAATAAAATCAAAAATCAATTTAGGGGGTTTGACTTTATGGGGTTCTTCTATCTCAATACTTTGGAAAGCAAATGCCTAAGAAGAGTGATGCTGGAACAGACCAAAGGCCTGTCCAGTCCAGCTTTGTGCTTCAAACCCTAGCCAAACACATACAGGGAACCCAAGAGACCTCACCCCACTTTCGTTCCCCAGCAGCTGCCGTTCAGCGTCACATCACAGCCGTTATGGCTTTTAATCCTCTTTTAAAAGCTTCCAATTTGGTGAGCGTCACTAAATCTTGTGCTAGTGAATTCCATAGTCCCAATTATGCACTGCTTCCATTTCTATTTCTTCACAATTCCCCTCCCCCCCAAATCATATATTCTGATCCCATCCCATCCCATCCTGGTGCCTAGCTAGAATTTAAACAGAAGAATAGGGGGGATTCTTGGGATGCGGGTGGCACTGTGGGTTAAACCACAGAGCCTAGGACTTGCTGATCAGAAGGTCGGCAGTTCAAATCCCTGCAACGTGGTGAGCTCCGGTTGCTTGGTCCCTGCTGCTGCCAACCTAGCAGTTCGAAAGCACCTCAAAGTGCAAGTAGATAAATAGGTACTCCGGCGGGAAGGTAAACGGCATTTCCGTGCACTGCTCTGGTTCGCCAGAAGCGGCTTAGTCATGCTGGCCACATGACCCGGAAGCTGTACGCCGGCTCCCTCGGCCAGTAAAGCGAGATGAGCGCCGCAATCCCAGAGTCGGCCACGACTGGACCTAATGGTCAGGGGTCCCTTTACATTTAAGGGGGATTCCACAGCACACTCTGTAATCCAAACTATCAAGCCGGCTGGGAACTTGAGGCCAACCCTCCCCAAGAACTTTGCCACTTTTGGTAGCTGGTTTCCAAGGGGATTCTATTAACTTGGAGGCCACCATTGGCTTGTGAGAGGAGGCAGCTAACAGTAGTAGGACTTCTGGAAGGTGGATACTAACCTTGGCATCCATCCCCAAGTATTTTTTTCTTTCTGCAACTGGGTGAACAGGAGCCTTCCAAATGCTTGCGTTACAAACCTCTGTTGCAAACGTAATGACTTGAGCATTGCAGATTTGTCTTTTGTGTGTTGTCCTTTGGGGACCAGGGTTGGAAATGTTATGGAAGATTTGGAGGGGCACCAAGTTTTGTGAACAACAGTGACTGAGGTGTGTGAGCCAGTTGGTGGCTGTAGCAGGGCCTTTCCTATAGTCTGGCAGTGCCATGTTAGAGAAGCCATAAGGAACTGGTTTGCAGGCGAAACCTCTTTAGCTGATTGAAATATACTCGGAGTCAAGAGTGGATTTCATGCTCTTTATTCAGCTCATAGTGGTGAGGAGGAATGGAAGTTCCCCCAGAATGTCTGCTTTATATACATTATTTACACGGGATTGGCTAATTCCGGGATTCACCTGTAGGCCAATCAGGTGGCAGATTCACTTCCACCTGGAGCGTGATTGGGTGGCTCCTGTGGACCAACCAGACTGCTGCATTCTGGACCCTATTGTTCCAGGACCAATCAGACTGCTACATTCTGAATCCTATTGTACTAGGACCAATCAGACTGCTGCATTCTGAATCCTATTGTTATAGGACCAATCAGACTGCTGCCTTTTGCATCCTATTCAACTCAGTACATAACACCGATGGTCGCACTTGGCGGTGGGTTGCTACTGATGGGTCAGCTGCAGTGGGGTTGACCCAGGACATTATCCATTTGGGCCACACCATTTGGGTTCCCGCCCTGTGGAACGCCCTCCCATCAGATGTCAAGAAATAAAAGAACTACAGTCGTATCTTGGTTCTTGAATGCCCTGGTACTCGTACGTTTTGGCTCCTGAACACCGCAAACCCGGAAGTAAGTATTCCGGTTTGCACACGTTTTTTGGAAGCCGAATATCCAACACAGCTTCCGCTTGACTGCAAGAAGCTCCTGCAGCCAAGCAGAATCCGCATCTTGGTTTTTGAATGGTTTCGAGAGCCAAACCGACTCCCGGAACGGATTAAGTTTGAGAACCAAGGTACGACTGTCTCTGACTTTTAGAAGACATCTGAAGGCAACCCTGTTGAGTGTTTGATGTTTTATCGTGTTTTTAATATTCTGTTGAGAGCTGTCCAGAGTGGCTGAGGAAACCCAGACAGATGGGTGGGGTATAAATAAATTATTATTATTATTATTTGGGTTGTGATGAGGGTGAAGACACTCACTGGGTGATCAGTTGTAGGCTTGTTCCTGGGTGAGATGCTGGAAGGGGGAATGTGTGCTAATACAGAATCCAAGTGCGCAGTGGAAAATTGGGGAGCTGTGGCGAGAGCATGAATGCAGTTCATGAATTCATACTCAGTGTGTTTGGTGGATGATTTTGTTGATTCATGCTGCTGGATGTATTTGTCCTATCATTCTTTTGTATTTATATGCTCTTTGCTGCTTTGGGAGCCTTTGGGCAGTGTACAAATGAAATAACCTGGTACAGAGATAGGACTTTCAACTGCTGATGGTTGCACTCTTTCTCAGCCTTGCATACACACACACTCTCTCTCTCCTCCCCCTGCAGGGGTTCGGCTATTGCCAAGATTGTGGGCAGCAATGCAGCCAAGCTGGACAAGTTTGACACCACAGTCAACATGTGGGTGTTTGAGGAGGAAATTGGTGGCAAGAAACTCACGGAGATCATCAACACACAGCACGAGAATGTCAAGTACTTGCCAGGCCACAAGCTGCCCCCCAATGTGGTGAGTTCAGAAGCCGGGTGGGGGGGAGGAGAGAGAAGGGAAGCAATGTGTGGGCAGCATGGCAGCTGTATTCCAGGCTGGGGCCAATGTGTCACTTGCCTCTCTGTGCTTGCAAGTCAGCTTAGAGCCTTTCAAAGGGTCAAAAACAGCCTCAAGGTATTAATAATAATAATAATAATAATTTATTATTTATACCCTGCCCATCTGGCTGGGTTTCCCCAGCCACTCTGAGCGGCTTCCAACCGAATGTTAAAAACAATACAGCATCAGACATTAAAAACTTCCCTAAACAGAGCCGCCTTCAGTTGTCTTTTAAAAGTAAAATAGTTGTTTATTGCCTTGACATCTGCTGGGAGGGCATTCCACAGGGCAGGAGCCACTGCCGAGAAAGCCCTCTGCCTGGTTCCCTGTAACTTCACTTCTCGCAGTGAGGGAACCACCAGAAGGCCCTCAGAGCTGGACCTCAGTGTCTGGGCTGAACGATGGGGGTGGAGATGCTCCTTCAGGTATACTGGGCCGAGGCCGTTTAGGGCTTTAAATTTTAAACACTTTGAATTGTGCTCAGAAACGTACTTGGGTGCCTGTTGCAGAAAATCCAAGAAGCATCAACCGTGGGGATCCAGAAATGTAAGAAACCGAACAAAGCACATTTTCCCATCCTTTAATGGCACCTCCATATTTGCCTCGAGTTGTGTTCAAACCCAAAATTTCAAGCACGTGTGCCACTAAGATTTCTGGGAACTGTAGTTTCCCCCCTCACATACCTATACTTCTCAGAAACCTTAAAAAATGACAGGATTCTTTGAGTAATTAAAGAAATGCACTTTAAATATAAGGTGTGCATGCATCTGTAGCTCAGAGGAAGCCCCGGCAGCAAAAAAGATCCCCCCCTTGATATTTGTCCTGAATTTGCATTTACACATACAAATTAGCATATGCACATAAATATATTCCATAGACTTGTGCCAAGAAATGTGTACCTAGCAATGTCCCTGAGTGTGACAATGGGAAGTATTTGTCAATGCGTTGCAGTACATGTATCTAGGCTAGGCCAAGATAAATTATGGGATTCCCAATAGCTGAAGTTGGTCTCTTGTTGGGGGAGTGAAGTGGACTTAAGCTAAACTAACTCCCATTGGTTTCAAGAGGAGAGGAAAGCAAGTGTTCAAATATATCCTGTTTTAGAATTTCTGAGGACTTGAGACGCGCTTAAGATTTGGCTGGAACACGCTGAATGTTGAGAATCTCGCTTATTCCCTCCCACATAACTTTGAACAAAGGAGTCTTTTGTTGGAGCATTTCATGCTTTCTGACTTCTTGAAAACTTGCACCAACTTCATCACCTGAAAATGTACAGTGCAGGATACACATTGAAAGGTTATAGGGGGACGTGGGGAGGAAGAATCACATGTCAAATGTGGCTCAGAAATAACAATGGCAGAGGCAGTTGGTTTTAAAAGGGGCAACTTTCTGAAGTACCTGTTGGAGAAGCAGTTTGTAAGCAGGAAAACGTGCACTGCTGTTGTCCAAAGCGAAGTCCTCTCCATCTGCTAATAGGCTGGCCAGTTTTTAACCTCCCTCTTGAGGATGAACAAGATGCAGATTAGGCTTCTTCCTATTGGAGGGGAGCTTTGAGCAGGAGGTGGCGCTGTGGGTTGAACCACAGAGCCTAGGGATTGCCGATCAGAAGGTCGGCGGTTCGAATCCCTGCGACAGGTTGAGCTCCCGTTGCTCAGTCCCAGCTCCTGCCAACCTAGCAGTTCGAAAGCACGTCAAAGTGCAAGTAGATAAATAGGTGCTGCTCTGGCGGGAAGGTAAACGGCGTTTCCGTGCGCTGCTCTGGTTCGCCAGAAGTGGCTTAGTCATGCTGGCCACATGACCCGGAAGCTGTACACCGGTTCCCTCGGCCAATAAAGCAAGATGAGCGCCGCAACCCCAGAGTCAGTTACGACTGGACCTCAGGGGTCCCTTTACCTTTACCTAAGCATTCAAACATGAAATCCACAGTCAGCAGTGTGACTGGTCACTGTTTGGGAAGGACCTGTGTCTTTTGAGCTATCTCCAATTTTCCCTTTTGGTCTCCCGGTGCTAGCCAAAGCCAAATTCCCAATTGAATGAGACTCCATTCCTGTTTCATCAGCTTTCTACTGGGATACTTTAGCATATGTGTCGTGTGCTTAACATAGTTACATGCTCCAAACCCTAGCCAGTGGTAGGAGGGAAATGGCATTGCTTTTAGGAAGTCAAACCCACTGCCATACTCTGCATGTAATTCAAAGAACAAATAGTTCCCGATTCTGACTGTGGGACTGATGTGTGGATTCGCTGATTCCAAATGTGCTGTTTCAGGAACACTTGAAATTCATCTGTAGGTATGCAACAGCTTCTGGAGAAGTTCTTAGCAAACAAACAAGGTGGCCAATAAAGGTACATCTCAGAGAGTTGCTTCTCCCATATATATCACCCCCAGACAAGTTAGATCTTCTGATGGAATCCTGCTGCTCCAAAACCATCTCATGTGCAGGGCCTTTTCAGTCGTGGTTCCAAAGTAGATCTGAGAGATCTACACAGCCGCCTCTCTGCTGCCGTTTTTCTGCACGAGTTTTTATTTCTGATTGCCTTTGCTAACCATTGATTAAGTTCTGTTGACCAGCTACCACTGCTTTAGTTCATACCACTTTATTTTAGCCACTGTTTTGTTGTTTATCTGGTTTTATTTTGTGTGTGTATCCTCCTGCTATTTTGGTGACCTTTTAATTTTGCTGTAAAAGCAAATCGTATAACCTTTTTGGGTGAGCTATGGTATACAGATTACTATCAACTGACAATGGATTATTTGTGTCAAGCCTGGAAGGGTCTTCAAGGCCCATTTAGCAGATTTCCCTGGGCCTCCTTCCTCCTGTCAGACCCAGAGGAGCACAGCAGGGTTGGCTTGCGCCTCTTCCAGGAGAATGAAGATCAAGGAACAAGTTGCCTTGGCAACAAAAGTAATAAATAACCTTCTCTCTGCCTGCTAACATTTCTCAGTGCTAACAGAGTGTCAAAAAGCCCACTCAATAAAAACACATGCTGGGAGATGGCAGAGGGATTAGATGTTACACTAGGCAAGTCTTGTTCATTGAGCACAGGGTTCAAATGCCTTTTATGTTGTTTTTTAATAATATCTTCCCCATGCCCCCCTCCCTCTCCAATACTTAGCTGGTGGCGCTGTGGTCTAAACCACTGAGCCTCTTGGGCTTGCCGATCAGAAGGGTGGCAATTTGAATCCCCGCAACGGATGAGCTCCCGTTGCTCTGTCCCATCTCCTGCCAACCTAGCAGTTCGAAAGCACACCAGTGCAAGTAGATAAATAGGTACCTCTGTGGAGGGAAGGTAAACGGCATTTCTGTGCTCTCTGGCTTTTGTCACGGAGTCCCGTTGTGCCAGAAGCAGTTTAGTCATGCTGGCCACATGACCCAGAAAGCTGTCTGTGGACAAATGCCAGCTCCCTCAGCTTGAAAAGCTAGATGAGCGCTGCAACCCGTTGCCTTTGACTGAACTTAACCGTCCAGGGGTCCTTTAGTGTACACACACACACACACACACACACACACACACGTATCTCTGCTTAAATCAGGTGTGAGGAGCTTCAGGTGCTCCAGATGTTGCTGAACTTCATCTCCCACCAGCCCCAGCAGTTGCCAATCTTCTTTGGTTGGGACGTTGGTCATTTTCCATTTTCGGGCTAACAAAACATGGGCCACAGTTGTTGCATACATAAATAACTTTTCCTGAAACCTGAGGATTTCAGTCTGAATTATCCTCAACAGAAAGGACTCTGGTTTCTCAACCAAAGAAGGTCCCAACCAAAGAAGATTGGAAATTTAAGTTGACAGAATATGCACAACTTGCAGACTTAACATATATAAGAAGAGAACAAGAAGAACATTTAGAGAAGATTGGAAAATGTTTGTGGAATGTATGGAAAATAATCGTGTCCACTGAAAACGCTGGCAGCATTAAGATAACATCAACAGTGTGAATAAGCTGATGCAATAATGGATTACTTAATGGTATAGTTTTTGTAAACTATGCAGGGATTTATGATATGGAACCATGGAAAGAGAAGGGAAGTCACTGATATCTTAAGGATGTAAAATGAGTATTTTAAATTGTAAAACAGAAAATTTTAATATATATAGAGAGAGAGGACTCTGGGTTTTTTGGGAAACTAATTTATGCAAACATTCAGCTTTCTTCAAAGGCATTTGGTTACCCTAGTGCAGAATTTCCTAGGGTTTGTTGAGCATGTGTGTCTTATAAGAGCTGCAAACCTTTCTTCCACCACCATCACCCTTCCTTGCTCTCACTGATCCTGCTCCCTTGAGCTGCCTAGACTTGTTGTTGATGCCTTTCTTTTCTCCAACCCGCCCCCAATTGCTGCAGGTGGCAGTGCCAGATGTGGTGAAGGCTTCAGCTGATGCAGACATCCTTATCTTTGTAGTGCCGCATCAATTTATTGGGAAGCTCTGTGACCAACTGAAAGGCCATATCAAGAAGGATGCGATTGGGGTCTCGCTCATCAAGGTGTGAGTTGGAACTAAGGGTTGGGCTGCTCCGAGCAGCTGCAAGGTGGGGCAACCATCCTAGGAACTAACTGGGGCGGGTTGCATGAGTTTCCTTAGATGAGCTGAGAGGCAATTGGGTGCATCTGTTGTGTGAGAAGGATAAACACACACAGAACGGGCTCAAGAAAAGCCTGTGGGAGAGTGGGGAACACCCACATGGGACACAATTCCCTATGCTTAATCAATGACTGTGATTTATTGAGAGAGCATATAATGGATTATAGCATTGCAGCAAGCTTAGTCTTCCCTGTTGAGGCTCCTGGAAGTATTCTTTGACTCTTGTGGTATCTTCAAAGCTTCAGGCAAATACCAAGTTCTTGGGTTGAGGACTTATTATTTAATACTCACATATGGAAAGGAGGATCAGCAGCCCGTGAGCCAATTTTGCTGCTCCCAACACCCAAAATTACTGTAGCAGTTGTAGGCATATTGTATGCTGCCTTTTCCCCAGACTGGGATGCAAGGCAGCTTATATAGATAAAATTTGTTGTTTAGTTGTCGTAGTTGTGTTTGTCTCTCCATGACCCCATGAACCAGAGCATGCCTTGGAAACTCTCACTTCTCAAAGCTGCTCATTTTTTATGTCCAGGGAGTTTTCTTGACAAAATACTGGAGTGGTTTGCCAGTTTGTTCTCCAGGTGGATCACATTTAGTCTAAACTCTTGGCTATGAACTGCCTGTCTTGGGTGGCCCTGCACGGCATAGCTCATAGCTTCTCTGAGTTATTCAAGCCCCTTTGCCACGACAAATCAGTGATCCATGAAGGGGATAGATAAAATAGAAACAGCCAAAAACATAGGAAAAACTCTATCGTTAGAAAGCAATTAAACACACAAATATACACAATATATATATGAGTTTAATTACAATAAAAACATCATAGCACCAAGAGTTTGGATTTGACATCCCGCTTTATCACTACTCTAAGGAGTCTCAAAGCGGCTAACAATCTCCTTTCCCTTCCTCCCCCACAACAAACACTCTGTGAGGTGAGTGAGGCTGAGAGACTTCAAAGAAGTGTAACTAGCTGAAGGTCACTCAGCAACTGCATGTGAAGAAGCGGGGAAACGAACCCAGTTCACCAGATTACGAGTGCACTTCTCTTAACCATTACACCACGTTGGCTCTACACCACACTGGCTCTACCAGCCTTTTCCTTAAAAATAGTCAGTTCCCCAAAGCCTGTTGCATCAAGAAAGTCCAACAGCAAGGAGGGAGCCAGTCCATTTTCTCTAGGAAGGGTGTTCCAAAGTCTGGGAGCAGCCACCGCTAGACACAACATCTACTGTATGCTGTTGCATCTCTTTGGGGGATAAGGATGCTCTCAGAAGGACTACGGGCTACTTGAGGGATCTCAGCAAAGAGCTACCCCACTGACCACGTCATGTTCTGTTGAATCCCAGGGTGTGGATGAAGGACCCGATGGTCTGAAGCTGATATCGGACATCATCCGCGAGCAGCTTGGCATCGAAATGAGTGTGCTTATGGGGGCCAACATCGCCAATGAGGTGGCCGACGAGAAGTTCTGCGAGACCACCATTGGTAAATGAGTTTGAGTTTATTCCTACAGCTAGCTGGGCGGTGAGAATCTCTCCAAGTGGGCTGCTCATGTCAAGGTCTTCTGTCCCTCCTTACCTTACCAGTGCCACCACTAGATGTCTTGGGCCTACTGAAGCTTGTGTCCAAGAGCAGCTCCACAATAGTACATTACAGGCTTTGGTTTATCAAATATAGACAAGGAATAGGGAACGTGTGAGCACTTCAGACGCTGCAGATGACAACTCCCATCACCCCCTGGCCATCGGCCATGACAGCTGAGCCTGGTGGGAGTTGGGAGCTCAGCAACATTTGGAGGGCCACAAGTTCCCCATCTCTGGCATAGATGGTATGATTTTGCCACATCTCACCTTGGACACAAGGGACATCATTTTAAACCCACTACAGCATGTGAGGAAACCAGTGTGGCTCCTCTGTCCGATTTGCTCTCTACTATTGCTGCCATCCAGCTTTCTCCCTTGCCTGCAGTGGCCCATGGGGATCCAGGTATGACCCACAGCAAGTGGAAAGGACTTGGAAGGGAACACAGAGAGCCCTGGCGTCTCTCCCTTGCTGTATGTCAGATCTGTGTCATCTTAACAACACTGCAGGGGTTTCGGAAGGGTCTGAAAAGGTTGTCTTTTTATATGAGCCTTCCAGCTGTGAGATTGTTTTATTCACTAGATTGTTCTGTTTTTTGCTGACTTACATTGTTCACCCATTGTAGGGTGGTGGTGGTTTTTTAAAAAGTTGTAAGGAGCTTTGATTCAGTTTGCTTAAATATATCACACTGATTAGGTTAAAATACATCACATCACTTAAGGAATTAATCAAGTTAACTACATATCCAGAGCAAAGGGTGTCCTTGAAACACCTGCATGCATATTCCTGAAGGGGTTAAGCCTTCTTGAGCTGTGGATCCAACACATGAATGTGGATGTTGAAGGAAGCACATTGGTTGTATTGGCTTCACACAACAGCGGCAGGGAAACACGGAAGAACCTTAGCAAGTGCAACCGTGTAAAAGTGCAGAGCTGCTCTTGGCCATCGCTAGGGGTAACTGTAATGGCCCACTGCCCTGTTACTCTTGGTTGGATCCAGTAGGGGGAGCAGCACAAAGAGGATGATTCTTCTTCCTCTTTGGCGATCACTCATAGCCGAGTAAGATTGTCTTCCATGGGCAGCCAATTTTCAGAAGGACAGTCCACAAGGCATTAAAGGGCAGAGAGGATGTGGAGATACATCAACAGGAAAATTGGTCTTGGGCGCTTTATTATACTACATAAAGGAACATACAAAGCTCCAGGATAGAGTATTTGCCCCTCTAGCCCAGTATTGTCTACTCCCCGTTGGCAGGGGCTGTCCAGGGGTCTCGAGCAAAGATGGATCTTTCCTGTCACCTGTTGTTGTTGTTGTTGTTTAGTTGTGTCCGACTCTTCGTGACCCCATGGACCAGAGCACGCCAGGCACTTCTGTCTTCCACTGCCTCCCGCAGTTTAGTCAAACTCATGCTGGTAGCTTCGAAAACACTATCCAACCATCTCGTCCTCTGTCGTCCCCTTCTCCTTGTGCCCTCCATCTTTCCCAACATCAGGGTCTTTTCCAGGGAGTCTTCTCTTCTCATGAGGTGGCCAAAGTATTGGAGCCTCAGCTTCAGGATCTGTCCTTCCAGTGAGCACTCAGGGCTGATCTCCTTAAGAATGGATAGGTTTGATCTTCTTGCAGTCCACGGGACTCTCAAGAGTCTCCTCCAGCACCATAATTCAAAAGCATCAATTCTTCGGCGATCACCTCTTAACCTGATCAATTTTAACTGGAGGTGGCAAGGACTGAATGCTATGCAAAACATGTGGTCTTCTGCTGAGCTACAGTCTCTCCCTGCAGAGAAGAGGAAAGAAGAGTATCTGATTTGTTAATAAGTTCCAGGTTCTTCAGAGAGCAACTGGAACAAGCTCTATTCACCTCCAGACACCTTCAGTGCAGCCCCCTCCCCGGCCAGAGTTTCCCAGATTTGTCATATTATTTGTTAATTACGGTTACAAATGCCCCTTCTGTTGAACCACTGCAGCATTATAAAGCATGGAACCCTTCTTTTGGAGCCCCCCCCCACCCTTATACTTGAGCCTGATAATTATACTTCTAATTTTGATAACCCTGGGGAAGGGAAAAATGAGGGATCCATTGGTTGCCATGCAGGTGGGGAGAGTGGAGGCATCATTTCCTCTGGCAAGCAGAAATGCTTCCACTGTTGGAAGCATCAGAAGAGTGAGATGTCCAATTCCTCCCTTGGGCTTCAGAGAGGCAAGGAGCAAGGCGGTGTCTATTTATGCCCATGTCTTACCTCTTTGTAGGTTGCAAGAACCTAGAGCACGGACAGATCCTGAAGGAGCTGATGCAGACGCCGTGTTTCCGAATCAGTGTGGTGCAAGAATCGGACACCGTAGAAATCTGCGGTGCCCTCAAGGTGTGGGAATAACCAGGCTACCAGCGGTTTGGCAGCTTCCGCATGGGGTGTGGCTTGCTGCCAAGGGAGGTCTCTGCTGGCACGATGGCATTGCACAGAAGAATGGGAGACCTGTGGCCTTCCAGATGTTGTTGGGTTCCCAACTCCCGCGAGCCCCAGCCATCATGGTCAACTATTAGGTATCATGGGATCTGTAGTCCAGCAACATCTTGAGGGCCTCAGATTCCCCACACCTGGCCTAAAGCTTCTGTTGACCTCCCAAGTACATACATACATACATACATGCCCACAGAGTCTGTACAACTATAGATGTAAAGTTATGACTGTTTGGGAAGCCATGCTGCCTCACCAGGGAGCTGGAGCAGGTGGGGGACTTGATGGGAACTTCTCCAATGAAATGCCCTTTACATTATATGCTTGCTGGAGAGAGGTGGTTTCTAGAGAACCCATCTCTGATGCCATCCTTTCATGGGAGCCATCATTTGTAGCCCTGCTTAGAAGACCAAAGGTTGATCTATCTACTCCCTGCCTTAAATAATTGCAAGGCTAGCGCCAGCCAGAGCCTTTTTGGTTATCAACCTATGTTCTTCCTCCTTAGAACATTGTGGCTGTTGGGGCTGGTTTCTGCGACGGGTTGGGCTTTGGAGACAACACCAAGGCAGCGGTAATCCGCCTGGGCCTGATGGAGATGATCGACTTTGCCAAAATCTTCTGCAAGGGCTCCGTCAGTTCTGCCACGTTCCTGGAGAGCTGTGGGGTTGCCGACCTCATCACCACCTGCTATGGGGGCCGTAACCGAAAAGTGGCAGAGGCTTTTGCCAAGACCGGCAAGGTAAGTAAGCATTTGCATAGGGCTCTTTTTAAGGTTGTCAAATATCTCTCAAGGAAAACTCTTACTGTAGTGCAATAAGACAGTATTTCGCAAAGCTTTTAAAATCCCACTTTATGCAGTGCATAGAGTGCTTCAAACATCGGTAATTCAAAATTCTGTAAGGGAGGCCAGTATTATTTTTCTATATTCAATCCGCTTTTTTTGACACAAAAAGGTGCCAGAACACACCTCCCTCAGAAGACACACTCCAGAGCCCAAAGAGCATCTCTTCTCCTTGTTATCCAGAAGCTTGTTGAGGGGATGCTCAGGTTGAGGTGAGGGGAGCCTTCTGTGCTTCAGCTAAGCACCTTAAAGCGCTCCCCACAAGCACCCCTCTAGCTTGTGTGACTTGCAGCAGCTTGGGGGCTTGCTCAGGTGAGGTGCAACTTTCCCAAACGTCAGCTGTTAGGTGGGAGGCTGAAAAGCTTCAACAAAGCCAAAGGAATGTGACCTGTTCTAGCCTGGCAAAGAGAGGTGACCAATCACCTCTCTTATGATGATGATGGTGGTGGTGGTGGTTTATTTATTGCTTTAATGCCAAAATAGTCTTCTAATCAGTTTGCAATGATGAGACACCAATCACACACGCATTAAAATACAAACATCCATCATTAAAATGTACAATGAAACAATCCTATTGAAAGGTACATGGGGAAATGGTTTTGGAAACCGAAGAGCTATTCGATTCCAGGCAGCTGCTATGAGAGCAACAGCCACACAGTTCCCAGCCAATGGCTTCCAGGGGGTAATTCTAGCCAGAGTGCAGTGAAGACTCCTATCCTTGTCTTCAAATTCGAGTTGGGCATTAAAGAGAGAGAGAGAAAAAAACAGTTGGGTTTGCACAAAATATCCACATCCCTTGCCAAGGACATTTGACTTCAATATTTGTTGCAATGCTTGATTTGATGTCAACACCGGGTATTTCACAAAATTTGGGAAGCGGCAGCAATCGAGATCTGCAGGGTGACTGCAGGGAAGGAAAGGTGGACTAGCAAAGCTTGACACCAGGGCAGGCCTGATGGTGCAGATGCTTTCCTGGGGCAACAGTATTTTAGGAACATAGTAAAGCAACATCTAAGAGGCAAGCTGCAGGATTCCTTGCAGTGGATGGCAGGAAGCTACTTGCATATTGTGTGTAGAGGAGAGGTTTGGTTTAGGCTGGCCTTGTTCGATACTGTCACCTCTCTACAGCTAGGCATACTGGCCTGGCCAGTATCAGAGTTGTTTTTAAACAACAACAACAATCAAGCAATATATAAATTTCAGGAAATAATAAATAAATATGATGTTTTCATCTCCAGCAGGGATATCTTACACATTCTTAGAACATTTAAACTGGCTTTGTACTTCAGCCGCTGCCATGGCTTCTCCCAGGGGTGGGTGGCGCCATGGTCTAAACCACTGAGCCTCTTGGGCTTGCCGACCAGAAGGTTGGTGGTTTGAATCCACGCGACGGGGTGAGCTCCCGTTGCTCTGTCCCAGCTCCTGCCAACCTAGCATTTCAAAAGCACACTAGTGCAAGTAGATAAATAGGTGCCACTGTGGCAGGAAGGTAAATGGTGTTTCTGTGCACTCTGGCGTCCATCACAGTGTTCCATTACGCCAGAAGCGATTTAGTCATGCTGGCCACATGACCCGGAAAGCTGTCTGTGGTCAAACACCGGCTCCCTCGGTCTGAAAGTGAGATGAGCACAGCAACCCCAGTCACCTCTGACTGGACTTAACTGTCCAGGGGTCCTTTACCTTTTACCTGTGACTACTCCTAAGGAGTCATGGTATGTGTAGTTGGTAAGATGCCGAAAAGTCTGTTAGATCCCTACTACAGATATGATCACGCCTAGCTGAACTGGTTTAGAGAGATGATAAACCTGTGGCCCTCCAGCTGTTGGTTGGACTACAACTTCCATCATCCCTGACCACCGGCCATGATACCTGGAGCTGATGGGAGTCAAGTAACATCTTGAGGACCATAGTTTTCCCATCCCTGGTTTGCAGGTTCCCCAGGGCAGAGAGTCCAGCATCTGAATCTCTTTAACTCTGTGTGGCATAAGATATGTCCAAAGAGAAGCACAGAGAAGGACGTCCTTCTCTGGATCAACCTTCTAGGATTCGCCCAACTTGGGGAGGAAGGCTGTGCCAAGCAGCCACTCATACTTGGAGATCTGTCTTGCATCTTGCAGTCTATCGAGCAACTAGAGAAGGAGATGCTCAATGGGCAGAAGCTGCAGGGCCCTCAGACATCAGCAGAGCTGAACCACATCCTGAAGAGCAAGAATCTGGTCGACAAGTGAGTCCCGTGTGACCTTTTTTTTCTGTTTTGCTTGCCATCAATATGTATGCTGCAATGGCACCCATTGGATTGGTGTAACAATCGGCAATGGGCTTGTTTCTAGGGCTGTATGCAAATTCTTGGATTGGTTGATGAACTGATTACTCAATCCACCAATTCAATAAATTTGCATGTTACCAAAATCTAAGTATGGGAGGTCTATTTTGAGATAATAAAGAAAATGTGAATTGACTATTTGATAAACAAAAGCAACCACTTGTGGCTGAAAGTGCCAGCTTTAATTTTCGTCTCTTTTGTTTGTTGCAGTGGCCCTTAACCCTCATCAATTAAAACTGGCTGTATACAAATAAAACTCTGCTCAGAAATAAGTCCCACTGAGTTCAGAGGGGCTTGCTTTCAGTTAAGCGTGCAAAGGATTGCAGCCTGAAGCTCACCACTCTATTTATTTGCACTTCCAGAAGTACAGGGCAACAACACACCCCTAAGACCTCATGAAGTTCCATATTTTATTTACAGGCAAATCACTGGTCCCTCCAATGCTCTTCCTAGTGTCACAGCAGGTTTCTCAAACTCGCCCTTTTGCAAGTTTTCATTTTCCTAGCAAGCTTTGCTACCTGTGTGAGAGTTAAATCTTATTTACCGTCTTTTCTCCCCACTGCAGATTCCCTCTTTTCACTGCTGTCTACGAGATCTGCTACACTGGCAAACCTGTCTCCGACTTCATCAAGTGCCTGCAAAACCATCCTCAGCACTTTTGATGGGCTTCCAGTCTTGCTCCTACAAAGAAAGGGGTTTGGGAGGACTTCCTGCTTCCCCACTGCCATCCCAACATGAGAAGAGGGACCCAACACAGAGCACGGGGCAAACAAGGGAGGACTCATCAAAGAATCATAGAATAGTGGAGTTGGAAGGGACACTAAGAGTCATCTAGTCCAAACCCCAGCAATGCAGGAAACACAGCTACATAATCCCAGACAGATGGCCGTCCAACCTCTGTTTAAAAACCTCCGGTGAAGGAGAGTCCACCACCTTTTGAGGTGGTCCGTCCCACTGTCAAAACAACTCTAACCACCATGAAGGTACTGGATCAACTCTTTTGCCAGGGAGTTTCTGCCATTTACCAATCTCACCTTAAATGGACAAAAGTTGCCTATGTTGAGTCAGTCTCTTGTTTTGCTCTTCTTAGATTCCAGAGCATCCAACTTCTCAGCACACATAGCAGGCAAAGCTTTGGCTTTTATCTTTTCTCTTGAGGAGAGAGAGAGAGAATTTCTTCTGCCTCTTCTCTGTCACATTTCTCCGACTTGATTTTGACTTCTCTGGGTTCAGGCTTGAACCCTGCCAGTTTTGCCTGCCTTAAGGGCTTGTTTAAAGTCAGTAACTGGGAGAGGGGACAGGAAGCAAATTCCGATTACAGGTAAACCACCATTTATGCACGTACAATATGTGTGTGGCTGTGCATACATGCGTCGCTTCAAACCCAGAAGTTACCTGAAAACAATCACAAAAAGGGGACGAACAGGGTGTCTGCAGGCTTCTTCAAATATACGCAATTTCACTTAAATGAACGGTGCCTCGGAACATAAGCCCTGCATAAATGGGGGGGTTGCCTGTATTATTATTTTTTACTCCATGCCTGGAACGCAAGGAACCCCAGGCATGATTTTAAAATAGCTGCTAGGGTTCTCTCCCCAGACAAGGCTTGACCTCAGCATCCCTGGTATCCATGGGAATGGTAACTGTAGCCCTGAATGTGAATATTTGTCTTTTTGAAAAACAAATATTAAAGTGAGAAACAAGAAATAATACAGATTAGTTGTTTATCATTCTTGAAAGACCTGGCTGAACTGCACAGCACGCTATGAAAGGGGGAAGGGGGGATTTCATAGAAACATAGAACTCTAAAGTTGGAAGGGACCACGCCGATCGTCCAACCCCTGCAATGCAGTAATCTTTTTTTGCCCAACGTCTACTGACCGAGCTATCCTGCCAGCACAAAGGTACGGATGATTATGAGAACAGAAGCAGCATGTTAGGAATATTCTGGGTATGTGGTTTTGGGGTGGCTTTGGCATCTTGGCCAGAATAATTCTTCAGTTTTAGGGGGCTGAAGATGGATGGGGTGAAGCAAACTCTGCTCATTTCACAAGGCGCTGGCTTTCCCAGTGCTGTAGCTGAGTTGCCTTCCTCATTTTGGAGTGACCTTTCCAGCCCTTCCCAACCCCCAACCCCACCCTCCAGCAACTTAATCTGCTGATGTGGCAGGAGTCGCTGTGCCTTTTATTAGATGCTCAGAATCACTGGACACCCTGTGACCTTTCTATTCAGACAGCCCCCAAAAAATTACATTAAAGATAAATAAATTGGAAGGATGGGAGAGGGCCCTATTTCCCACTCCCCAAATCAAAGGTGACACTGGCTCTGGGCCTTTTCGTTCAGGGGTCAGCAAACTTTTTCAGCAGGGGGCCGGTCCACTGTCCCTCAGACCTTGGGGGGAGCCGGACTATATGGGGGGGGGGGGATGAACGAATTCCTATGCCCCACAAATAACCCAGAGATGTATTTTAAATAAAAGGGCACATTCTACTCATGTAAAAACACACTGATTCCCGGACTGTCTGCGGGCCAGATTGAGAAGGCGATTGGGCCGGATCCGGCCCCCAGGCATTCGTTTGCCTACCCATGGTTTATTCTCTACTGGGGGAGATGGGAGGGATCTGCAAATATCAATACCTGCACCCTTCTCCAGGAAGCATTATCCATCTTCTTATATATCAGCTTCCCTTCCTCTTCAAAAAGAAGTTCCAGCCATTTGGTGGCTCATCACCTCTGCTCTCTCGATTCCACAATCAATGCATTTTAACTCAGGATGCAGCTCTTTCTGCCATCTGCCTAACACACTATCAAGGAGGCATACATCACACATCTTTAAATTCCAGCCCCGGAAGGGGAGCAGGGAGCATTTGTGCAACACACCTACACACTGCTGCCAACACACTAACATGTTGCGACACACTGTTTGGAAACTCTGCTCTAAGGCCAACTCACAAGTAGACCCCACGTGCTCCATGGAAGTACACCTGGCTGTTCCTAGACTGAAAGGGGCCGTTTAGGAGAATCAGCAACTCTGTCTGGATGCTGAACATTTTCCAGACCGACATAAGGCCCTGGATGGGTTTAGCTCAGCTAACAGTACCTACAAACCAATACCACTAATGTGCTACTTGCTCTGCAGCATTCAAATTTCCAGCACCATCTACTGTGTAACTTGGCAATGTTAGCAGAGTATTACTTAAATTCAGAATGCACACAACCTTCCTCAGTAAAGCAAGGTGTAAGAAACAGGCAAACTTCACACCACCCCAACCTCCAAGTAGTGCAAGATTCCAGGGTTCTGTTTCCTTGGAATGAGGGACCGCAGAGACCGTAGTGTCTTTATGATATATGACTTATTTACGCATATATGCAACCTGAGCCTACAATGGAGGAGCTCGCAGCATTAACATCACGAGAGTGTATTGTTCCTCCCATAAAGGTACAGGTGTCCTGTCTCTCTTTTGCATGTGGTTACCCCTAACCTTTAGTGGTTCCCCGTTGTACTATCAAGTAGAAGAAAGTAATCCCGATATGGCAGAGAACTCGCATTCACTTGGTAGAAACTGTGTATAGCTTGAAACTGGGTGAGCTGCTCTTTGAAAGTCTCCTAGGTCTACATGGCACTCTCCCTGCCCTTTGCAGTTGCTATAAAAAGGTCTCCCCTTTGCCATTTGGAGTTATGTTCTGCCAGCACAGCAGCCTGTTAAGGGCTGTTCTCAGTTTTAAGAAGGGACAGGCCCAGTGTAAGTGAAGGTATAATATTTACTGGGGTTTGCTGGTACAGAGGCTTGGCACAGGCGTGGACTTTGGTAATATGGCGCTTTGAGTGAGGATGAAATCTGGGGCCTGCCCTACCAATATTATTTTCACAAAAAAATCATTTTGGTACAGTTGCATTATTATGGATCTTCTCAACAGAATCATAAAATTGTAGAGTTGGAAGGGACTCTGTGAATCATCTAGTCCAACCCCTGGCAATGCAGAAATGAATATCCCTTACGGGGGATCGTCCCTTACGGGGATCGAACCTACGGCCTTGGTATGATCAGCACCATGCTCTAACCAACTGAGCTATCCAGTTATTATTCTTTTGTGCCCCTTTGGCTTGGCTTAATGTGTGGGGGAACCGCCTGCATCATTCTAAGTCTGGTGCTACTTGGAACTACTGAGAATACCCTATTCTCCTCTGAGGAGCAGACAACTTTCACCATGTGTTGTCTCACATAATAACGACACAACTCGCCATGCCTGCAATGGACTCAGCTACAACATGACACTTATTTGGCAAGCGCGAACCCTGATGCAGAAGACAAAGCCAAGAAGATAAAATTTGGCTCCTGCTAGACTCCTTCACTATTTCCATGGTGGAAAAGAAATTTAAAAAACTGAAAGCCATGCTGGGAGAGACACAAAGGTACAATCAGAAACTAAGATTAGACAGACACCTCCAGGCTATTATTATTTTTTAATTGTGGGCATACTCTGCCACACACCATTAATTGCAACATGCTGCGCATTACCCAGCCAGATGGGTGGGGTATAGATAATAAAATAATAATAATAATAATAATAATAATAATAATAATAATAATAATTGATCATCCACACATCATTCTGCTTTATCAGTGGTTCTGCGATGCCTCCCCACTCTTAGCGCACTACAGCACAACAACAGCATCCCTCCTCCAAAAAATATAGAGGAAAAATTGTGGTATGCAAAGTTATAGGATTTCAACAGGAAGCTACAGAAAATGCCCTGATTAGAAAGGATGCAGCAGGCCAGCCCTGAAACATTTGCACTGTTATATATAATCCCATAGAACCAATCCAATACTGTCATGGCAAATCAAAATGTATGCACCATAAAAAAGATGATGTCTGGGAGCCCCTCACCCCAAGTGGTAAAGAGAGAACTACTCTGAGCACACTTAGAAATTCCAGACTGCCAACGTGAAATCCCCTTTAAAATCCCAGGGTAGTTTCTCCTTGATAACAGTGGTTGTTGTGTGACTGGGGAGTTGGTACACAAGATCACAAAGCACCAGCTCCTAATTACTAGTGCAATTGGCAGGTTTGCAAGCTTTAGTTAAGTACTCCCAACGATACAGTTCTACACATGTTTACCTGAGAGTAAAGTCTACTGAAGACTATGGGATTTGCTTCCATGTAAACATACATGAAGGGACATGGGTGGCATTGTGGTCTAAACCACTGAGCCTAGGGCTTGCCAATCAGAAGGTCGGCGGTTCGAATCCCCGCAATGGGGTGAGCTCCCGTTGCTCGGTCCCAGCTCCTGCCAACCTAGGAGTTCAAAAGCACGTCAAAGTGCAAGTACAGTGGTACCTCGGGTTAAGTACTTAATTCGTTCCAGAGGTCTGTTCTTAACCTGACACTGTTCTTAACCTGAAGCACCACTTTAACTAATGGGGCCTCCCGCTGCCGCCGCAGCATGATTTCTGTTCTGTTCTGTTCTGTTCTCATCCTGAAGCAAAGTTCTTAACCCAAGGTACTATTTCTGGTTTAGCGAAGTCTGTAGATAAATAGGTACCACTCTGGCGGGAAGGTAAACGGCATTTCCATGCGCTGCTCTGGTTTCGCAGAAGCGGCTCAGTCATGCTGGCCACATGACCCGGAAAAACTGTTTGCGGACAAACGTCGGCTCCCTCAGCCAGTAAAGCAAGATGAGCGTCGCAACCCCAGAGTCGTTCACGACTGGACTTAACTGTCAGGGGTCCTTTACCCTTTTAAACATACATGGGCTCAGGCTAAACAGGGGCACCAGATTTGGGGGGCTGAGACAAGGTATGCAGAAGTCTTCTCTCCACCCCTAAGTCCTTTCTTAACCCACCCAAGGGCTACACTTGGTCAGCTGCCAGAGCAGCCTTTCCTCTGGGCCACCTACAGTCTTGAGACATATCAAGTAGCAACATTTTAGGGTAACTATAAATAGCAGCTCTAGAGCTGGCAGCCCAGGCCAGCAGAGTTTTAACTATTGCACCTCTCCATCATAACAAGGTTCTTCACTCCTGCAAGAGCAAATCAGCTCAAATCCTTATTTGGCGGTGGTGGTGGTGGTGGGGTTTGAAGGTCTCACCTAAACTGGAAAAAAAAGTTGTGGGCAACTGCTTTCCTAGAATAGTTTAGCAGGAAAGTGTATGATTTTTGTTGTGGTCTGATAATGTTGCTTTTTAAGTTAGCCACTGAGTGTTTTGGGAGTTTATCCTTCTAATGTGTGATGTTTTAGTAAGTTTTTATATATGTTGGAAGCCGCCCAGAGTGGCTGGTGCAACCTAGTCAGATAGGTGGGGTTTTATTATTATTGCATCCTCCATGCACTGGTACTGTCTGCACAGAGGGACCTGGATTCAGAGGCCAAGACTCCAAAGAGCAAGGCTTTTTCTCAGCCAGAACTCGCAGGAACTCAGTTCCGGCACCTCTTAGGTGGGCACTGTTGCCATTATAAGAGAAAAATAGCACTGTCAAAGAGAATATCTTTATAATATTTCGTCCTACCTTTCTACAGTGGTGCCTCGGGTTAAGTACTTAATTCGTTCCGGAGGTCCGTTCTTAACCTGAAGCACCACTTTAGCTAATGGGGCCTCTCACTGCTGCCGTGCTGCTGGAGCACAATTTCTGTTCTCATCCTGAAGCAAAGTTCTTAACCCGAGGTACTATTTCTGGGTTAGCGGAGTCTGTAACCTGAAGCGTATGTAACCCGAGGTACCACTGTATTTAAAATGATCCAGATGCTAATTCATAATAAAACAGAAAATGCAGGACCTAAGGTGCAATAGAACACAGGGCTCCTTTACCTTTATTCCTTGAGCAGAGGAGAGGATTTTGCCAACAGTAACTTGTTTCGAAACTAGGACAGGGGTTGGCAACCTGCGGCCCATGAGCTGCCCGCTCGGTGAGTCCCCGTGCGCTGCGCTAAACAGGTGCAACATGGAGCGGGGACTTGCTTCCTCGGTGCCGGAAATCGCATCTGCACAGATGCAATCCAGCCCAGGGAGCAATCTCTGCGGGAGTGAACTGGCACAGGCGAGGTAAACCTTGCTGACCCCTGCTCTAGGACAAGACAATTAAAGCACCTTTAGATACCTTCAAAAGATGAGTGTGGAAGCTTCTTGACTTGGCCATTCAGATCTCCTTGCTTTTACAACAAGGGTAACAATGAGTTTGCCTGAGTATATTGTATGTTATCTCCTACTTCAGTCATTTATAATTGGGAACCAAATCAACTTTCTTCCTTCCCATAGTGTTCTGCAATATGCTGGTTTTGCAATTACAATTGTACCTTATTTTGCAACCGGGATCCGTTCCAGAGTCCCAGCCACTAGACGAAAAGGACGCAGGGCGAAGCGCTGCATCTGTGCACGCACGCGGAGCAGTTTGCATTTCTGCGCATGCGCGAAGTGCAATTTAGCGCTTCTGCACATGTGCGAGCGGCAAACCTGGAAGTAACCCGCTCCAGTACTTCTGGGTTTGCCGCGGTCATTCGCCAGAATGGATGCTTAGATGAGGCAGACTTTGGCGTGTACTAAGATGCAGTAAGTATTTTTAGCCTCTCTTTGCTTAAATGGTTCTTATAACTTTATTTCTATTTAGCTTTGACTATTATTACTAAAGTGCTTTGAAAGAATTTTACTTCACATAGGCCTAATAAGATGTTTGGGCTACACTGTGTCCATATACAACTGGGTTTGCTGCTTCCATTAGAGATATGTTAAATCTACATTAATAATATTTTTTCCCAAGTACTCGAAAGTTTTTCTTGCAGCAACCCTTTCCAGGGTATGGTCTAAGGGCACATGATGCAGAAGCATAGCAAGTCTCTAGACACGGTTCAGGCAGCTCCCCAAAGGAGGAAGAGCCACACAGAAACTACACGTCCCAACATGCACCACGGCGTCAAGACATCCTTTTAACTGCCCAAGATGGGCGGGGGAGAGAATCTAGAAAACTAAAAACAGGTGAAGAGGAGCACTAGACTACTAACATGTAGACTCGCGTACAGAACTCAGTTTCTGAGTTCATTTGGACCCCGTTTTTAAGGGGAATCTAAAAAACAGTGGAGAAATGCAAGGTTTTAGCCTATTTTTAAGCAGCAGCTAGTTGCCCGCCCTGCTAGTTAGGAAAAGACGGGAATTTACGATTAGATGCATTTGTTTTGTGTGGGGAAAGTGCCACTGACTGTTTTATTACAGTATCAGTGTCATGGAATTCTACTCAATATTGATCCAGAGCAGAACTCCAACATATAAAATTAAACTTAATTACAAACTTTAAAACTTAAATAAAAAACTTAAACATGTTGCAGGATTCCCCAAAAATAGACCAGAGGCAATTAATATATCATCCAGCAGAGCTGTACTGCTACTGAAGGCAAATGGTCACAAATCCAATACATTCAGGAATGGCACTGTCCTTAAGAAATCCAGTTGCAGCAGACTACATTTAAATTTAAACTTACAATAATTTATAATAAGTCTAAGCATTAACACTATATATAGCACACCCAGAACCGGATTTAGGTTTGATGAGGTCCTAAGCTACTGAAGGTAATGAGGCCCTTTATATGTCCAGCTATCCTTTGTCAACAACAAATTGTCACTGTTTTTTGTGTTGAATATATGCTATATGGTAATTTATGGACCTAATAGGTATCTAAAGCCATGCGCACATAACAAATAGGAGCCTACACAACACAAAACACTGTTGCTGTATGTAGGTTTTATTTTATTTGTTTTTTATCTTATATTTTGGAAACGTACATCCAGGGGCTTTTTTGCTTTAATTTTTTTTGGGGCCCCCAAGAGAGTGGGGCACTAAGCTATAGCTTGTTTAGCTTGTACATAAATCCGGCACTGAGTCCACACCAGAAGGAAGCTAGAAAGAGAAAATGAAACCCAGGCTCCTCCTGGCCCTACTTCCCCTGTTTCCCCGAAAGTAAGACATCCCTCGAAAATAAGACCTACTTCCAGTTTTGCCTCTCGCTGTAATATAAGGCCTCCCCGATAATAAGGCCACCACGGAATATAAGGCCCCCGAAGCTACCGTAAGGCATTGTACCGTATACAGGTAATAAATTTCCATATATTTTTTTTGTTCAACAATAAATGTGTACCGTATTCTTCTTCATGGAAAAATAAGACATCCCCTGAAAATAAGACCTTTGGGAGCAAAAATTAATATAAGACACTGTCTTATTTTCAGAGAAACAGGGTATATAGTCAGCATGACCTCGACAGAAAAGTTAACGGATAAGAGTTGTGGGGTTGTTGGTTTTTTTACCAACATTGTTTTAAACATCCTTTTCCATTCGTTAGCTATCATTTCCCAGGATGAATTTTTGGTTTTTGACCATTTGAAATGCCTCCACGTGCGCATTAACTGGAACCCAGGTGGCGGCAGCCCAAAGTGGATTTGTTGTTGTTTAGTCGTTTAGTCGTGTCCGACTCTTCGTGACCCCATGGACCAGAGCATGCCAGGCACTCCTGACTTCCACTGCCTCCCGCAGTTTGGTCAAACTCATGCCGGTAGCTTTGAGAACAGTGTCCAACCATCTCATCCTCTGTCGTCCCCTTCTCCTTGTGCCCTCCATCTTTCCCAACATCAGGGTCTTTTCCAGGGAGTCTTCTCTTCTCATCAGGTGGCCAAAGTATTAGAGCCTCAGCTTCAGGATCTGTCCTTCCAGTGAGCACTCAGGGCTGATTTCCTTCAGAATGGAGAGGTTTGATCTTCTTGCAGTCCATGGGACTCTCAAGAGTCTCCTCCAGCACCATAATTCAAAAGCATCCATTCTTCGGCGATCAGCCTTCTTTATGGTCCAGCTCTCACTTCCATACATCACTGCTGGGAAAACCATAGCTTTAACTATACGGACCTTTGTTGGCAAGGTGATGTCTCTGCTTTTTAAGACGCTGTCTAGGTTTGTCATTGCTTTTCTCCCAAGAAGCAGGCGTCTTTTAATTTCGTGACTGCTGTCACCATCTGCAGTGACCATGGAGCACAAGAGAGCAAAATTTCTCACTGCCTCCATTTCTTCTCCTTCTATTTGCCAGGAGGTGATGGGACCAGTGACCATGATCTTCGTTTTTTTGAGGTTGAGCTTCAGACCATATTTTGCGCTCTCCTCTTTCACCCTCATTAAAAGGTTCTTTAATTCCAAAGCGGATTACCTGAGCGGAATCCTCTTGCATGCAAGTTTTGGACGACGATGCTATACCCAACTAAGGGCCGAGGGGACTACACTGCAGGGCTGTCACGGCCTTCACCCACCAGTCGCATTGTTCAAACCCCTGAAACTGCTTTCACACACAAGAAGCGCTTCAAAGAGGTTTTTTTGTTTTTGTCTTTTCTGCTAACTTCGAGGCTCTTTTTGTGGCAGGTACATCCAACTCCAAAGGCCACCCCACCCCCAAAAATAACACTGGTTTGTCAAGGGTGCTGGGAATTGTAGCCAAACTACCGTTCCCTGCAAACTTCAGAGGGGAACCCTACCTTTCCTCAATGTATTGGGTGGGTGCCGCCCGGCCGCCGCCATCTCCACTCGTCTGCCTTCCTCAGCGCGCCAAACGGACACGGGCGTTTCCCGCCACGGAACACCGGACTCGCGACTCTTGCCTTTTTCTCAGCTCTATGTCGACGCGCCGCGGCCGGTCTTGCGCGCGGGAGGGGCTAGAGGCGGGAAGCGGTCGAGCAGGAAACGGCGCCCTTCGCGCGTGCGCCAAAATCCCGGAAGTGAACCCCGCCAGCTGCGCGCGCAAGCAAGGCAGCTGAAGGAGAGGGTTTTTTCTCGCAACTGCGCCAGGCGGCGGTGAATAGAGTGAGTGCTTGGGGCTGGCATTATATTGTTTTTATTAACTTGTCAGGGCTTAGAGAGGGATCGCATTTTTATTTTATTTTTACAGATAGTGGTAAGAGACTGGCTTGCGGGGGGGTTGGACTAGATGACCTTTGGGGACCCCTTCGAACTCTATGGACGAAAACCAACTTGGTAGAGCTGATGAGATGCTGTTAGCTGGGGCTAAACAGGTGGAGGTGCAGCCGGGGCCACTCTTTCCCTGAGGGACAGGGTTAGCTCCTGGCCTGTATAATGCAGGATTGCCCACATATTTCGGGGTCAGATCCTACGTCCTGTATTGATACCGCTTTGTCCTGTCTTTCAGGTTGTCTCCCTCTCTGCCAAGTTAGGGGATTGTCTCCAAATGCGTGTGTTTGGAAAGCTGTGTGAAAGGTTGCGGATTTAAGCTCTGGGTGGCAGATTGACAAATTCCAATGTGTGCACGTGTGCGCGCACGCGCGCGACACACACTCCAGAGGGGTCATCCCGTTATTAGGCTGAAACGGGTTGCTTTATTGCATGGGTAGGCAAACTAAGGCCTGCTGGGTGGATTTTTAATCTAATCCAGCAGTTTTTCCCTCCAGGATGGTCCCGTCCCCCAAAGCAGGTTGTGAACCCTTTGGCCAGGGAATCTACCAGTTCACTTAATATTCAGCAGATGCTAAATGCATTTTGTTAGAGTAGTCAGGGTGGTAGCTACACTTGCTCCCCACACATTATACTTTGCATATCTTTCAGAGGTTACAGCATGGGTAGGCAAACTAAGGCCCGGGGGCCAGATCCGGCCCAATCACCTTCTAAATCCGGCCCGCGGACAGTCCGGGAATCAGCATGTTTTTACATGAGTAGAATGTGTCCATTTATTTAAAATGCATCTCTGGGTTATTTCTGGGGCAAAGGAATTTGTTCATTTCCCCCCCTTTCAAAATACAGTACGGCCCACCACAAGGTCTGGGGGATGGTGGACCGGCCCCCTGCTGAAAAAGTTTGCTGACCCCTGAGTTTATTGTCATTTATTACTTATTTATTGGATTTAATATATGCCTGGGGGTCTCAGGGTGGTTCGCAGAAAAGATCAGCACTGAAGTCACTTCAGCACCAGAGGCGGGGGAGAAAAGTCATCCACCCACCCCTACATTTTGCCAGAACCAAGGTGTCCACCCGAGTGAGGGAGCACTGCAGGCTGCGTATGGCCATGGCTCCTGCATTCCTTCCTGTCCCCCGTGGCAACAGAGTCCCCCTATGATGGGCTGGATTATGACTGGGCCAGGCAAGTCTGAACGCAGACCAATTCTGTCTCACTGCAGAGACTGCCAGTTTGCTTCCAAGCCTAATTCAGACTTCTGGGTTTAAACTAATGGGATGCCCATGCCCTCTGAGGACATGCCCTCTGAGGATGGCAACGAGAAAATGGCTGTTTTCAGTTGGGCCCCTCCTCCGTTTGCTTCTCGTCAGGAAAGCTTAGGAGGCATCAACCTTTCTTCATATTTTTGGTGCCGGCCCAAGACATTTTTATTCTCCCAGGTGTTTTTGTGGGCATTGATATTGTGGATTCTGTTCTTGTTTTGGTTGTATAAGGGCATCCAGTCTCGGGGGTGGGGGGTGGAAGGGTACTTCCCCCCACATCTGCAGTAGTAATTCAGAAACATTTTTAATCTTAGTTTTAAAATACGTATTTCTTATTAATTGTATTAGTATGTCTGTTCTAAGTTGCTTGGGTTTTTTGTTTTTTTGCGTTGTAGAGTAATATAATAACAAAGTAAATAATAACAAATGTTATGCTATGCAATAACCACCCCCAAAAATCCAGGGTATAGTGGGTTAGAGCAGGCATAGGCAAACTCGGTCCTCCATATGTTTTTGGGACTACAACTCCCATGATCCCTAGCTAACAGGACCTGTGGTCAGGGATGATGGGAATTGTAGTCCCAAAACATCTGGAGGGCCGAGTTTGCCTATGCCTGGGTTAGAGTATTTGGCCTAGATTGGGGAGACCCAGATTAAAATTCCTGTTTAGCCATAAAGCTCACTTGACCTTGAGCCAATCTCTCTCCCTCTCTGGGTCTGCTTAAGACTTAAGTCTTTAACAAGCCTAAACAATATTATACCTGGAAATGTTTGCTCATCTAGAAATTCAGTAAAATGTTAACCAGTAAAATGGACCCCTACTGTCAATAGACAGCAGATATGCATGCTGGTGAAATCCCCTCTGTGCATCATAATCCCCTTTTGAGTACAGGCAATTCCCCATTTACGCGAGGGTTAATGTTCCCAGGCGGTGTGTGGGTGTGTAAGTGAAATTGCAGATATAGGGAATACCATTGAAACACCCTCTAAACTCTGGAAACCATTGAAAACCCCTTTTTAAAAAAACCAGCAGCAGCATTTATCAGACTCCGTCCAAACCTCTTTGCTCAAATTCCCACAGGTCTCAAAGGTCAGTACAAAGGCTCCTGGGATTGCACTTGCAAAAGCTTGTAGGATCGCTAGATGCCATTTTCACCTTTTTCGGGGGGCCATTCTTGCCTCTTTAAGTGCCACTTTTGGGTTCACAGCAATGTGCGAGTGTGCAGTCACATGTGACTCAAATGCACGTAAACGGTGAGTTGCCTGTAGTCTCTTGTGCCTCCACCTAGTCCCCAAATCTTTACACAATTATCCATTTCGTTCCTAGTCCCAGCAGCTATCTCCTTCAAGTCTTTTGAGAATATACGTACCTGGCATTAGGTTCTTCCTGAGCCTCTTCTTACCAAGCACACAGAAGTAAACCATACATGCCTAGTATGAATTATATGTCAACTGAAAAAACCCAAGGAGGGAAATAGGAGCTCGGATATATATTCTCCCCATCACCACCACCACTGTTTCCCCCAAAACAATTTCACTCTTTAGATACTGAAAAGCCTTGATTACATTGCTAAAGAGGATGCAGGTGGCACTGTAAGTCTAAACCACAGAGCCTAGGGCTTGCCAATCAGAAGGTCGGCGGTTCAAATCCCCGTGATGGGGTGAGCTCCCGTTGTTCAATCCCAGGTCCTGCCCACCTAGCAGTTCAAAAGCACGTCAAAGTGCAAGTAGATAAATAGGTACCGCTCCGGCGGGAAGGTAAGTGGCGTTTCCGTGCGCTGCTTTGGTTTCGCCAGAAGCGGCTTAGTCATGCTGGTCACATGACCCGGAAGCGGTCTGCGGACAAACGCCAGCTCCCTCGGCCTATAGAATGAGATGAGCGCGCAACCCCAGTCATCCGCGACTGGACCTAAAGGTCGGGGTACCTTTACCATTGCTAAAATGTGCTTTTCTGTTCAATTCCTTCCTTTGATCGTACCTCAGGTACAATGGAAATGATCAAATGAGTTATTAATAATAATAATTTATTATTTGTACCTCCACCCATCTGGCTGAGTTTCCCCAGCCACTCTGGGCGGCTTCCAACAAAGATTAAAAATACATTAAAATGTCACACATTAAAAACTTGCCTGAATAGTAACTCCCCTTTGCTTTCTTCACAGCAATAATGGCTTCTGCAAAGCAGCTGGCTGACTTCGGCTATAAAGCATTCTCTGGGTCCATGATGCTCCTTACCTTGTATGGTGGCTACCTCTGTAGTGTCAGAGTATATCGCTATTTCCAGAGGAGGAATTTGCTGAAGCAGCTTGAGCAGCAGGAAATAAATGCAGCAGTTAAGGACTGAACACTGTCCTGTTGTCTGACATAGGATGCTTAATGAATACAAGACTGGTGTGCTGCAATAAAAACTCATTTCAGAAAATGCAGCCCTGGAATCTGCCATGAAGAATCACTAATTCAGGGTGTGATGCATAAAAGGATGGAAACACCTATGCAATTCAGCAGTAATTGAATGTTTCATATGTGTCTTGCTTTTGTAAATATACACTGCTAGCAGCATCTCACTATAAAAGATGTGGTCACAGAATTGTTTCCCTCTTTATTTTTACATCCTCCTGTCCATTTAAAGAAGGAAAACAATATGAGGATAAACAGAGTTTGCCACAGGATTCCTCTGGCTGAGCCTACAAGTTTGCAAATGATTTGCGGGTGGGTGTTGTGGTACTTCATCTGTTTCCATTTACTAATTTCCTACTCAAGTTTTAAAGCAAAGGTGCATCTCACTGTCTTTACATCTGGGTCAACAAGTGTTTCCATGTGGGAATAAATCATGTTGCCTTGACATACATATTCTGATTAAGACATGTGAAAATAGAAAATCTGACACAATTGCGGATGTGAGGATTGCCGAATAGAAACCTTGCTAAAAGCAAAATAATCTTGAATGTGATGTTGCATTCTCTGATCTTACTTCAGCAAATGAGAGGTTGGCCCTTCTGTTATTGCAAATCCAATTATACCATCTGCTGTGCAACTGTCTGGCCACTGTCTTTTCATTTCTAAATAATAATAAACAAAAGCAAGAAAGAGTTCACGAAGAACAAATTAGGCAAGAAATAAAAATTCTCATTACCACAGGCTAGATTAGGATGGCTTCATTCCACCTGCTGTAAAGTAACATTGTATCAAGGTATGGTGAAATGGTGTGTCAGACAGCATGGCTCCAGGGTAGCTATAGTTTAGCAGACACTACTAATTACAAAGCTTATAGAGCTGAGGGAGGAATATGTCGGCGCCTCCGTACAACCGAGCTGTGAAGGCTACTCCTCCGGCGGTGATTAACGACCTAAGCCTTTGAATGAGACTTCAGGCACGCTCCCCATTATGCAGAGTACCCAGACAGCAGCAGCAGAGCCGGAAATATGTGCTACATTGCTGCTTTATTTCTGACTACGCAGGACAGAAAAGAATATGCATCTGCTCTCTGTGAGACAGAAAACAACAGGAACAAAGAAACAGGAAACTAGTAACTTCAACATCCGTCTCCCGTGAGACTTCCAACAGTCTGGAATGTCAACAGAGTCTTGTGACTCCAAGAACTGCACAGTGGCATAACAGAAACCCAACAGAATAGTGTTCAGAACTGTCAAGGCCAGGGTGTTCTTTTTTTTAGGCATGTTACATGTAGATTGTCTGCTAGATAGTGGTTATCTCATGCCTTCAGTAAGCTGTTAATGTCTTTCTACCAGTTACTGCCAATTCCCCTTTGTGAAACAATGATTTAGGCCGAAATAGTTTAGAAATGCTCCTTCATCCTTTGCTGTTACCCTTCCCAATAAAAAGTCATATAAATGGCTAGAAGCTTCTCATTTAGGAAGTCAACATGATGACAGCAAAGGCTAACCTTTCACCAATAGGGTTTCTGTACCTTGAGAGTTTCGTACAAGAAAAAAAGCAGAAACTTCCATTATTCCTAATCCCTTTTCCTTTTGTGTTGTATCCTTTAGATAGAATAGAAAGCCTGAGAATAGAAACTGATTTATCACTGATAGCAGTAAACTGCTCTGGGAGCCTTTTTTTTTGGCTGAAAAGTGGAATATTTAAAGTATAAAAATACTTTCAATAAAGTATAAAAATATTTTAAATAGCATATAAAAATACTTTCAATAAAATAATAGATGCTACAGAGGAGGTAAGAATTAGGATGTGTGGCAGCCAAAAACTTACTGTAACAACTAGCTTGGCCCCAAAGGCTGTGAAACTTAGTAACTATCTATTAACTACTGCTCTGTAAAACTCCCAATTCCTATACACGTTAGCTCAAACCAGAAAAAAGGAAGCTTCCTACTTAAACTGGCAATAAAACTTTTAGAAGACACCTGAAGGCAGCCTTGTTTAGGGAAGTTTTTAATGTTTGATGTTTTATTGTGTTTTTACTTTTCTGCTGGGAGCCGCTCAGAGTAGCTGGGGAAACCCAGCCGGTGGATGGGTGGGTGGGATACACACACAGAGAGAGTAATATTCTGTGTGGTGCTGGGGCAAAATGGGCTGTTCACAGTGTGGGGCAGGGAGGTTATGGAACTACAGCGTCCTAAGTCCCCTCCTTATCCCATAAACTATGCCAGACCTGGTTATCTACATAGTTTTAATATCCCCATTGAAGTCAATGGGAGGGAAATGGGGCGCGGGGGGGGGGGAATAATCATGGCAAGGAAAGGTTGCACCCTTACTTCCTGCTTGTGACAACAAGTCACAAGAAGCGGCAACAGTACCACCTGATTTCCTCTGTCCTTCACCCATGATATGACTGTTACAAATTGATACATGAATGACAGTGAGGTTAAACGGAAAAAGGCACCGTTCTTTGTACTATCTAGGGCAGCAGCTGTTTTCTTCTAAATTGGACTCTGACCCAGAATCATTTGGTGGCCCTGTAACAATACTATAAAATGGTAATTAGCAGCTTTTGGCTCCATTTCTTGGTTGTAGAGCTTGTAAAACAAGATCATCACACACTTAACAGAGTTCAGAAAGTATCTAGCAGGCATAAAGGTGACTGCTAACTGTAAGAAACATGGACTGTTACTCTAAGGCAGAGTTTTCCAAACTTCTCATGTCAGAAGTTTAGACATGCATCATTTCGTGACACAGTAATTCAGTTTTAATACCAAACCCAGGAGGAGAGCAGGGAGCATTCACGTGGCACACCTACACCATACGGCCGACACACTAACGTGTCACGACACACCGTTTGGAAAGCTCTACTCTAAGGCCAACTTGCACATACAAGTAGACCCCACGTGCTCCATGGAAGTACACCTGGTTGTTCCTAGATTGAAAGAGGGGCCATTTGGGAGAATCAGCAACTCTCTGGAAGCTGAACATCTTCCAGAACGACATAAGGCCCTGGATGGGTTTAGCTCAGCTAAGAGTACCCACAGAATTAATACCACTAACATGCTACTTGCTTTGCAGCGTTCAAATTTCAAGCACCATCTACTGCTCCTGTGTAACTTGGCAACGTTAGCACGTTAGCAGAATGTTACCTAAAATCAGAATGCACACAACCTTCCTCAGTAAAGCAAAATTCACAGACCCAACTCTTCAAGCAAATTTATTTTTAATCAGAGTAAACAATAGTATAAAATGATAATAAGTCAGGGCATTTTCAAAGTCCTGCTCGTGACAACACTTTGCTGCCTTTCATCTCCCCTGAAGTACCATTTAGTAAAAGGGAGGCAGGGACTCAAAGCCCTTGTGTGGCAACCTCTTTATCCCACAGACATCTCACCAAAAGACTCTGAAGCAGGTACAGGCGGCATGCTTGCTTCTCTTCTGAAAGTAGAAGCGTCTATGGAAAAGTCGGCAGCAGAACCAGATCATCCATGCCTATTATCCTAGTACACAAATTTATCCACCTCTTCCTTGTCATTCCTATGTGACTCAAAACCCATAGCATTCGTAGGAAAAACAGGTGATTTTAGGAAGTCAAAATGAAGACTTTGGAGACACTACTCCACTCGGGGGGGGGGGGGGGGAGCAATGAACGCCAGCCTTGTCTTCCCACCCACCCAAACAAGCAGACGTAAAACTTTATTAGCAAATGGGATCCCAACAACAAATAAGCAAATTGCTCAGTCGGCCTGTCTCTACCACCACCAGGTTGGTATGCCTAGCTGTGGCACATCCCAGACTCCCTAGGACACAGCTTTAGTCCTTGCTGCTAGGAGCATGGAATATCAGCTTAGACCAGGCCACAGTGTTTAAAAAAAAAACCCTGGAATGCAATTAAAAAGTGAGAGGCAGAACCTGTTTGAGATCCGAACCTTCAGAGTTGTTGCAAGAATACTTTCTCTCAATGTTTCAGTTGATCTATAAAATAAAACAGCCTCCCCCACCTCTCACTCACTCTCTCTCACTCACACGCTTCAGCAAACATAGGATACCATTAAATGCAAAATGGCTTAATTTCTTTAAAATGTGAAACTGGAAATAGCTTTTGCACTAGCAATCAACTAGATTCCTTCAGTACAAAACTGTGATGTGCCTGTTTCAGAACTGCTGGAGGATTTGGGGGCAAAGCGCCGGCATAAGTAAAGATTTCTTGGGGATATGGAGTTAAGACATATCTAGTCATTTGAACACAAGTCTGTGTTTTCTTGAGGCCTCCCTGCCGGTTCTTACTCCTCTTCTGCCCACTGCCCACTAGTTATGTGGCCGTTAATCCGACTGGTATCATTGCTTGAAGAGCTAAGGACTCCTTTCCTGCTGCTTGAAGTCACATCTTCCTCTTCAGAGCTACTTTCGACATCACTGCGTTCATCTTTTGACACCTGACAGAAAGAAGCAGAGTAAGTCTACCACAAATATAAGAGCTAATTTGAAAATCAGTTAAGCACTCAGTGTAGCATTCACCATATTACACTTAGCTATTAGTTGCTTAGATGGTACAGTTTTCAAATTTAGTTGTGAAGTTTGCGAAGAACAACCAGAAAAGAACAGAGTACAGAAAACAAAGAAGCAGGTATCCTCAGTTTTTCTACATAGCCATAGCCATAATAATAATAATAATAATAATAATAATAATAATAATAATAAATTATTATTATTTATACCCCGCCCATCTGGCTGGGCCTCCCCAGCCACTCTGGGCGGCTTCCATAGAAACCAAAAATACAGTAAAATATCACACGTTAAAAACTTCCCTGAACAGGGCTGCCTTAAGATGTCTTCTGAATGTCAGGTAGTTGTTTATCGCTTTGACATCTGCTGGAAGGGCGTTCCACAGGGCGGGCGCCACTACAGAGAAAGCCCTCTGCCTGGTTCCCTGTAGCTTTGCTTCTCGCAATGAGGGAACCGCCAGAAGGCCCTCAGCGCTGGACCTCAGCGTCCGGGCAGAACGATGGGGGTGGAGACGCTCCTTCAGGTATACTGGACCGAGGACATTTAGGGCTTTAAAGGTCAGCACCAACACTTTGAATTGTGCTCGGAAACATACTGGGAGCCAATGTAGGTCTTTCAAGACGGTGTTATATGGTCTCAGCGGCCGCCCCCAGTCACCAGTCTAGCTGCCGCATTCTGGATTAGTTGTACTTTCCGAGTCACCTTCAAAGGTAGCCCCACGTAGAGTGCATTGCAGTAGTCCAAGCGGGAGATAACCAGAGCATGCACCACTCTGTCGAGACAGTCCGCAGGCAGATAGGGTCTCAGCCTACGTACCAGATGGAGCTGGTAAACAGCTGCCCTGGACACAGATTTGACCTGTGCCTCCATGGACAGCTGTGAGTCCAAAATGACTCCCAGGCTGCGCACCTGGTCCTTCAGGGGCACAGTTACCCCATTCAGGACCAGGGAATCCTCCACACCTGCCCACCTCCTGTCCCCCAAAAACAGTACTTCTGTCTTGTCAGGATTCAACCTCAATCTGTTAGCCGCCATCCATCCTCCAACCGCCTCCAGACACTCACACAGGACCTTCACCGCCTTCACTGGTTCTGATTTAAAAGAGAGGTAGAGCTGGGTATCATCCGCATACTGATGAACACCCAGCCCAAACCTCCTGATGATCTCTCCCAGCGGCTGCATGTAAATGTTGAAAAGCATGGGGAGAGGACAGAACCCTGAGGCACCCCACAAGTGAGAGCACAGGGTTCTGAACACTCATCCCCCACCACCACTTTCTGAACACGGCCCAGGAGGAAGGAGCGGAACCACTGTATGACAGTGCCCCCAGCTCCCAGCCCCTCAAGACGGTCCAGAAGGATTTATGGTCGATGGTATCAAACGCCGCTGAGAGATCCAGCAGAACTAGGAAACAGCTCTCACCTTTGTCCCTAGCCCGCCGGAGATCATCAACCAGTGCGACCAAGGCAGTTTCAGTCCCATGATGAGGCCTGAATCCCGACTGGAAGGGATCCAAATGGTCCGCTTCTTCCAGGCGTGCCTGGAGTTGTTCAGCAACCACTCGCTCAATCACCTTGCCCAAGAATGGAAGATTTGAGACTGGGCGATAGTTGGCCATCGTGGCCGCATCTAAAGATGGTTTTTTAAGAAGCGGTTTAATAACCGCCTATTTCAGCGGGTCTGGGAAGGCTCCCTCACGGAGGGAAGCATTCACCACCCCACGAAGCCCATCACCCAGTCCTTCCCGGCTAGCTTTTATAAGCCAGGATGGGCAAGGATCCAGGAGACAGGTGGTTGGTTTCACTCGTCCAAGCAGCCTGTCCACATCCTCGGAGGTAACAGATTGCAATTGATCCCACTCAACTTGACTAGACAAAACTCTAGCACTCTCCCGCCCCAGCCCTGCTCCCACGGTGGAGTCTACTTCTTCCCAAATCTGAGCAATTTTATCTGCAAAAAACTTTGCAAAATCATTGCAGGAGAACATGTGGCCTGTACTGGGCCCCGATGTTGCAGGTGGTTCCGCTAAATTGTGAACCACCTGAAAAAGTCTCCTGCTGCTGTTTTCTGCAGATGCAATAGAGGCGGTGAAGAAATTCTTCTTCGCCGTCGCTATCGCCACTTGGTAGGCTCAATGTTGAGCTCTAACCTGTGTCCGGTCAGATTCGGAATGAGTTATCCGCCACCAGCACTCTAGCTATCTCAACGATTGTTTCATTGCCCTCAGATCCGTGGAAAACCGCGGGGCTGTCCGGGCTCCATGCAATCGGAGAGGGCGCTTCGGAGCCAAACAGTCAATAGCCCTGGTTAACTCCACATTCCAGCGGGCCACCAGGGAATCAGCTGAAAGGCCATCAACATGGGATAAAGCATCCCCTACCACTCTCTGGAAACCATTTGGATCCATTAAGTGGCGGGGGCGGACCATCCGAATTGGTCCCACCACCCTGCAGAGGGGATGGGTCGCAGAGAAGTCCAGTTGCACCAGGAAGTGATCTGACCATGGCACTTCTTTTGTTTCGCTTTTACTTAGTGTCAGATCACCAACATCCATAGAGGTAAACACCAGGTCCCAGCCAAATTTATGTGAAAGCTTCCTTTGGAAGGGCAGATTTCCACCAAGATCATAAATGCTTTTTTGCAGGAATTGTGGCCGCTACTTTTGGACCTCAAAACATTGCGGGGGAGGAAATGGAATATATTATTTCTAATGCATTTCCATTCTTCACATAATTTTTTGAAAAATAAATGATTTGCTTCGCTGCTTTCCAATTTCTGAAAAGTGTTCAAGGGGCCAAGAATCTAAATTTTAAAGCAAATAAAATAGTAACTTTATAAGACATTCAAAAAATAACTAACCAGGTGCCAGAATGAAAATATATCAAGGATATTATAAAATGTATGTGAAATATTTAAAGGAAATAGCAAAATGACATTAAAGAGGAAGTCAGATGGATCTCCCAGGGCAGGAAATTTGACTGCTTGGTCACTAAACACACCTGAGCTATAAGGGAACATCATAAAGCTGATGGGAAGAGGTTCACCCTACAAACAGAATGCACCTCAGCTCTTCAAGAAAAAGGCCACATAGTCTTACAAACATTACTCATTCTGATGGATAACAATTTAAACAGATAATACCATTCTTTCAAGGATAGCCCAAGAGGAATATCTCCTGAAATGTAAATACTACAAGTACTTTTCACATGACCAGAATTAGCCCAAGTCTAATTTTGCCATCAGGCGTATTAATTAACCAGGTAAAAAGGTGAAGGTACCCCTGCCCGTACGGGCCAATCCTGTCCGACTCTAGGGTTGTGCGCCCATCTCACTTAAGAGGCCGGGGGCCAGCGCTGTCCGGAGACACTTCCGGGTCACGTGGCCAGCGTGACGAAGCTGCTCTGGCGAGCCAGCACCAGCGCAGCACATGGAAACGCCATTTCCAGGTAAGCATATATTAAACCAGGTAAGCATATATTAAAACAAAACCACCAGACAAGTGGTGAAGAGGTCAGACTTTCCCTCAATGACAGGGACGGGGAATTCAGCCACGGGCCACATGGCAGTGGTAGGTGGGACCAGAAGCAAAAGCACAACAGATCCGACTCTTACCTTCTGTAAAGGAAGCTACTTCCAGCCTCATTGGTGGCTAGAGGTTTACACACATCAAGGCATGCCAGCAAGAGACATTATAATAGTTCAAGGGTACATTCTGGCCATGCAAGACCACCTGAGGAAGGCATGCACTGAGCAGGCCCAGTAGAGGGGGGGGAGCTAGGGGGGGAGAGACGTGAGCCCCAGAGAGTCCTGAGGGGTGAAGAGAGAACTGGAAAGCTGCATTCAACCTGTGGTCCAGGCTGAACTGTGATTGTGGTCTATGTAAGTTTATTCTTTATATATTCATAACTGAATACACACACCCACGTATTTATAATAGAGACAAGAACGTATTTCAGTAAGTGGTTCCTGGGTGACGTGATGCCATGCAAAACAGGTACAATAATATTTATTGAACCCACTCCTGCTATATTACGTATGCAGACTCTATATAAAAAAAGAATTACGTAACACTCAAAAACTTGCATACACTTACACTAGCAAAAATCTGCCCTAGACAGCTTTTCATTGTTGGAACATTATTATTATTATTATTATTTTGGCCTTCATCACAAGATCTCAGGGTGGTTCACACAAGATAAAAACACAAGTGAATAATAATAATGATAACTCCCCCTTCCCACAGACACATTTAATCAGCCAAAGGCCTGGTTGAAGAGAAACGCCTTGTGCCTAAAAATATATATAATGAAAGTGCCAGGCGAACCTCCCTGGGGAGAGCATTCCACAAAAGGGGAGTCACCACTATAAAAAAGGCCCGTTCTCGTGTTGTCACCCTCCAGACCTCACGTGGAAAAGGCACATGAAGAAGGGCCTCAGATGATGAACGCAGAGGTCTGGGGCGATTTTTATGGGGAGATGCGGTCCTTGAGGCATAGTGGTGGCAGCACACTGTGGCACTGTGCACTTCTTCCTCTAAAAGTAATCCCATGCCGCTGATTACAGTGGGAAGTAGCTTATTAGTGGCTGGTGGCGTTGTGGGGGGGCCTCATGTGGCCTTTTATTTTTAACCTTGTAAACACTGGCGCAATAGTGCAGGTGAACATTCAAGGAGCTAAAGTGGGGGAGGGAAATAAAGTACTACTTTACAGAGCTTCATTTATTGTAGGAAATGTGTGTGTGTGCGCGCGCGCGTGTTTCTCACGTCTACACTGTGACAAAGGGCTGCCTTCTCTATTGCTTGCTAATGGCTGTGAAATGCAGGAACGTACATGAAAATGGCAGATAATTTCCTGCCCACTTCCGCCAACCAAAGGTTAAGATAAAGGTGAGGTGTAAAAGCTGGGGGGTGGGAAATGTTTTTAAGGTTTTAAGCCACTCCCACTGAAAATATTATAGTGTGATGCTACAACACACCACAAGCACTAGCACACAGAGAGAAGGACCACCACCACCCGTAACAGAACAGCTCTGAAAACACACAGAACCAATAGGGAGAAACTGCAGGAAGGGTACAGATTAACTAGTGCATCATGCGGCAAGTGTTTTAGAACCCATGCGCAGCCTGAAAAAAATCCTCATGCAGACTGGCACCCAGGTCCTATAAAGTTCACAGTCCATTTCGTATTTATTGTTTACATGACTTGCCACAAGGTGGCAATAGATTACTACTGAACAGTAAAGGCACCGGCTGTTACTGCAAACAAGGCTGAAATGCTCACATCATAGTTATGTACAGATTATTCTATCTCTGCTGTAGCAGCTGTCAAGGGTAGGCCCTCCACTTGTGAGCCTGCAACCAATAGCACTCATTTACATAACACTCGGGATTTTTACCCTTGCGCCTAATGTGCACTAGGTGTGCTCAAGCTATCCACACCCCTGATTACAGTTAGGCATATGGACTTTGAACAGCCCTATAGAAAGGATGGCAGGGCACCTACCAATGACAAGTTAATGATTGACAGGGTCAACTGTAGGTGCCCACTTCTCAAGAGCTGCAAATATATATTGCCTGATAGCCACCAAATGCTTTTAAGATCATAATATAAATGGGAGGCAGGAATAATTAACAAAAATTGTGTTATATTTTATAGCCATTTGTGGCAATGGTTTTCCTCATGTGAAGACTAGGAATACTATGTGGCAGGCTTTTAAGTCTCCGTATCCCAGATTCCAAGGTATATCCATTTATAAATGGTGCCGATTTTAACTCTGAAAACTGTAAATGACCCGGATCCATAAGGACTGACCATGTAGGTTTTCAGAAAGTCTGGCTTCATGATGCTAAATTCCATCAGCATCCACAGTAGGGACAAGCAGAGATTTTCTTGGTGGTTGCTCAGGCCTTATGCAACACTTTTCCAACAGAACCCACCTACTATCTAATTTTTTTTTTTAAATTATTATTATTATTATTATACTGCCCTATACACGGAGGTCTCAGGGCAGTTCAAGGAACAAAATCAAAATATAAAACCACAAAATATATAAAACCTACCAAAGCCATTTTCGTAACATTCCAGAGAGAAACAAACAATCTCATTTTAGCAACAGATGAACTGAACTAGGTTTTCAAATTTTACATGCTGTTTTATTCAGCCTTTTTTTTTAAAAAAGTATGTGTTTTTAGAGTGAATATTCATTACCTGATGCATTCTATGCTATATTTTCCTTTCCAAAGAAAGGAAGATTTAATTGAAAAAAATACTAGCAAGATGAACCACAGAGCTGAAGGTCCACAGATGAAGGTCGCACACAAAGATTATAGCCACCTACGTCAATATCAGAGACCTGACTTTCTTGTGAGCAGTTTTCAGATTAACTAACAACTGTTTGAAAGAAACCTGCAAAGCACAGCTGGTTTGAGGCTAAACAGTGTTCAGACTCATTTTAGACACAGGTAGTCCCCCCGCTCCCCTCTACCGGCCACAAAAGCAGATTGCACTTACATACAAGAAGAGGAAGAGATCCAGCTTCAGTCTGGCACAGAGAAAGGAGGGAGAGAGAATGAAGAATACAGAGGAGAGTCCTTCCCTGACTAGGTCACCTGATCAGGAGAGAAAAGCAAGGAGAGGAGAGATGCAGGTCTCCTGCAAGACACCCCAAGCTTGAAAATCAGCTATAGCCACTCAGCAGATAAATGAACGAAACAAACATGGGTGAGATCCAGACTTCCCCTTCCGTTCATGGAAGGGACTGAGATCCAGCTGAAGATCCCGTTTAAAGAAAAGTGGAATGGGCAAATTTTACTGATTCTCCCCTTCCCCAGCATTCTTCAGCACTACTTCCCAAGTAATTCTGGAAGGCTCCCCTCAACCCGGCTTGCTTGCTCCCCAGCTCTACTCATGGCACATCTAGATTAAATCTACAAATATATATGTAATTAAGATACAAACACAGGAAAAGAAAAGACGCAGTATCTAAGCTGCAAGGCAGAGAAGAAATTGGGGTTATTTGAATACAGTGGTGCCTCACAAGACAAAAATAATCCGTTCCGCGAGTCTCTTCGTCTAGCGGTTTTTTCGTCTTGCGAAGCAACCCTATTAGCGGCTTAGCGGATTAGCGCTATTAGCAGCTATTAAAGGCTTAGCGGCTTAGCGGCTTAGAAAAAGGGGGGGGGAGCGAAAAAAATCGCAAGACTCGCAAGACGTTTTCGTCTTGCGAAGCAAGCCCATAGGGAAATTCGTCTTGCGAAGCGCATCGAAAAACGGAAAACCCTTTCGTCTAGCGGGTTTTTCGTCTTGCGAGGCATTCGTCTTGCGGGGCACCACTGTATGCAGAAAGAAAAGTACTCAGGCATCATTAAAATGCTCTACAGGAAAGCAAATGCCCAATACTATAGAACTGTTTATTTCTGTAAATATATAGTATTTAGCTAAGATTCTGATTCTGAATTGTTCAGATAAATTATCTCTCTCTCTTTTGCAAATCTGCTTCCATGGCCACTTTCATAAGAACAAGTAGTTTTCACTTCTTTCCTACATAAAACTATAGCCTCTCCTCCTCCCACAAAGCCCTGCAGACACAATAGAAGGCTAAACACAAGCCCTACTTTGAGAGCCAGAGGTCTTAATAAACTTAGCTACCTGTCCTCCTTCATGCCAATGTCCTCCTCAGAAAAAAAGTGAAGGCAAGCTAAGTTCTGGCAATGTAGTGGCTTCCAATGCTTCTTAAAGGAGCGGCTTCTAAGAGTCAGTTCTAGCACCTATGCTCAGCAACACTGCAGGTAAGGGCCTGGAACACTCACTGCTACAAAGCAAAGAGGAGTTTAGCAGCAAGGCCCTTTCGGCCTTTCAATATCACCTTTCCTTCTGCTGGGTGTATTTGACACACTGATCAGCTCCTGGAATTAAATATCCCCATTTTTAGTAACTAGAACAGTGAAGTGGAATATACGGAGAAATGCTCCAGAATGTTACGCTGGAGAGCAATATGCACAAAGGATAGGCAAACCTCCTGCGTTATGATCAGTATGATCTGCATCGGTGCAGCATCAATTCTCATTCCAGAAAATTCCTTCTATGCCACTGCATTTTAAAACAAAAAACCCAGAGCCCTCCAGCCTTTCAGTGCAGTGTTCCTATGTCCACTAACAAGGGTTGGTATGTGATAATACAGAATCCAGCAACTCAATATCTGTTTTTACAATTTACATCTTTAAAAAGTGCTTAGGATTGAGAAGACAGATTTGAAAGTGTGTGGGAATCCAAGAAGGGGGAGCTAAGAATGCCAAGCATTATTCCAGTTTGTATAGGCTCTACCTAGCTTTGTGCCGCTCCCTGATGCCTATTAAAACGTATTGTGCACACTTTGTGCATTATTGTTTATATGGACAGATTTTACGTGGTGCTGTTTCAAGCTTTTCTTGGTGCATACTTGTATTTTTTAGCAGTTGTTTACCCCTAGCACTGTTAGGTAGGCCAGGTTTATCTGGCAGCAATAAAATGTTGGTACCAGAATTCAGAGTGCAAAAAAACGTTAAGAGCAGCCTTGCTGGATCTGACAAAAGGTCCATCTAGTTTTCATAGTAGCCAACCAGATCTGCTGGGGCAGCATTTCCTACTTCAGTCAAACCTAAGCCTCTGATGTTGTCTGGTGGGGAGCATTTGATATGTAACATGAAGTACAGCTCATCAGGGAATTCTGAGCAAAATTGCGATTCACTCTGCAATTGCACCTTTACAAGTGAGTAACATTCATCAATGTGAGAGAACTACTTGGGTGGTCTGGATAAATATGGCCAGTCTGGAGAAGGATCAAGAGCAATGGCTGGTGTGTTTGTGTGTGCGATTACTAATGGGAGGAAGCAGAGTGGTGTGAAGAGAGACAAATACTTTTCTCATTCTAGCAGCTACTTAACATATAAGTTAAAATGATATCGAAGTAAAAAGTTGTTATCTCAGGCAGCAGTCCGCCTTCTTCAAAGCCACAGGTGTTTGTGAAATATGCAAAAAAGGAAGCAAGTATCTGGGAGTTCCCAGTGCTTAAGTAAGTTGGAATTCATACCTTCCCTCGTGCCAGGGCCTTGTAGGCAATGCGAATGATGAAATAGGACCAGATGACATTTAGAACTTGCAAAATTAGAAGAAGCCCATTAAATAGCCACCATGATGTATAAGGGCCAATTATTTCCTTGCTTTCAAACAAAGTTGTGTTCAGTAACCTGCAAGACAAAGAAGTGAGTTGTTATATTGGCACTTTGCTTATCTTTCACAACTCCCAGCTTCTAGATAGAAACCAAGCTGACTGGACTACAAAAACATCTGCCCCATAAAAAAAATCCTTTACGGAATGTTAATGCCTCCAGTCTTAAGACATCTCAGTATATGAGTGGACATCTCAGAGGCACAGGTTTCTTCTCCATTCAGTTTTTGTTAATGCTTTGATTGAGTCAGGAGCTGAAATGCTTAGCAATTCATCTATTTCCAGAAAAAAATAAAAAGGTCTGTTGGTTTTACATGTTTAATGGATTTAGGAAGCCTTACACTGACAGAAAATGTGTGATTTACCCCACTGCACCTTGCTGCAGCAGGAAAATATCAGATCTATTAAGGACTTTAAAAAGGGAGAAAGCCAAGGAAATCTGAGGCCTCTGGTTGCTAGAACTCAAGAGAGCCTGAAACTCTCCTCCCGCAGGTCTTCATTAGTCAAACCTGCCTTTGCACTCTCGGAGGAGGGACCTTCCCACCTCTAAAGGGAAAAACAGTTTCTACATGAGCCACCGCATGCTATTTGATAAGTGCAGTATGGCATTACACAGTATGCAACCACTGAGACAGCAAAGTCACTTCCCATTGCAATCTGAGATAAGCAGGCATACCCGGGAAACAGGGGGATTACAATAAGACCAATGGAAACAGCATTAAAGATTCACTGGCTCCCTACCACACGCCAAGGGCTTGCTGAGTGATATAGCAACAATACGTACAGGCTGCCATGGCGTAATCACAATCAGTGGGGCCAGTAGTAAGAAGATTTGTTTGCTTGCACAGACCAATGCACCAGTGCAAGAATACATTTCAAGTCATTTATTACTCTGAAATCTCTCCTCGGTTGAGGGAGTACTCTACTGCCATAGCTGAAAATGATAACTAGGATAGAAAGTTGGCATGAGTTGGCTCAGAGGGACATCTGTCGATCACACCTCAAATGCAGATGTGCTGGGCAGCCTAATTCCTCTTCCCAAATCACTCAGCACAAAGGAGCAACCCTGGGTTGCAGAATTCCTCCTGGATTCTCATGCGTCAACAGTAACTCCTGAAGAGCGCTTTCTACCTGTGCAGGCTCCCTGTGTAATCCAGAAATCTGGACAATCCAAGTTCTAAATCTTGCAAGGGCCTACACAGATATAAAGTTGAAGCAGGACACCTTTTCTGAGTGGCTAGCAGGAGCCACACAGTATAACAAGCGATACTCAATGGGTTCCCTTCCAATACCTCTCTATCCACACAAGTAATGCACAAAGTATCAAGAGGAACTGTTCAACAATCTCCACCGATTCAAACTGGCCCCTTCTGCAACAGCGGGAGAGGACCTCTGGCATTATGACTGAATGGAGACCAGGGACCACATTCCATATCCTGCCTCTCGAGCACAAGCTGCAATGGCACTGCGCAACCTGAAGAGATTGAAACCCAACTCAGGGTCCACCTTAAGTATTTTGCCATTGTATATAAAATATTGAAACAGCACAACCAAAACTTGGAGCTCCTGATGCCTCCTCACGCATTCTGCCAGGCCCTTTTGCTTCCTGAGTCCCAAAATCAATCAAGTTCTTCAGGGGATATGCTTCTTATCACACATCTGTGAAGGGGTCCTGTTACAGAGGTTACCTGTGTGCTACAGCTGTTTAATCGTCTGTACCAGACTCTTGGCACAATGAACCCCTAAAGTTATCCCTTGACTTGCTCTCCCCCACCTCAATCCCAGTAAATACTTACCAGAAAGGATAAATCCCCAAACGAGTAACAATGAACACCACACAAAACAGTACAAAGGTGGCATCACAGACTCGCTGGTATTTGGCATAGTTGGCAATTTTTGCTACCTGGGGGGGGAAAAGGGAGAAGCTCTAAGAAAACTCCTCCAGACTTCAATGCAATAATCCCATCATTTAAGAAATGGTTTAAGAAATGGTTATTACTTTTTTCCGTTGTATGCAAATGGATTTCTAGAAAAAAATTAAAAGCATCTAACACAAATAAGCCATTTGAATACAGTGGTAAAAACTCGATAGAACTGTGTGAGGTACTTACTTCTAGGAAGCCATCTGCCATATCATGAACCAACAAAACCAAGCTTCCTACCCGCACCATGTTGTTCATATAGGAGAAGCTAATGAGTGCAACTGATAACAGGTGATGAATAAACATGACCAGGAAATCCTGAAAAAACAAGTACCAGCATGATATCACTATGGAGTGCAAGGAACACAACATAATACAGATTGGGAAATCTTTAGTTTAGCACCTACAAACTTCTTTCTGACACAAAGGTGAGCTGCTTTCAAGATCAAAATGATTTATTATAGAACAGCGGTCTAGAAATGTGTACAGCCATCACTTCATCACAAATCAAACTGGTGTGCCATTAGTGTTATTGAAAACCTTTTCTTCCAAGTGAAAAAGTTTCCTGATCCTCAACAGCAATGACAACATGGGATTTGCACCTTGGCCAACATCTTCATCAAGTTATCTACTCTTGTTCCTGGTCTGTCACATGCAGTTCAGACCCTAGGAGAATGTACGTAAAGTTAAGATTATTATGTTTTGCATCATTTTACACTTGTTTACAGTGAATTGCATTTGCCTTTTCACTGCCCATTTACTCAGTTTGGAGAGGCCAATTTGGAGCTCTTCGCAATCTCTTTCTGTTTTAACAACCCTGGACAATTTAGCATCATCAGCAAATTTGGCCTCCTCACTGCTCACTCCTAACTCCAAATCATTTATTAGCAAGTCAAAAGACAAAAACCCCACTACTTCTCTCTGTTTGGAGAACTGTCTGTTTATTCCTACACTTTGCTTCTGGCATCTTAACCAATTCTTGATCTGAAAGAGGATCTCTCTTATTCCTTGACTACTAAGCTTTCTCAGGAGTCTTTGGTGAGGTACTTAGTCAAAAGTACAGTGGTACCTCTGGTTAAGAACTTAATTCGTTCCGGAGGTCCGTTCTTAACCTAAAACTGTTCTTAACCTGAGACACCACTTTAGCTAATGGGGCCTCCCGCTGTTGCCGCACCGCCACGGCACAATTTCTGTTCTCATCCTGAAGCAAAGTTCTTAACCCGAGGTACTATTTCTGGGTTAGTGGAGTCTGTAACCTGAAGCGTATGTAACCTGAAGCATCTGTAACCCGAGGTACCACTGTATTTTGGAAGTCCAAGCCAACTGGATCACTGTTATCTAGTCGTACCTTGGATGTTGAACAGCTAAGTTGCCGAACGTTTTGGTTCCTGAACAATTGAAAACCGGAAGTGATTGTTCCAATTTTCAAACGATTTTCAGAAGCCAAACGTCTGACATAGCTTCCACGGCTTCCAATTTGAGTGCAGGAAGCTCCTGCAGCCAATCAAAAGCCGTGCCTTGGTTTTTGAACGGTTCCAGGAGTTGAATGGACTTCCGGAACGATTAAATTCAAGAACCAAGGTAAGACTGTATATGCTTATTGACATTCTCAAAGAATTCCAATAGGTTTGTGAGACAAGACTTTCCCTTGTTCTATATAGTTGGTTATTTTATCTTTAACATTACTTTCCATCAGTTTTCCAGGGACAGATGTTAAGCTAACCAGCCTGTAATTTTCAGGAACCCTGCTGGAACCCTTTTTAAAAAATAAAATAAAAAATATTGTGCTACTTTGGCTGCTTTCCAGTCCTCAGGTATGGAGGCTGATCTGAGGGACATTGCAGAACAGGGTTATTTGCTATATAGGAGTGTCTCTCAATGTAGTCAGTTTGAATAAGATAAAATTAGGGTTTTTTGTAATCTGAAATGTTATCAGTAAAGGTATTGCTTTGGGAGAAAATCACTGGTGCCAGAGTAAGACAATAGTCTTTTTTATTTTTCTTTCAGCAACCTCCCATTTTGGGTGTAGAATCTGTACAGATTGGGTAGCCTATTCTAGGAACCAAGCCTCATGATAAGCAGCCAATGCTGGGCACTCCTTCATTGAAAACAGTTTACTCACAATCCTTGCAAAACATACCATGTAGACTGCTGAAAAGTCAATGCTACAGCAACCTTAGAGTATTTATTTTATTGATTGATTGATTGATTGATTGATTGATTGATTGAATTTATATACTGCCTGATGCCCGGAGGTCCCAAGGCAGTTCACAGAATAAATAAGTACCTTGGGACTTGGGTCAGGGACTCAAGGTTTAGGAAGCATATATAAAAACAACAATTGCATTCAGCAATACTCAAACTACCTCTTTTCCAAGCTTCTCATGTAATTCTACTAATAGGCCAGCAAAATACTAACAGGTGTACTCACTAACTCTTCAACAAGTTACTAGGTAGGATTCTGCTAGGGCTCCCTGAGTAAACTGAAGTACACACATCTCCCTCTCCTAGGGATCTCAACAGTCAGCTGAAGGAAAGAGATTATAATTATAATAATAATAATTTAACTGGAGATTAACTCCAGTTACAGTGACACAAAAAAAGGGAAGATTAGCTTGTGTAAAACATTTGCCTCCATATAAATATTTTTGGAGCAATTCTTACTGAGGCATATAGCTGAAAATGTTTTAGTGAAAGTGGTCAGCCACAAAACATTTCAGGGAGAACTCACAATCGAGACATTAAATTTCTGGTGGTTTCTGCTCACATGATTGTCCGAGAGAAAAATAACGAAAATGCCACATCAGTTGCCTTGTTCCCCATGAATGCATACACAGAAGACATTCTGGAAAAGCACCCATTCTCCAACAATGTATTGAGAGACTTCCAGGTGCATTCAGTTTCCAGTGGTTTGCAGAAAGCAAATAATGGCAGCAGCAATTAAAACAACTGCTTCTTTTACTGGTAACTGCATTTAGAAACTATTCACTGTAACTGGGCAGTACCTCTGCAACCCACAAAGTATCTCAAAACTAAATTCATCAGCTCCTGTTTGTTGAATATGGCCCATTTATACAGAATGCCAAAAATGTTTGCAGCCAAAATATGAGCAGTAAGTGAGAAGACAAATGCACAACATCCTAGGCCCAGACAACTGATGACAGTGGTAATTGGATTTAAGATAATCTTAATCCAATATTTTCTATTTATTTTCCTAGTTGTCCTCTACGATCCTTCAAGTTCTAGAAACATTAGCCCAGTTCCTTTGTTTTGAAATGATGGGGGTACATTATCATGATGACTCCAGGACACATCAACAGCTTTACAAAAGAGTTCCCAGGTCTGAAATATTTATCCTTATAGCTACTATAACACAACTATTCAACTCCTGTTTGTGCCTTGTGCTCTGCTATATGTACATGTTAATGCAACTGATTTTTATCTGTCATATTTATTCTTGATGTCTGTTTCTTACAGAAATGCAATACAATGTCTGTGGCTTTGGGATTCCATACTTTTCTTTCATACTCTTGAATTCCAGTTTGCTCACTGTATTCACAGAACCTTATTCAGGAAACACAAGACCACTTTTTGTAAATTGGATTTCTCATGGAAGGATGTTTTCGACTAGCTGATCTATATATTTTTTTTATTAAAAAAAGCTTTAAAATTAAATTTTTATTATTAGTTTTAATTTTCTCTCTCTGTAAGCTCCTTTGAACATATGCCTTAAGGACGCTACTGCTTTCAACAATCAAATGGGAAATGTTAAATTCCTTCCATAATCAAATTGGGAAAGCATCTAAATCACAACTTACTGAGCATTTCTCCGTTGAACACTATCTAAGCAGAGAAATCTAGAGATATTGGCATGAAAACAAGTTGAAATTCAGGTTTAAGGAACCTAAAACACAAACAGGATTAATAGCATGCCTAGGTAAAGCAATATTGTAGAGCAGGGGGAAAGAGGAAAGGATATAAACCCATGAAACTAGTGACATTTATTTGCCTGGACAGTCCAATGTCACATATCTAAATGCACATTTGTACCGGATTCACACTGGACCTGATTACAACACCATGTAGGGCAACCTTCAGCAGTGCCCTTCAGATGCGGGTCAGCACAGCCTCAATATGAATTTTCCAGCTGAGGGCACCTGTTTGTTTTTGTTCTAAACCCATGCTTTCAGAATAGCTCAAAAAAAACAAGCTAGGAAATGTAGAAAACCACACATAGGATTCCTTAGTTCCTCCCTGTCCTAGAAAAGGATAAAAGGCTCAACCAGCTTCACATGAGTCATCATAATACATTCACACATACACGTACTTCACTCATCACAGGTTTGCATTTGATGGAAGTCTTCTAATCAAAGTAGGTTTTATTATAAGATACAAATCAGTCATTCTATTACTTGGTACTGAATGATTCTTCCCCTCATTCAGAAAGGTTAATGGGATTGTTTAAGGCTCCTGGAAACAGCTAGTTAATTACCTTTCGCTTCACATCTATAAACTGTGAAAACACAAGAGACCAGTAGAAGGCCAGTTGCACAAAATAATAGTAGTAAAGGCTGGATGATAGGGGCTGAAAAACAGAAAGAAAGTCTTGTTTAGAAACAGCATGTAACATATGCATTAAGAGCTACTTAAAGCAGGACAGTCCAAATGCTGTTGGATTCCAATGCCCATCAGCTCCCAAGGGTCAGGGAAGATGGGAGCTGTAGTCCATCAACATCTGGAGGGCCACAGGTTCCCCACCCCGATTTAAATACTTAAAACCACTGATAGGAAATTGAGTCCAGCCAGAGAGCCAGATCCTGATGTTCCCCAACCCCAAGGATGTAATTGACTTATAGCTGGGACCACTCACCTATCAATCTTCTGATGTCATCATGACCCCAGGTGAAGCATCCCTTTGCCTGTGCAATTTTATTTCAAAAAGTGCAAGCGAATGGAATGTTTCTCTGCAGGGCTTGTAAACCGATAGGCATGTGTTGCTTTGGCAAGGGATTGGGTGTTCAACCTTGACTGGGGGCTCCAAAGTGCAGCCCATCTCAGCAGGGTTTGCTATCACTGTCAATCGACTGATTGAAGCTGACAACAAGGCTTGCTTGCCAAAAAGCAATCGGGAGCACACTTTTCCATTCTCTATTGCTCCTTTGTACCTGAATCTTTGCCTGTCCACAACTGGTGTCACATGTGACATCAGGTGTGGGGCAGGTAGGTGTAGTTTAGGGGAAACAACTTTGCAGGACAATCTGGGACCACTTTCTAGCCTAATTTGACCTACAGGAGAATTAGAGATTCTCCGCTGCTGGCTTAAACAGGTAAGTGTTTATGTCCTTCCATCCTGCAAAATGATAACCTAAGCGTTCAATATTGTAATTACAAAGAAACCTATCCTCCCTTCTTTCGGTTCTTCCCACTTCCTCCCCCAGAGCTGCTATTATGTGTGGTTTTTAAAGTGAGATCTGATGGCAGATCTCCCAAAATCACACCCAATTGTACCCTTATATAAACTGAACAGCTGTCATTTGCACTTAAGGATAACACCACTTGAAACCTGGTGGCCTGACCACACCAAAATGCCCCATGAGAAAAAGCAACACTTCCTTCTCCTGGTCATAGTTCTTAGCTTTCAGGGAAAGGGCAATATTTCTGATACCCCACTCCCAAAATCTCAGTGAGGGGTAACAAGCTAAGGACTGGGGGAAGACAAGTAGATTGGTTGGAGAAAAGACTAGAACTGTCTATTCCCCAGGCTGCAAAACTTGACAGGCCTTTAGCTAACTATTAAAAAGTGCGTCTTCCATTTAGCAGGTGTCTACAAAGAAAAGGCCACAGATTACTTGCCATGTGTGCTTTTGAAATACATGTTACTTAGACACAGCAATTTTAAAAGAGGAGGATCAGAGAAGAATTCAGCATTACCATCCAAGTATCATGTAAAAAACAAACAAAATAAACTAGAGAGCAATCAGCCTGTACTGTTTGGAGCCTCAAACCCATAAAAAAGCACTTTTTTGATAGATCAGCAGCAAGACAAAAACTTAGGTGAGTTCAGATGCAGAGAGTGTTTATTTAGCGACTGGATGGTTTTCAGCACACACAGTTTTTCTCACTAGTTTTCAATCTATCTACATAATGACTGCAGGACTAAAAGAAGGTCTACACTACACAGAGAACTGCCACTATAAATCTCTCCCTATTGCATCATTCCAGCTATTTTGTATTCCCTCATTCCTTACGTTTAGCACTAAAGCATCAAACACATTCTAAGTAAAGTATGCCCATTACCTCCTACACAGACCAGATCATTAAAAGGCAGACAGAAAGGCACGCTAGTGGAATGTGTAGCAAAGCATAATACGCCCATTTGCTCTAAGAATTACGTTTTTCTTGACATATCTGCAAATTCACTTTGAAACACAACCAGGCACATGTACTGCAATCAGTCACCTTTGATTTACCAGCGCTCCAAGTTAAGCTCTAACATGTGAAAATATATTTGCAAGAACAGGATGCTTATTTTGACATACACAGCTGTTCCACAGGTTACTTCCCTCAAAGTTGACAGATAAGCTGTATCAAATGAGGGAACTTTGTGTATATATCAGTACTTCCAGTGGCAAACTGGTTCAAGAGGAAAGTGATCAGTCAAAGGCTGAACAACTTCAGGAAATGATACCTAACACTGTTACAAGCTTTTATTAGTAAAGACACCACATACCTGAAAAGGGTAGTTGTACCAGCATTGTCGAGTATCCCAAAGCCAGGGTGCCTAGATTAAAAAATAATAATAATGAATGAATGAAAGATACTAGAAAACTGTACAACTAGAACATGTAGATACGGGATCCCTTATATTGAGGGGGAAATTGCTCAATACAAGCAACCATAGATTATAAGACAGGGATCAACACCCTTTTCAAGAAACAACAAATAAAAGGCATCACAAATCATGAACTGGTCTTTCTGGTTCTGGAGTCAAAAAGTGAAAGTTGCAGCATTCCTGAGATGAAGAGTGATATAAAGGCTACCTTTCCTGTTCTGCCATGATAGAATTGAAGGAATAACTGACCACCCAAATAAGAATGTTAAGGAAGTCCCCAAGGACCAAATGAATCTTTTAATTTAATTCCACTGAATATATATTGATTATTATGCAACATACTCACCAACCAAAGAATTCTGAGTCCATACGTAAATATACAGATAGAATATGCAAGCTTCCACCTGGAAGTGAAAAAGTAAGAATCAAATACATGGTACAAATATATTGATGTTGTAAAGCACCAACCAGGGAAAATCCAAAATTAACTCGAACATGTTTTAGAGACTTAACATAATATAATTTAGATCTATAAAATATCCGTAGGAGACTTTGATATACACAACTATGTTAGCCCCACAATAAGAGGAAAAAGCATATGCATGGACACTAAGGTTGTCTGGTAAAACCTCAAAATGTGAGTTCCTGAATGTATCTTGACCCCCCAATAATTCTTCCAGGTTGGGCATTCACTTCAGACAACTGCAGACACTTCAGACAAACTTCTTTTGGAGGAGGAGATGCTGCAACAGGGACAGGATCGCATGAATCACAGCAATGCCCTACTCACAAGTAACATGGGAATGGGGCTTACGATTAAGCAGCTTCCAATTTAGAGTATAAACCAAAGACAGACAGATGTCAAATGAGATTCCCACTCACCTAAAGCAAATATCTTGGGGAAGAAGCCACTGAGGAAGAGAGGTAGAAGTCACAGAAGTAGCAGGCAGGAAGGCAAAGATGCTCAGATACTATAGTGATAGAGGTCATGCAGAAAAGGGTAAGAAAATAAATTTAAGTGGGAATGAAAAGAAACGAGGGCCCAGGAAAAATTCAAGTGCATGCAATGGAAAATAACTTCAAAGGATAAAATATAGCTTGCATAAAGATTAAAAATTATAGCTATCTGCTGTACAGTCCAAACTAAAGGTGAAAGAGCTATTTTACCACACTGAAACACAAATAGTGGTGAAACACCCAAATGTATCTCCTGGTACAAATAAAAAAAACAAGTGTTGTATCCAGCTAAATCATTGCACACATGGAAAGACTTCCACAAGTGCAAGTGAACTTCCCTTCTCTGTCCTTCCCCATGCATCCCCCAAATCTGCTCTGGGGATTCCCTCTAGCTCTCTAGAGCAGATTTGAGGGTGATACTGGAGGCACACAAGGGGAAGAAGGAGCAGTTGCAACTGAACTTGTAGTTGTCGTTCCATTCAACCATTTAGTTGGATATAACCTTAAAAGAATTTTCAGTAATGCCTATTGCTGAATAGCCATCTGTTTTACAAGAATGCCTTTCTTCAAAATTTCAGAGACCACAAGATGTCAACTTTAAAACAAAACAATTGGAGCTGTAAGAGGTGAACTACACACAAACCTACATGCTCTCACAGAACTTCACATGAGTGCTTGGTTTATCTTGGTTCCTTCGATGACGAAACCAGCGCTGGATTTTTCGGACATTCCAATCTAGTTGTTTTGACAAGCCCTCTAATCTTCTTGCATCTGGAAACTAGAAAGTAATCAAACACATACTCCTTAGCTACCTTCCAAAACAGACTCTTCCCATTATCGCCCAATTATTCTTCGATCTGCTGCATATTATACAAAATTGTACCGACAACGTTTTGCTAGAAAAAGTAACACTGGTTAAATAATCAGTTCAAGGAACAAATTATTAGAAGAAATATACATAAAGATCCAATATGATAATATAAAATAATGTGGATGCAAGATGCCATGAAAAACAAATTCCAAAGAAATAACACATACCCACACAAAACCAAAGTGTGTAAGCTTAACACGCCAGTAGGGTATTACACTGCATTTTTACATTTTGGCTTATTGTACTGACTGCTTGCAGTACTTTCCTTATCTTTTTCAAAAAGATGACAATACTACCGGAGATTTCTTCCCTTCAGCCACACGCATCTGTGCAGAAAGTTCCTACTCATCACCTGGAATTCTGGCAGCAAAACAGGATTTGATGCCAGGCTAGTGTCACCAAAACTAGTTTTCCATTCAAGTGCTTTCAAAACTACGCCTACATTTGCCTTAAATAATAATAATAATAATAATAATAATAATAATTTTTATTTATAACCCACCCTCCCCAGCCAAGGCGGCGAACAAGCAATAATAAAAACAAGTTGAATGAATACAACTTAAAAATAAGATTAAAATACAACATTAAAATACTGAAACATTAAAATATTAAAATGCAGCCTCATCACAGGAGGAGAAAGGAAAAAGGAAAAAGGAAGAGGGGGAGGGAATCAAACTGGCTCCAAGCCAAAGGCCAGGCGGAACAACTCTGTCTTACAGACCCTGCGGAAAGAAATCAGATCCTGCAGGGCCCTGGTCTCGTGAGGCAGAGCGTTCCACCAGGCCGGAGCCAGTGTTGAAAAGGCCCTGGCTCTGGTTGAAGCTAATCTAACTTCCTTAGGGCCTGGGACCACTAGGGTGTTGCTATTTATGGACCTTGAGGCTCTCTGTGGGGCATACCGGGAGAGGCGGTCCCGTAGGTACGAGGGTCCTAGGCCGTGAAGGCATTAAAGGTCAAAACCAGCACCTTAAATCTGACCCTGTACTGCACCAGGAGGCAGTGCATCTGGAAAAGCACTGGGTCAATATGCTCCCATGGCAGAGACCCCGACAGGCGCCTCGCACCTGCATTCTGCACCCGCTGGAGTTTCTGGGACAGCTTCAAGGGCAGCCCCGCATAGAGCGAATTACAGTAGTCAAGCCTGGAGGTGACCACTGCATGGATCACTGTGGCCGGGTCGGGGCAGGAAAGGTAAGGGACCAACTGCTTGATGCGGCAAAGGTGGAAAAATGTCGCCTTGGCTGTTGCTGTAACCTGCGCCTCCATGGAAAGGGAGGCGTCAAGGATTACACCCAAACTCTTAATGGAAGGCAATGGCACTAATTGGGCCCCTGCAAGAGAAGGGAGTTGGTCTCTCATCCCCATGCCATCCCGACCCAGCCATAGGACCTCTGTCTTCGAAGGATTTAGTTTCAATCGGCTCCCACGAAACCATCCAGCCACAGCTTCCAAGTATCTGGTCAGTGTGTCCAGGGCCGAGTCGGTGTGGCCATCCATCAGCAGACAGAGCTAACAAAAGTAGCCAAGGTGAACAGAGCACGACAGGGATATTCTTACAATAGAGTATTTGATATAAATTAAAAGCAGCAGTAGGGAGTTAAAAGCATTCAACAGAAATAAGAAGTCAGCCTCCAGGATCCATCCCGTGAAGAATGAAACAGAAATAAATCCATAGTTTCTTGGAAATATGCCTGTTTCAGCATAGGTAAGGTTTTGGTGGGGGGGTGAATTATTGTCAAACCTCCATTCCTAGTTCTGCTAAAGGTTAGTCTTCTGTTAAATACTGTTGCAAATACAGTAGTCCTTTTATCTAGGGGTACACACCACCAGCACCTCCCCCCCGAATGTTAAAACTGAGACACTTTCTCTAACAACTTCATGGTGAGTATCAACACCCTTTTTTCTAAAAAGAAAACGAAAACACTGGTTGCATCCATTATAGTCTACACATCAATGTTCTGAGAAACCCAGACAATAGGAAAATAACTCAACAGATTAGCATAGTAGTGACAGTAAGAGAAGAAGTACCGGTAATTTTCTTCAGAGAAAAACTGAGAACTATGGAGGAAATGACATGATCAGTTATCTTCAACAGTACCTTGCCTGGTTTCTGTTCAAACCTTATACAGAATTATAGTCTGAGTACTAGATGTACGCACTCAACACACACATTGGAAGTGGGGAGTAAACAGCAACACATACAAAACAATGTAAAGAACACATGTAGCCAGATTTTCTGGTTATGTGTAGCTAGATCAGGGGTCAGCAAACTTTTTCAGCAGGGGGCCGGTCCACTGTCCCTCAGACCTTGTGGGGGGCCAGACTATATTTGGGTGGGGAATGAATGCATTCCTATGCCCCACAAATAACCCAGAGATGCATTTTAAATAAAAGCACACATTCTACTTATGTAAAAACATGCTGATGACCATCCGCAGGCCGGATTTAGAAGGCGATTGGGCCGGATCCAGCCTCCGGGCCTTAGTTTGCCTACCCATGAGCTAGATGTTCACTATAGTAGTGAAAAGTTTATTTTCCCTGGAAAACAACAGAACTGGAAAGAATGAGCATTTTTTTTAATTTAATAACATTTATATCCCCCATGCCTCCAAGGAGCTCAAGGTGGTATGTATGGTTTTTATAACCACTACTCATTCTATTGCATTCAAACAAAAATTTGAAGCATCACTCACCTTAGTGATAGATGTAAACACCTTTTCTAGAATTGCATTGGGTTGAGCTGTGCGAGGTTCACAGTTTTGAATGTTAAGAAGTACAGCACATGGTCTTGCAATAAATCTGGAAGGAAAATCCCAAAGATGTAACAAATGAACACAGAGAAAAATAACCCAGAATATGAAAATCCCAAATATACTGCAACTTCAGTCACATTTTTCTGCCCTGCATATGGTCATGCACACAAAAGACCACTCACCTAAAAGAATAATTCTATTTAAATTTCAGTGAAGTGCAAGCTTGTTTTACTTCACACTTCTGTTTGATACGACAACAGAAAAAGGTTTCCTTAGTTTCCTCATGTATTTTCATGATATATATATAAAATAACTGGCCAGTTTAGCAAAATGATGAAAAGCAATGAGAGGATTTTAAAATTAATTATTAGACATTACCAGAAGGATCTGCAACAAAATGCTGCAGTTTGAATTCCTTGTGTTCTGTAACCGCCGCCCCCCCTTTCAACCCAACTTCCAACAGTCAACGTCTTCTGAGCATCCCAAGTTCACACTGCCCTTCTTTTGTGCCCCCCACAGCCCCAACCCAAATACTGATTTTACTTCTGCAAACACAGGGGTTCACCTCTCTCTTGCTCATGAGTGTTTTTGTTTCAGCTACATAAGTGCAGGGACTCTTCCCTAAAGATCAGAAATAGAATATAAGATGACAAGTGATATGATGGATGTTTCTACAAAGTGTCACAAATTTAAGAACCCAAACCAGCTTGGACCCAGTAGCAATCTTTGCCACCAGTGACTTGGTCGTAAAAGCTCTAGAAATAATGTTTAGAGGACTGCCCTTTTAAACTCTCTTTTGTTTGAGGACCCCCATATGCTAATTGTTGTAATCTCAGGCTCCATTAATTGAGAAAAAAAGGTAAGACACATATTTTTGAATGTCTCAAAAAATGTGTGGGTTTCTTTTGTCACACAGTAATCTCAGTTGCTAAAAACTGTAAGGGAGGAGAGTGCTCTTGTTCTTTGGTTCTGCTTGCAGGTTCCCCACAAGGACCTGTGTCAACAGGATGCTGATCTAGGCGGGTCACTGACCTGATCCAGCATCTTCTTACTTCTATATAGAATTTTCAATATGGTACAAGTCACAGACAAATTTGGGCCAGATAGATACTACTCTGGCTGTCTTCCTCATTCATATAAACACTCTCTGAACACAATACGCAATCATATCCTGAGCATCTCAATATGCTCATTAAGATAGGTGAAGTTTTTAGAACACAAATTTCATGCCCACTCCTTCCCTTGAATAATACCTAATGTATGGGAGGGAAAAAGAAAACATTCTGCAGTCTAGTACTGTAGTGCAAGTACTCAAAGCACAGATCCACAGCGAGAGGTATAATAATAATAATAATAATTTATTATTTGTACCCCGCCCATCTGGCTGGGTTTCCCCAGCCACTCTGGGCAGCTTCCATAGAAACCAAAAAAGGTACTGGAGCCCATTTCCAAAGAGATGTTTAAGAAAGGAACGTGAGGGCCATTTCAAACATTACATTTCTGGCAGATTAACCTGTGCTAGGGTGAGGGGCGGTACATCGATAACGGGTGGTTTTAAGTTCCAGTTAAACAGATCAGAAACTGCTTTAGGGATCAGCTCAAACAAATCTGACACAAGCAAGAGGCAAATGCTTATTGATGTAAATGTTCCATGCTTCCCCGGACATACTTAAATGCACTTATCATGGGTACTGGCACATTTGTGTAGAACTAGCATGCCAGCATGTACCTATAGGTAGGTTGTGGAACTCCTCCCCACAGATGTGCATCTGGCAACTTCACTATACAGTTTTTGGCAGAGAGAGAGACAGAGAAACAGACAGAGAAAGAGCACTCTTTACCTTAGGCTTTAAAACCTGGTAAATATATTTTCAAGACCCACTCTATATTTCTGATTGTACATTTTTAATACTTTACTGTCAAACCTCGGAAGTCGCACGTAATCTGTTCCAGAAGACAGTTCGACTTCCGAGGTGCAGCTTCTGATTGGTTCTTGCACTCATCGGAAGCCACGTCAGACGTTCGTCTTTCGAGGAATGTTTGAAAATCGGAGCATTTACTTCTGGGTTTTAAACATTCGGGAGCCAAAATGTTTGGCAACGGAGCAGTTCAAGAACCGAGGTTTGACTGTATTTAGCATTGTTGTAGCCCACTCTGGGACATTGTGGGTGAAGGGGAGATAATAAACTAAATTAGAAGACGAAACAGCAGCAGCTACACTGAAGATGCAGCTATATCATACACTTGGTTAATATATTTGAATGTGAAAGGCAGTGCATGAAGGTTTCCATGGCTTTTACTATAACTCATAAGAATATACAGGGATGCGGGTGGTGCTGTGGTCTAAACCACAGAGCCTAGGGCTTGCCAATCAGAAGGTCGGCGGTTCGAATCCCTGCGACGGGGTGAGCTCCCGTTGCTTGGTCCCTGCTCCTGCCAACCTAGAAGTTCGAAAGCACGTCAAAGTGCAAGTAGATACCGCTCCAGCGGAAGGTAAACGGTGTTTCTGTGCGCTGCTCTGGTTCGCCAGAAGCGGCTTAGTCATGCTGGCCACATGACCCAGAAGCTGTATGCCAGCTCCCTCGGCCAGTAAAGCGAGATGAGCGCCACAACCCCAGAGCTGTATGCCAGCTCCCTTGGTCAGTAAAGAGAGATGAGTGCCGCAACCCCAGAGCTGTCCGCGACTGGACCTGACAGTCAGGGGTCCCTTTACCTTTATAAGAACATACGAAGAGCCTGCTGCACCATGCCAGTGACCCATCTAGTCCTATTCAGAAAGCTACAAGCAAAACATGAGTACAACAGCACTCTCCTCTCCCCTCCTGTAGTTTCCAGCAAATGGTATTCAGAAGCATTACTGCCACCAATGGTGGAGGCAGAGCAGTCATCACATGTAGTAGCCTTTGATAGCTATCTCCATGAATTTGTCTAATTCTCTTTTCAAGTGAGTGTTCCGGTTTTCGAACGATTTTCGGAAGCTGAACGTCTGAAACGGCTTCTGCAGCTTCTGATTGAGTGCAGGAAGCTCCTGCAGCCAATCGGAAGCCGTGCCTTGGCTTTTGAATGGTTCTGTGAGTCGAATGGACTATGCATTAAATTGACAAGCAAGGTACAACTGTACACCTGTTTTAGTCCTAAGTACACTGGTTCTGTAGTTCATCTCTATGTCACCAAGTTTATCAAGCAGCCCAAACCAATTACACATTACACTAGTTTGCCAAAATTAGACCATAACGTTCTACACAAAAACTAGAACATAGCCTACAGCATAAACAACAACACATTTCCTTTCTATAGGGCTGTATGTTTGCAGGCACCTCAATTCAAAAGTGCAGGATTCCTCTTTTTATAATGGGGAATGGAAATGGGCAACAGAAGAGGGTGAAGAAATTCATTTAAGAAGTGCACTGATCACCAAAGATTTCATAGCTGCCATTTAGCAAACCGATCCAAGTACAGCAGATGAATCTGCACTCATCAGTCTTTCCTAACAATGGAAGTCACCCAACTGTGGGCATATTTTATTAGATGAAAAGTTTGTTAAACCCACATATCAATTACCTATTACATTTTCAGCAGTTACCAGCTCAATTTATATTACACCACGCCAGGCATAGTGCCTGTGTCTCCAGTATGGAAGAGAACAAAGGTCCCAGTTCAGTTACAGTATTTGTCTTATATCCAAATGTAATAAAAACAGCATGATGATGATGTGAATTAAAAGGCATACTCTGGCATATCTCATTAAAGGCTCCCCACTCCACCTAATAAAAAAACAATGCAGTGTTTGCATATACAATCCTATTATTATACAACTTGTACTATTGTGCAATCTATCTCTAAATGATGCCATACACTTTCAGAAGTTTTATTGGGGTTTTTTAAAAAAGAAGTTCATATAACTTGCTATAAAGCGTCAATGTGTAACACTTTTCTCTCTTGCAATGAATTAACCATCTGAAACTCACCTTTCAGAGGTACAGCCTTGCTAACCTGTTGCAACAAAATAACAAAGCAAGAAAAGAGTTGTGTGGCACTTATAGGAGACAAATGTATTTATTATGGGCATTTCATGAGCCCAGGTTGCCAGCTGAAAAGTAGCACTTCATGAATCTGATTAAGCAGAAAGCTTAAGCCACCATAAACATGTAAGTCTTTAAGGTGCCACAAGGTTCCTTTATAACAAGGTACAAAAATGTAAATTGATCAAACTTTTTGAACCACTCAGTATCAACCCAGCCTCTCATTTAAGCACTAGCTTGGTAACCAGAAGTGACAAGGAACTACGTGAAGGTGAATGCATTGAATTCCATGGAAGCAAACGAACAGGCTGATTGGAGAGGAACCAAGTGCTCAACTGCTCCTCTACTCCCAGCAAAGGAACTGCCAAAGGAGACAAGCCCTCTACCTCCATAGTCAGCTTAGAAATGCAGCAGTATGCTACAAGGAGGGTACAACTCTCCATCCCACCTCTGCCAACCCCCAGTAAGCTAGTACTGTATTTCTTTTTGCAGGCTGGTAACTTGCGCAAGCTTATTCACAAGGCTGCACTTACAAGGACACTTTCGAAAATATAATGGATACTAACTGGTATGAAGTGTAATCTCATAAACTGGGTGAAAACAAAGTACATCGCTTACCACTGTGTGCTTGGATCAAATTTAAGGCGAGTTGGCGTATAAGCAAGTAACTCGTGCTCCAGTATAATCATCTCCAAAGTTTAAGATCAGCCACGATGGCCCTGGTCCATGCTTTCACTTGTGCAAGTCAGATTGCAAAACATTTAATTGATTTAAGGGGTCTTTAAATTAGTATTACATAACTAAGGCTGTGTACCATGTTACAATTCAGTTTTAAAAGGAGGCCACTTGGGATTTCTACATATGTCATAGCAAAGGACAGCGATGAATACGGGTATTAATGACTTTCCTGGTTTAAACAACTATGCCTCCCTATATTCTGTTAGACCACTTCTCATCAGCTGCATCCAACATGGCCAGTGGTGAGGGATGATGGGCATTGTAGTCCAAGAGCAAGTGGAGGCCAGCAGGTTATCAGCCCCTGATATAAAGAGTTGTCTGTATCTTATACTTTCCACCACACATAGACAGATTACCCATGTGGGGTAATTAATAAAAGGCTTGGCTGGATGTCTAGATCCACAGCAAGGGGCTAAACACACTCTCCAGCAAGAGGCAGCCCCCAGCAGAGTATTAAAGTCACAGAATCATACCGCACAGTGAAGCTTTAGGAAAATGTAGACTGTTAGACCTTTTAAACACCCCATTTAGTCCATTTACAATGCTTCCCCTCTACTCCTCTTGCAATGAGCAGACCACACCATTAGTGAGTTTAAAAGCTCTACTTACAAGCTCCAAAAGTCACATTCAATATGTTATTCTGTGCAGTAGCAAGGCTATTACCTCATCGCTGTTATTAATTTTGAATATTAATAGGTAAAAATCTTCCATGGGTTTAGTTTTGTGTAGAAATCTTCTGGGGTTTAACCTTCCATTTTCCAGTGTACCAAGTAACAGCTAAGTAGGTTCTGGCCAGCAACCCGAAAGCTATTTCACAATTCATCTCTAGATACAAGAGATAAACATTTATGCCCTAAAGTATATTCCAAAAGTCAACCATAATCTAAAAAGACACCTGAGGATTATAAACATGCATTTTGTTTCTGAAACAAACATACACCGGTATTTTGTTTCTGAAATACAATTTGCTTTGTTTCCTTGGGTTCTGTTTCCTTATGCAACTACAGCATCCTTCAATGAGACAAAAGCAGACACACCAATGTTTATGCACTTCAATGCACTCCAAGTTTTTCTTTAATCTACACTCTTTTGTTAAAATGCATCTTTTTGAAAAGTTCAGTGCACATAACATTGAACCATCTCAGTTCTATCTTCAAGTCTGGAGTAACCTAGAACTCATGGCTTCACTGATGTTCAGTCCCAGCTGTAATCTTCCTAAATTCCTGTCTATGTGCAGGTTTTTAACAATGCAAACTTAACTCCAACAAGCTTGGACTGTGTATTGACCATTGACAAGACACCTCTGCTGAGTTGAGGCTATGAGAAAATAGTACTATTTTAATACAAAAATAAAGCAGCCTCAGAAGAAAATTCAACAGATACCATATATGTTCTATTCATGTGTCCATCAGAAGTATCACTCTACATACAGTGGTACCTCGGGATACATGCGCTTCAGGTTACATACGCTTCAGGTTACAGACTCCGCTAACCCAGAAATATTACCTCAGGTCAAGAACTTTGCTTCAGGATGAGAACAGAAATCGTGCTCGGGGGCCACCAGGGGGCGCATTGGAAGATGGCCGACAATAACATCTCTCTGACCCACACGAGGTAATTAAGAGGCTGCTATGGGAAATATGCAGCCTTCCCGCCCCCCCAGGGGATGGGGGGGACTGCCTTGCCAGCGGTGTCCATAATTCACCCCCGGATTTGAAAGAAGGGGGTGCGGACACTTGGCACAAGCCCTCGTTTGAAGTCGGCTCTTCCTGACGCTGTCTCCAATCAGCACACTGGTTCGCTTTGGCTCGAAACATATAATTGGAAATACATAATTGGAAAAAAGCTAAAGCACATACATCAAGCGAAGATCGGGAGTTAAGACTGCTGACTAATGGATCTCTGTGAGCGGAGCGACGGGCGGGACAAATAAATCAAGTGATGAATCACCATTAAAAGACTGGTATGTTTGGAGTGAAACGGAAAAGGGGTGGAGGAAAAAACTTTTCTTTCTTTTTGCCTTATGTGATATTAATAACCCTCCACCCCAGAAAGAAGAATCGTTGCAATTTATTAATCACAAGCAGGAATTTAAGAACTGTGTGGAGTGAATTATTGATCAATGAGAGGATTGGTAAACATCGGAGAACGAAGGAAAGTTTTATGACGCAGTTTCAAATGGCGTCTCGCCAAGACTGGCTTGCCTAAGGAGGACGGGGGGAGGACGACCAGGGTCATCGGAATGCGAATGATTTTCGGAATGTGATCTAGACCTGGCAGAGCCCTCTGAGATATGTTTGGCAAGCCTGGGGAAATTAACGAACAGACTGAGGGAAAGTTCTTTACAGAGGTGTGGAAATGGCGTCTGTCCTTATGCGATATGATTTTTGGAAAGTGTAAAACCCACACAGAGGATGTTTGTTTTTAACCCGCTTGTGAAGATTATCAGAGATCACAAAGAAAGAATTATATGATAACAACAAGAAGATGAGGAAAGTAACAAAGAGACTATCTGGACAGAACTGGATAGAACTGTCTAATTAAAGCAGCAATATAAGTGATGTTTGGACCCCCTTTCGGAGCTTGAAGTATGGGTACCCCCAACAAAAATTTTAAAATCTGGCTGTATAATTTGGAACTAATGTGATTTGGAAATAATGTGATTTGATTGGCCTGTTAATAAAAATTATATTAAAAAAAAAGAGAGAACAGAAATTGTGCTCCGGCGGCGCGGCAGCAGCAGGAGGCCCCATTAGCTAAAGTGGTGCTTCAGGTTAAGAACAGTTTCAGGTTAAGAACGGACCTCCGGAACGAATTAAGTACGTAACCAGAGGTACCACTGTATATATTAAAGGGCTCAAAAGGCATCAATTAATTTAGCTACACCACACTAAAGTCTGCATTTGAGGGAATAAAATTTGACTGAACTACACCAAAGCAGTACACATCTTCACAGGGTCTCATCGTCTCATCAAGTCTGCAAACACTGCAAGATAATAGCTGAGATGTGAAAAAAATATTTTTATTAATCTTGAACATTAAGAACATATGAAGAGTCTGTTGAATCAGGTCAATGCCGCATCTAAGTCCAGTCTCACAGTGGCCAACCAGATGCTTGGGGGAAACTCACAAGCAGTACAAGAGTTCCACTAAACTACCGGTACTTTTGAAATGCCTCAATTTCAAAAGTGGTTTCCTGAAAGTTACACAGGAAAAATGAGAAAACCTACTTGGATGCATACATTGTTGACCAAGTCAACTCACCCTATGACCTTATACAACAGCCTCCCTGCCATAATTCAAACTACTTTTGAAACTCTCCTCCATTTAAATTTGCTTCCAACACAAAGGATGAAATGGAGTCAAAGCCTCCCCACTGACATCAACATTGATCCAGTTCAATGTCTTACAGCAACAAGATGTTCCTATGATGTTTATCAGTACCACTTAAGACAACTTGTTTTGGGACATCCTGTTCTATAGGGAAGGGCAGAAAATAAATCTAAAATCAGATACAATATATTCAGACAACTCCTCATCTGTGTGTGAGCAGTACACACAGACAATTTTCAGCACCGCAAGTGGGTGGGGCAGGCTTAAGTGCATCCCACTGACCCATATGGCGCCTGGGAACACAACTCCCATGTAAATGGGGAGTTGCTTGGACCAGTCTTGTGTTATTTCACCACCTACATTAACAAGAAAGACAAGAAGGGAGAGCCACCAACACGGAATGCCTATATCTAGACTTCTTAATTAATGCTCATAGATGTGATTGTAACCTCTATTTGCATTTTATGTTTATTGCTGTTGAGTGATTGAGAGTATGTAAAATGACGAAAGGAATAAATATGACAGGATCTAAATATAAATATAAAAAGTAAACCCCTCCCCAGTTAGGCTTAGGGAGGGAAGCTTAGGGAAGGCAGTCTGTCAGGCCTATCACAGTTCCAAATGGCCTGACATGGACACATGAAAAACAACTACACTACCTGCAGTATTCCACAGCACTTATTAAATCCATTTGTGCATTTGAGGCCTTTCTGAAGGTTTCAGTAAAAAAATGAGGTGATCCTTTGTAGCTCAGAATACTAAGCCATTCTGCGAAAGCTAAAGCTGATCTCCTGTCATTCTCTCAGAGTTTCACTTATCTCTGAGTTTCATTGGCAAAACTGAGAGGAAACAGACGAACACATAGGAACAATAGACTACACTCTCTCCTAGGGCCTAAAAAAGAGAGATATGCATATGATAAACCAGTGTGCTGCTATGATATGCCGAAAATGTGAATGCATTTCCTCTAAAGTGAGGCACCACAGACAGGAAGGGAAGAAAAAACAATGGTTTAAGAAATCTGTGGCTCAAATTGTGAGTCATCAGTCCCAGACTCCCAATGTTAAATTGAAGCACATAATTCATGGAGTGTTCATTCCAGGACATGAGGATAAGAAAACAGGCGTAGTGAAATTTTAATGGATAAATCAGAAAATTATGTATGAACATGGGAGGGGTCAAAAGGCTTCTACACAGAAAAAGGCTGTATTGTGTTGCCCAAATTTCACAAGTGAGATGCTCCATAAGGTTAGATGTTCTGCCTGTCAGGGGAGGGGAGAGGAGGGTAGGAAAAGAAAAGGAGTGCATCAGGGGTGGTTGGTGATTTGCAGGATGCTAAGCCCCCTTTGTTCTCCCATCCTGCTCCCAACAAAGCACCTAACTACATCAGCCCTAAAGCTGGTATAGTTAATTTATTGTCACTGACTGCAAAGAAAGAAAAAGGAGAACAAGGGACAACAGAAATCCCACTATCTTACCACCTGCCCTAGCTGCTGCAAGCCAGCCAGAGCTTTGGAAGTGACAGCAGCAGCCCCCACTGCAAGAACTGTACTAGTCCTTTCAAAAAGGGTTGTATGACCGAAACTGCTTTGTATGGCCAGCTGCAACATTCCTGAGCAGTTTTTTCCAATATTTTCAAAAAATGTTCCTGATATTCCACTTTTCAATTTATCTTCTGTACATAGATTTGAAGTCTACTGAGATTTTGATTCTAGAGCCAAATTCATGAATACAGGTTTTTCTCTTGCTACAAAAATGCTATTTTATAGGGAAATCAAACAAAAAACAAAGTCAAATGGGTACTGAGTTTAATCCTTTTTTGAGTTTTATAGTTTTTATAGCTTTAATAATTGTTTATGTATAAACTACCTGGAAGCAAAGATCAAAACTCAACAGGCACGTTGAGCTGTGAGCTACTTGGAACCAAGTGAAGATACCGTATATGGGCATCAGGATAATGACCGACATCTCCACTATCTGGCTGGCTGTCACACAGCAGCGGATTTTTTTGCTGCCATGCTGTGGTGTGAATCACCTGGCTTGTGCCACAAAGCTTCAGGAAAAGAATGGAGTCTTTTGCTGCCGAGCCACTGACACACATAGTAGCACAGCAGCAGAAGACTCTCCCTGAAGTGCATGGTAAAATTTCATTTTGAAACTGGCATAGCTGAGACCTAACCCTAATGCTGAACTGAACCTAAACATTTAGCGGTATTTCTTCTCTCATCCTGTTCAATACTAAGTCATATATTAACTAAAACAATAACTGCCTCAGTTATTCTGAACTTATTCAGACACATATTATGCAGATTGATGTCATCAACTATTATGCTTGCAGAGTAAGTCCATTGGGAGTGAATGTAATAATGAATATTTAACCAAATAACTTTTTTTATTTTTAAAACATGGTGACAGATCCAAAGTACCATGCTTCTTCCTCCATGTCACTCTAACTGGTCCTAAAAGGATTCTCCCTGAACAGGATTTGTTGAAGCCTGACAACTTACAGCTGGAAGAGGAAATTGTAGAAGCCCACATAATTGCTTAGGTATGCATGCCTGGGGATCCTTGGATCTTGGCTTTTTTTGAACACGTAACACCACATTCTGTAGAATTCTATCAGTTCTATTTTATCTGCACAATCCAAATGAATTTCAGGAACCAAAATGCTTTTTCTGTGCAGCCTAAGCAGGAGCAGTGAATAACATTATAGTTAAATGTTGTAGCTTGTCTTCGCTTACCCCACCCAACTGTGCTGCTCAGTTGTAAATCCTCTTACATTCTGTGTCACCATTAAGAAGAAACAGGTAGGAATGGGCCAATATATATGTGAACCGTCCCTGGATCAAGTGATTATTCTTCTTTAAGGTCTCAAAGTTCATAACGTAGCTCAAGGTTGTCATCTGAACTTGCCAGATGTTTAACTGATAATCCATCACAGCCACTCCATAAAAAAGAAAACTTTAGAGCTGTCTTGCCCCAAAATGGCAACTAACCATTCTATTTTGGCAACTAATGCTGCCTGGAGGTCATTTATGACAAAGGGCAGTTTGGAAATTTATTGTAGGGGTGGTGAATAGATCACAATTGTCTTGTCTTCTTTATAACCTCTGGTATGAAACACTTTTTTGGAAGATGCTTCTAGGGCACGCCCCAAAGTCACTCTTTAAAAAAACAAAAAGCTGAGCCACATGGGAAAGTTAATTCTTATATTGGACCCACAAAGGGGAGGAGGGAAGTTCAGGAGATTTTTTTGGAATTCTCTTTTTATGTTGATTGTTGGATAAGTGATTGTAAATTTCTAAAAGCTAAATAAAATTATTAAAAATGTAAAGTTGATGCAATAATAGATCTTATTCTAATTGCCGCTGCTTATATATATATATATATACACACACACACACACACACACACACACTCCTTTCTTGACAAAGTAATTATCATAAATAAGTAAAAATAAAAAGGTGCACCCCACCATTCCATTGCAACTATCCAACCTCCCAAAATTTCAACACCTCTTGCAATGGTTTAACCCCGTGGGTCCCAACATGGGGCAAACGCCCCACAAGGGGGCCATTTGATTTTTAAGGGGGGCAATTCGAGAACAGTTAGACCAAGTCAATGACTTTTAAGGCTTCCTCCATGTGAACAGGAGTTCACTATTTGAACAATTAAGAATGATTATGTCGGTGGGGGGAGCATCAGAATTTGAGAGATGCTTAGGTGGGGCATGGCCAAAAACAGTTTGGGAACCACTGGCGTTTAACCCCTTTCCGTTTTAAACAGTACAAATTCTACAAGCACCTTCTATATATATCAGGTATACTGGCCTTGGTCCAGTATACCTGAAGGAGCGTCTCCACCTCGATCTTTCTGCCCGGACACGGGGTTCCAGCTCTGAGGGCCTTCTGGCAGTTCCCACACTGCGAGAAGCCAAGTTACGGGAACCAGGCAGAGGGCCTTCTCGGTAGTGGCGCCTGCCCTGTGGAACGCCCTCCCACCAGTTGCCCAAAAGAAAAACAACTACCAAACTTTTAGAAGACATCTAAAGGCAGCCCTGTTTAGGGAAGCTTTTAATGTTTAATAGGCTATTGTATTTTAGTGTTTTGTTGGAAGCTGCCCAGAGTGGCTGGGGGAACCCAGCCAGATGGGCAGGGTAGAAATAATAAATTATTATTATTATTATTATTATTATTACAGTCGTACCTCGGGTTAAGTACTTAATTCGTTCCGGAGGTCCGTACTTAACCTGAAAACTGTTCTTAACCTGAAGCACCACTTTAGCTAATGGGGCCTCCTGTTGCCGCCGTAGCACGATTTCTGTTCTCATCCTGAAACAAAGTTCTTAACCTGAAACACTATTTCTGGGTTAGCGGAGTCTGTAACCTGAAGTGTCTGTAACCTGAAGCATATGTAACCCGAGGTACCATTGTATTATTATATCTCCTGGAAATCCATTTCTCCTGCGTATTCCCCATCTTTATAAAGAGTGCGGTCTGGCTACGGAGTTCCTCTGAAGGTTTTATTATGGTGAAATAAGACGGCGGCCCAACGTGGCGAGAGAAAACGGGTCTTCCCTCCTCTGACCCCCTCCCCAAACCCTCCTCGAGGCCGACTGAGGAAGCGGCCGCGAGGGCGACGCTCCCTCTTCCCTCTCGGACCCACCCACCCATCCCATTCGCCTCGGCCCGTCAGGCAGGCGGGCGGAAGTGTGCGCCGCTTTCCCCCCCGCCGGCTCCCTCCGCCCCCGCCACCCCGTTCCCCCCTTAGCCGCCGCCGCCGCTCTCCCACCTCTCGAAGAGCTGCCTCAGCGCGAAGAGGCCCAGCGCCCCGGGGAAAGCGACCCAAATGTGGCGGGGGAGAGGGTACACCTCCCCGTCGCCGGGCTCCTGGCGCTCCAGGTCGGCCCAGCTCACGTTGGCGGGGAACCAGAAGCGCTCGTTCCACAGACCGCTCCACAGCCACGCTGCCGCCGCCGTCGCCGCTGCCGCCATCTTCCCGCCGCCGCCGCCGCCGCCGCCGCCCTCTCCCTCGCCGCCTGACCGGACTGACACTTCTTCCCCTCAGCAGCAGCCGCCAAGAAGAGAAGGGAGGGGGCGGTGCCGGCCGGAATCCCCGCCCATCTAGCGGGAAGGGAACGCCCGTCCGTCAAAAGCCGCGCCACGCCCTAACTTCGCCGCCGGAGGGAGCGTGGAGGGAACGAGGCGCATGCGCTCTTCCGCAGGCTTCTCTCTCTCTCTCTCTCTCTCTCTCTCTCTCTCTCTCTCGCGCGCGCGCGCACTTTCTCTTTTCATTCCGTCTCCTTTTTCAATAAAGGGAAATGTTGCGGTGGCGCGCCCACGCGCGCGGAAAGGGAAAAGGAGATTTGCTTCCACGATGTCTAGGAAGAGAAATTCAACCGATGCAGCAGCTGGCTGTTGAAAGCTGACTATTTAGCCCGTTGCCCCTTTATTATTATTATTATTATTAATAATAATAATAATTCCCTCAATTATGTGCTTTGTAAAAAAAGGGGGGGAGGAGATGAGCACCAGGTTGCCGCAACTGAATTAATTTTGTTCCTTGTTTCCGTCATACAAGAATAAGAGTATGCACGGCTAATGAAGCCCGGCTTGGGCGAAACACGGTTATTATCCCGGAATCCTTGTGCCATACCTTCAAGTTTTCCGTCTGATCCGATATCTGCATACAAGGAACGTTGGAATCCTCAAAGCAGCGATACGTGGAACATCATAAGATAAGCATACCATATTGTGGTTAATATTGCCAATATAGGAACCGAATGGACTTTTACCTCCTTACCGTCCATTGGACTTTAATTTCTCTTGATATGTTCTGTTTGCATGATGCGTTGGTCTATGGAATTACACTTTGTGAGATATTGTTTGTTGAATTGTGTTTGAAATGGAAGTTACATAGTTAAAAACAGCCTGTTAAGTTGTGTGTGTTGTTACCAGGAATTCAACAGGTGCAGCAGCTGTCTATTTAAACCTGGCTATTTAGGCCCCTCCCCTTTTTATAAATAAAATAATAATAATTCATTTTATAAATAAAATAATTTTAAAAATCAATTATGTGCTTAGTAAAAAAAAAAAGGCACAAGGTTTTTCATCACTCTAAAATGACGGTGCAGCTTTATAAGAGTGGCTGGGGAAACCCAGCCAGATGGGTGGGGTATAAATATTACTATTATTATTATTATTATTATGCAACTGATGGCAATGCAGTACTTTCTCAACATACAGTGAGGGGGGGGGAAGTATTTGATCCCCTGCTAAATTTGCCCATTTGCCCTCTGACGAAGAAATGACCAGTCCATAATTTTAATGGTAGGTTTATTGTTGCTGTGAGAGACAGAATAACAACAGGAAAAACCCCAGAAACCCAGAAGACAAAAGCCAGAGATTGATGTGCATTATAATGAGTGAAATAAGTATTTGATCCCTTTGCAAAAGATGACTTAGTACTTGGTGGCAAAAACCCTTGTTGGCAATTACAGAGGTTAGACGTTTCTTGTAGGTGGCCACCAGGTTTGCACACATCTCAGGAGGTATTTTGTCCCACTCCTCTTTGCAGATCCTCTCCAAGTCAGTAAGATTTCGAGGCCGATGTGTAACTACTCGAACCTTCAGCTCCCTCCGCAGATTTTCTATGGGATTAAGGTCTGGAGACTGGCTAGGACACTCCAGGACCTTAATGTGCTTCTTCTTGAGCCACTCCTTTGTTGCCTTGGCTGTGTGCTTTGGGTCATTGTCATGCTGGATTACCCAGCCTTGACCCATTTTCAATGCCCTGGCTGAGGGAAGGAGGTGCTCACCCAAGATTTGACGATATATGGTCCCGTCCATCGTCCCTTCAATGCAGTGAAGGTGTCCTGTCCCCTTAGCAGAAAAACACCCCCAAAGCATAATATGTCCCCCTCCATGTTTGATGGTGGGGGTGGTGTTCTTGGAGTCGTAGGCAGCATTCCTCCTCCTCCAAACACGGCGAGTTGAGTTGATGCCAAAGAGCTCAATTTTGGTCTCATCTGACCACAACTCGTTCACCCAGTTCTCCTCTGGGTCATTCAGATGTGCATTGGCAAACTGCAGACGGGTCTGTACATGTGCTGTCTTGAGCAAGGGGACCTTGCAGGCTCTGCCAGATCTCAGTTCTTCACAGCGTAGTGTGTTACCAACTGTTTTGACTATGGTCCCAGCTGCCCTGAGATCATTGACAAGTTCCCCCGTATAGTTCTGGGTTGCTTCATGATCATTGCAACTCCACAAGATGCAATCTGGCATGGAGCCCCAGACCGAGGGAGGTTGACAGTTATTTTGTGTTTCGTCCGTTTGCGAATTATTGCACCAACTGTTGTCACCTTCTCACCAAGCTGCTTGGCAACAGTCTTGTAGCCCAGTCCAGCCTTGTCCAGGTCTGCAATCTTGTCCCTGACATCCTTGGACAGCTCTTTGGTCTTGGTCATGGTGGCTATTTTGGAATCTGCTGGATTGATTGTTTCTGTCGACAGGTGTCTTTCGTACAGGTACTGTAACGAGCTGGGATTACAGGTAAGACCTCTCCCTTACAGCAGGTGCTTCCAATCTCAGCTCGTTACATACAGTGAAGATACCAGGTAGCCTGACATCTGGCTGGTTGATAGTGGATCAAATACTTATTTCATTCATTATACTGCTCATCAATCTCTGACTTTTGTCTTCTGGGGTTTTTCCTGTTGTTATTCTGTCTCTCACAACAACAATAAACCTACCATTAAAATTATGGACTGGTCATTTCTTTGTCAGAGGGCAAATGGGCAAATTTAGCAGGGGATCAAATACTTTCCCCCCTCACTGTACAGTGGTACCTCGGGTTAAGTACTTAAATCGTTCCAGAGGTCCGTACTTAACCTGAAACTGTTCTTAACCTGAATACCACTTTAGCTAATGGGGCCTCCTGCTGCTGCCGCGCCGCCAGAGCACAATTTCTGTTCTCATCCTGAAGCAAAGTTATTGACCTGAGGTAATATTTCTGGGTTAGCGGAGTCCGTAACCTGAAGCGTATGTAACCTGAAGCGTATGTAACCCGGGGTAAAGGTAAAGGGACCCCTGACCATTAGGTCCAGTCATGACCGACTCTGGGGTTGTGGCGCTCATCTCGCTTTAGGGCCGAGGGAGCTGGCGTACAGCTTCCAGGTCATGTGGCCAGCATGACCAAGCCGCTTCTGGCAAACCAGAGGTACCACTGTATATATATTTAGTTGGCCAGGAAGGAATTGAAATGTCAGTCAGTCGCTGCTATGCACTTGCAAATTTTATTTCACAATAGGGCTGTCGTGATATTCGTCGTATTTTGCAGAGGAGCGAGGAGGAAATAATAATAATAAAATGGGCTTTCCACCCCTTAACATTGCTGCAACCATCATGGTTAAGAAGCTTGTGCAGAAACATTGTTTATAACATCTCAGGACTGCTGAGCTGAAGGCATTTCCCATCTCAAGTCCTGTCTGCTGAATGATCGCAGACTCAGAGTTGGAAGGGACCATGTGGTTCATCCAGTCCAAACCCCAGCAATGCAGGAATATTTAGCCCAAGGTGGGGCTCAAATATTGGCAAAACCTATTGGTGTTTCGCAACTTTCCGACTAGTTGCAGGACCTTAGCCAGACCTAGCAGAGTACACGCAGAATCCACGGCAGCAATTGGCAACTTGGCTGCAGACAGGATAGACGAAGCAGGAACCAGGAACTTGTAGTTTATTATATGCAGTGGACTATTTACAGGAACAGAACATGGATCTTTTGCTAGCTCTCTCTGACACGACTCACAGCTCCTACACTGACACACAGAACTCTGAACCTCTGAACTCCAGAACTAACACATCCCAGTTAGTAGACCATTAATTATCACTCCTTTGAGAGAGCTTGACCAATCAGGGAGCGGTCTCCATGTCTCTGTTATCACCAGACAGACTTACTCCTTCAGATTGCCTTCTGGCTGTCTGCTAAACCTTAATTGACTCTGTGTGAGTAGCTGCACATACAGATTCCCAACATCAAACCCACATCCCCGAGTTTATATTATAATCTCTTGAGAGACACAGGAAGGAGGCAGTAAAGCGTAGGGGGAAATCACGCCATTGCAACAAAGGAGGTCTTATGCCAATTTTGACATCAAGTCGGATTCCTCAACTGCTCTTGCCACGCATGTGGTGTAGGGGGGCGATTTTAACAGTGCAAAGTGCAGCCAGCAAGAAAACGCTGCTTGGAGTTCAGGTTGTTGTCGCTTTTACATCCATTCTCAAGAGAACCATGCAAGGGCATGGCAGAGGTCTTCTAACATGTTACGCAGCCACAAGACGGTCCCCCCAAAAACTGACTCAGTAGTTTAACTAGAATGACAGCTCCTCTGGCTTTCCTTAATTCCAGACTCCACATAAACCGAAAGTGCTGAGATCATCATTTACGGTAAGTAGACTAGGCCTTTAAAACAGGTCCCAATACTGATCCTTGGAGGGAAATTAACTAAATTAGCAGAAGAGAACAACATGGACCAGAAGCCATGAAGTATAATACAAATTTGTGTTGGGGTGAACTTGATGCCAGAAGCATGCTCAAAGAAGCTGGAGATACTGTACACAGTAAGTAGAACAGGACATGCCCTGAGGGATTTCCCACAAGTTAACACGCACGCAGTAAGAAAGAAAGAAAGAAAGAAAGAAAGCCATTCTCCACCCCTCTTTCTCTCACACACAGTGTGACCAAGAATATCAAATGCAAATAAAGCTTTGTTAGGGAAGAAACCGGTAATGTTGTTCTTTACAAATCAAAAGAAAATCAGAAATAGTAAAGAAAAATAGTTCAAGGAAAGAAAAAGAATCCCAAAGTGAGCTGAAAAGCAGGAAAAAACACAGCAGATTAAGACTGCAAACCCACTTATCCTAAGAGTACCACTGAACTTAATGGTATCTATGTCTGAGTAGACCATAGCTGTCAACGTTTCCCTTTTTTAAAGGGAAATTCCCTTATTCTGAATAGGATTCCTCGCAAGAAAAGGGAAAAGTTGACAGCTATGGAGTAGACATGTATAGGATTGCACTGTTAAGTCTGAGAGAAATTACCAAACTTAGAAAGAGAGAAAAAACAGGCAAAGGAGTAAGATCAAGAACACACAAAATCATGCAAGGAAGCATGGAAAAGGTAAGATTTCCTAAGGAACAGGAAAACGTTGATCAGGAGACGGCTGAGATTGCAAGGGTCAGCAGCCTTTTTTATGTGGTGGGCCTGACTATATTTTGAAG